AGCTCTTCTCCCCCGACGAGAACCTGCAGCGGCAGCGCCTGTTCTGGATCGCCTACGTGCTGGACAAGGACATCTCTCTCCGGATTCAAGTCCCATCCGTCCAGCTGGATAGCGACATTGACATTGATGTGCCGCCCGCCCAACCCGCCGACGACGTGGGCGTCCTCTGGACAAGGGACCGCCAGACGTGCTTCAACCACCACCGGTCCATGATCCACCTCGCCCAGATCCAGGGACGCGTATACGACTGGCTTCACTCAAACAGCTCTGCCAAGATGTCCCGCCAGTCGCGGCAGCAACGCGTGCAGCAGCTGGACCGCATGATTACCCACTGGTACAGCACGATACCGGCGGCCTTCAACCTCGAGAATTTAGACGCGTCCATCGGCGAGTGTGCACTGATACACATGGCCAAGATGTATCATGTGTACCTGCTCATCCTCGTCATGACGTACGGCATTTACAACCAGGACTCGAATTGGGTCCAGGCAATTCGATCCGGGGACCGCAACGCGATTCGAAGCCTTGTATTGGGTACTGAGCGCCACGATTCCGGCGCCGCGTCACAAAAGCAAGTCAGGTTGCTACCGGGGAGCTGGCACAAGGTGGTCCAAGTGAGCCGGGGCTGTTTGCGCCTCTTCGACATGTGTATACCGACAGAGTGTCTCATTTGGTATGCCCGCCACCCAAGTGCCCTAGTCGCCGGCGAGAAGCGGTCAAATTATACTAACTTGCTCTAGGCAATGCTCCTGTCCTCACTTTTCGGGAATGATGGTCCTCCTGGCGAACCTCCTCATTGAGCCCACACACGAGGATGCCGTGTCGGACGAAATCTTGTCTGCGCGCGCAATCCAGCTCTTTGACAAAGTCCTCGAACTCATCCCTGATCCAGAACACTACACCGATATCCGCGGCATCATTGAAGAGCTGTATAATAGAGCTGTGCTCGTCATCAACGAGGCCAAATCGCAGGGCGGCGACGACCAAGTCGACGTTTTGGAGGCAAATTTGCTGAGTTACGAGACGCTGGATGGGGATCCATGGAGCTGGGCGGCTGCTCTTCCGGGCAGGACCGACTTTTCCGCCGATATGAGGGATGGAGACGGGGACAGCCTTGGGGTCCTGCCGTTGTGCAGATGAGGCCCAGTTCTGACGATTCATGCAAATGTTTTCGTCGGTTGCTTGGATACGGGATTGCTGACTTGAAAGAGATCCTGAATGCTTCAATTTGCGGATAGTATCGCCTGACCTCAATCTATGTATCCACCGACCGATTTCTCTCTTTTTTTTAAAGCAACCATGCTTCGCCAACAGTGCAATTTGACCGGCCCGATAGAATGTCAGGCGGACGGGAAGCCATCATTTGCAAAATCCTTGCACCTCCCGGGCACCCCAATAACGGGCCCATCAAAAAAGTCATCGGGGAGTCTGAACGACGGGTCATATTCTTTCATGGCGGTCAACGTTGTCCGCACAACATCGAACCCAAAGTTATGAGACATAGCTTCTTGGTAGTCTCCTGCCAAGATTTCATCGTTAGATGGACTTCATATGGACAGCCAGGCCACCACACTTACGGGGTATTTCGTCGTCGCTCATGTACTGGCGTAGTTGGTCTCTCACCAGGTCTGCCTGGTCCGCACCCACGTTGCTGAGAATTTGAATCACGCTTGTTCTTCTGTGCCGAGTGGTGTAATAAATCTCCAAACGTCTTTCTATTTCGGCCGGCGTCTCGGCGCCGCAAAGAATGATGCCAAGAGCAAGGCCGTCCTCGAGCCCCTGGGCACCGCCTTGACCTTGATCTGCCATGGTGAGCATACATCGGGGCGTTGGAACCCATGGCCCCAGCGTTCAACTTACGAGGAAGCATGGGATGTGCAGAATCACCAGCCAGGGTCAGTCGACCCTTGCTCCAGGTTGGTAACGGGTGTCGGTAGAGCAGCGGCCAACGCTTGACATCTGTTGCCTTGCTGGTGGGTGGTCAGTCCTTGTCCTCTTCTGGTTTCGGGGAAACAGAGTTGTGCACCTGATGACCTTGAGAAGTCTGTCATCAAAGTCGGAAATTGTATCTATGACGTGATGAATATCAACAGTGGCATGCCAATCTAGATTCCGTTAATATGATGCCAATTACGAAGACAAGATTTCAATGGGACCGACTTTCTTTCCTGTCAGATTTGGTTTCCGGTTCGTGAAAAAGGCCTGCGAAATTGAGAAGCGTATTACTTTCATCTTGTTAGTCCAAGTGCTACGACAAATCCATGATACGAAGACTGACTTTCGACAAGGATATACTACAAGTCTGCGTAGCGACTTATCCTCTGCAAATAGTCGACAGTAGCCCTCATGGCCCTCGGTAAAGAATTTGGTCTCGGGATCTGCCTCCAACGTCTCCAGAGGGATGAGGAAGCGATAGCAGCAATTTGCGTTGACGGGATCAACGGGAACAACCTTTCGGCCCAAGATGGCTTCAGGTGCGATGGAGTGGACACCGTCGGCAGCAATGACTAGATCGCCACATATTTCACGCCCAGTTGCGAGCGTGATTGACGGTTTCCAAGGATCCTAGCCGTGTACACTTTGTTAACCTCAAAACCAACAGCCGTTGCAAAGATACCTGTGCGCCATGAATAAAAACATACCAATGCCATCACCAGCGAGTCTAGGTGAATCGTGGCCGGAGCACCAGGGCCATCGGATCTGGTGGCCATCCATTTCAAAGCGTTGTGTAGGTCGACACGATGGGATAACCACAGGGGTAAGCCGCCAACAGAAGCAGACGACTTGTCGTTGTACAGGGCAGCTCTCGGCTGCAGAGTAAAAGGATCGACCAAGTCCGCATGCCGCGCCTCTACCCAGCGCCATTGGACAGGATCCAACCCCCAGGCCGTCAGAAATCTGCTTGCATTGGGAGGCACGTGGATGGCAGCACCGAACTCGTCGTTCATCGACGACTTCTCGTATAAATGGACGCAGTGTCCAGCCCGTCGGAGCGAAATGGCTGCCGATAGGCCCGCAATTCCGGCCCCGACAATAACGACGTTGAGCATGGTAGCAGGTTGTTTGGGCGAATCCGTACGATTTTCAACAATGGGGTCGGCCACTTGTGTGTTGTTTGACTCTGATACGTGTCGCGGTCATTCTCCTTGAATGATGGAATGTTGCGAGAGCCAAGAGGTCGAAGCAGGCGAGCGCGAGATTTAATAGACACCATGGGAAACATCAGCCGCAAAGACTTTCAAACACCCATCGGCAGAGCTCTTCGGGCTAGCACTCAGCCGTCAGCAGCTACAAGAAAAGCGGATCGTGGGGGACGGGATGAAGAAATTGAAGACATGGATGGGCAAGCACACAGGATTCGAGCCACGAAACACAAAGCTGACAGGAGTCCGTTTGTAACACTGCACACCTAGGCAGAACTGGTCTTGATGTTCTTCCTCTTTGGACGTCCAGGGCGCCTGGCGGCATTCAACGACACGTCATGGCCGCAAGAGTGGCTTGGTGACGGAAGCATGTCCGGTCCAACAGTCGGCCGTCACCCGTATTTTGCCTCGCAATTCAGCGACATCGATTGTGCAGACGCATGCGGCGTCATCTTTCCTGTGGCTGCTGCAACTGTGCAGGTCAAGCCAGCCGAAAAGAAAAGAGCAGCGTGCGGCCGGCTCTGCCAGCAGATTTTGATTGGTTGCCGCAGACCAAATCGACACGAGGATGTCTTGTCGGTAGAGTCTGCAGTGTCCGGTGGGCGCGCATTCCGGTAGATGGCAGACGTCAGATGAAGAGGATTCGAGGGGCCACGATGCGGGGAGCGAACGGGTTGTGGGCGGCAGAGACGAGGACGGGAAGGAGCCAGGGAGGGGCGCCAATTCAGGTGGTGGAAGGTGCAGCCCACCACTTTCCGTCGCTGTTCTTTTTGAAGATGCCATGCCGTGCCTCTTTATTTCGATCGATTCCGCATTTCCCTCGCTTGGCGCACCCTTCCTTGCCGCATGCCGCTTTATAGCAAGGCGGCGTGATACCAGACAAATCCGGGAATGGCGACACCTTCCCACACATTGCAGAAAGATGCCGCACCAATATCTACTAGCTTAAAAAGAACACCGTGACCTAGTTTACCTTGTCCCACAGATTTGAATCCTTCATCTTATCGCAAAGAGTATCCAACTCTTTAGAATCAGGTAAACTGAGACATAGTGTTTATTTCAAGCTAGTAGATTTTTGGCCTGTTTCTTTTTTCCCTTTTTCTCTACTTCTGCTATAAAGTATTTTCTTCTAACAAACGTAGATGATTCTCTATTTTTACCTCAAGCCATATGAATAAAACCATTTACAGCGTGCAACGCCAAGGTATGGCTCTTGCTACAAACCCTAACCCGCGCAAGCTTGTAGAGATGGACTCGCCCGCGACGTGGCTGTCCACAAGACGCACAAACCTTTGTCACACTTGCAGGGAAAGTCGAAAAATGTGTGCTACGTATGTACTAGTCGGAAGAAGACAAAGGACACGTCGGTACACAACTGAACAATAGTGCGCGGATCCCTGATACATCACGGTGCCACGAGCGTATTGTCGGAGGAAAGATGTCCAGTACTATTTTAGCTACTACCTAAGATTGACATGTAGGCACTTACAATGTTGCCCTGTAGCACAGCTAGTTAAATTCCAACACGTATAGACCAACATGTTCACCAGCAAACACCGAGTAACTTGGAACACGACAGGGCGACGATTGGAACAACTTTGAGAATTTGGCAGACATTGACAGCCTAGCAATAGCTATGATTTATGTCTCAACATCGTCTGGCGAGCACGTAAATACTCGATAAAGTACATGCTCCTGGGAAAAATCCCCAATCTTGGGCTCGCCCGCGTCAGAACCAACATCTAGGTAGATGCGAACCGAAATACCGTCCCTCGACTCCCTTTTAGAAACAACATTGAACATTCGATAGAGCCTCCCAAGCGCGCCCGTGCACGTACTGGCCACATCTGCAGGCATTTACTTTGACGTCGTCTTTGGCTTGTGCCCACCCGGAGAGGGCTTCGCTTTCCGCGCGCCAGCAGGCTTGCTCTGGCCGTCGACCGTCTTGGGCGCGTGAAGGGGGTCGACGGGCGACCGGTCGGCGCTGACGTCCTCCTCCGACTCTGTGGGCTGCGGTTTGTGGCTCTGCGAAGACGACGCCGCCGCGGCTGCCTTCTTCTTGGGCATGCCCGGCGATGCGCTCATCGAGAAGGGCCGCGTCGCCGCGAGCGGCACCAGTCGTGTGCATGCGGCGCGGGCGCGCAACGGGAATTGAGCCGTGGCAAGTTTCGTGGACGACATTTTCGTTGCGTTGTGCAAGATGGCATCTGTACGCACGTCCAGGGAAGAGCCAAGTTCGTTTGAGGAAGCCGATGAGGGGTTCAGGCATCTATCTCCATGGCATGATGCCGATGCTGCCGTGGCAAAAGGCGGGAGCGCTATGCCCGATCCGGGTCGCGCCAGACAAAGTGTAATCCAAATATCAGAGCAACCAATTCGCCGAGGTGGAGGGGCTTTGTCTATGCTCTTTACTTGACGGAGCGTCGCCAAGGCGACAAATCTCTGCCGTAGCTTTGTACTGAAAAGTCGCGATTTGTATGCAATCCCCTTGTGATCACTGATGACGCACAACATGATCCGGTTAATGGAGTGGTGGGGAAGCGCCGCAGAAAGCGGAGTTGGTCCCCGGCTCCCCGGTGTCGGCACGAGGCCAGCATCGGCATAACCACCATCTCGAGTGCTTGTTACAGAGGTCAATTCCTTCAAAACCATCACTCATTTTACCTACTCTCATCCCATCGCAATGGCGGCGTCTTCCGATTCAATCGTGATTGTGGGGTGAGCCCGAGATCCGGTTCTCTTGCCGTGTGTGATGCTCCATCAAATGCTCATTGATGTTTTCCCAGCGCGGGCATTATTGGACTCGATGTCGCCCTGGTCCTTGGCAAGCGCGGGTTAGGCCAATGCATCACCATTGTTGCCGAACACCTCCCGGGTGATACTTCGCCATCCTACACCTCGCCGTGGTATGATGCTCCCTGTCCTTGCCAAACCAACATGAGTCCCGACTCCTGACCTGTCCCGCTCCAGGGCCGGCTGTAACTTCTCCGGTATATCGGGGAGCGACGCCAACGCGCTGCGATGGGACAAGCTGGGCTACGCTCACCTCACCACCCTCGCCGCTGACTATCCCACCGAGTCGTTTGTGTCGTGGACGCAATCCATAGAGTACTGGGACGCCAACGCACCCCAGGACAAGATCAAATCCATCTCGGGATATATGAAGGACGTAGGCTTCTCCTCCCCCATTCAACAGGCAAAACACAGTCGCTCATCTCGTGCAAGTTCACCATCATCCCCCAACAAGAACTACCCCCCGGCGTCGAATACGGCGTGTCCTGCACATCCGTCACCGTCAACGCGCCCAAACACCTCACATACCTCTACGACCTGCTCAAAGACCACTACGGCGTCCGCTTCCTCCGCCAGAAGCTCCCCAGCATCCAGGCGGCCTACGCCAGCCCCCGGACCCAAATCCTCTTCAACTGCACCGGCAACGCGGCCAGGACGCTGCCCGGCGTACAAGACGCTAAGTGCTTCCCGACCCGGGGCCAGGTCGTTCTCGCACGAGCCCCCACGATGCGCAAGAATGTGATGCGCCACGGCCGGGACTACGAGACGTACATTATCCCGCGGCCGCAGTCCAACGGCAACGTCATCCTGGGCGGCTTCATGCAAAAGGGCAACAAGTAAGTCGGCTTCACAGTCTTCATGTCCCGGCGCCAAGTGTCTGATTCTGTTCACCACCCGCAGCGACCCGTCTACATATGGCCACGAAACAGACTCGATTTTAAGGCGCACAAAGGGTCTCTGTCCTCGGGAGCTGCGCGACGGACCGTGCGAGGTGCTGGCTGTGTTTGCGGGCGCCCGGCCCTCACGCGAGGGCGGAGCGAGGATCGAGCGCGAGAGCATCTCTGTCGGCGGATCTGAACGCCTCTTGGTGCACAACTATGGCGCTGGCGGCACTGGGTTCCAGGCTGGCTATGGCATGGCGCTTGATGCTGTTGCCTGCGTCGACGACGTGCTGCGGGAGCTGGAGCAGCTGGTGAACCGGGCCAAATTGTAACTTGGGCGCTGGTGATGGTGTTGCTGCGCAGCGGCAAACGCGCGAGGTCCTTCTGAGGGCATGTATCTGGAAGGACTAGTAAGTCAATAGATGACGAGTGGCGAGGAAGGGACATGGCCGGATATTTTGTTCATTAGTACAGCAGCAGTGATTGTCTGGTACACTTGACGCTTCCCGCGTCCAACAGAGCTTTGTGCCTGCGAATTTTAGTAATGGGCGGCCAGCCTATCGCAGCCGGTGAAGCAACTTGTTAGTTATGGTGGCCTCTATTGTCGCAAAGAAGGGAAAAAAGGCCTGCTATTGTATGAGAATAGTCAGTGTGTGTCTCGTCTAATCCCCCCCAAGCGCGCAGAGTTGAGACGATAATGCCAGTTTCAGCTGCTCTCGGTGGTCCTGTTTATATTCCAATATTTGGCACAAATCCACCGCACCATCCATGTCAGCCTTTGGTGGTTTGGGATAATCTTGGAAGCTACGGAGCGTGGCCTTGGCTGAAACACATTGTTAACTCGACTTGTTAACTACTATCTGTTAAAGTTTAGTGATTGTCTCATGCCGCTAACAGCCTCCCTGTGTTGGGTTTCACGTTTTAAGGGATAACCGAAATATTGTGGGGGGCAAATAACCCAAGAGAAACGGCATTAACCGGGGATGATCTGAAGAGTATCATATATATTATGATGCGGCCCTTGATTCATAAACGAGCCACTACTCGTTTAAGTTGCTGCTAGCACGAGACTGCCTTGGTTGGCATTACTGTACACCCCGGCCATGTTTTGACAAAGTTTGCATCAGATGCCCGATTAGTTCCCGGATGCCTAATGAGGGCAGACGGGGCTCCTTATCTGCTCTGATCCTGGAAATTTGTGATTCGCATTGATGCGCCTCATCTTGGCGCGTAATCGGTTTGCGTGCTGTAGCGCCTCAACTTCAACCCAGAAAACGCGGACGGGCGTCTCTTTGGCGATACCCTTCTCCACTTCCACATGGCCGAAATGATGTCATCTCCCGGTTGATATGTTCCCCAAGATTCCAAGATGGCTTCGGAGGGAATCATTGACTTGTGGAGCCCCGTGACGGCAAAAATCACGGCCGCATCCGCCATGCGGCCGATATTACGACTAGTGATAGATGAGTGATTGATGACGGAAGCCATGATAAATACACGAGAGTTGAATCTGTCATAAAAAGACGTCCCAAGATACTGCGGCAAAATTGATGTGGTCTCTCTTAAAATTTTAAAGCCTCCCCAACCACGTGGTGTGAAATCAACATGAGAAGGATAGTCACGTTTCAGGTCTTCTCCGCCATTGTTTGTAATAGAGCTCGCTCTGCATTTGGGTTATATCCTCGTCTTGTGTTATACATGCTCGCCTAGCATTTATTGGTATCATATTTGCATCATATTGCCACGAGTCGTGTACGCATACTTGTCCGCTGTTTATGCTTACTGGACTGGGGGATTGAAGCCGGAAAGACTCTACCGGTGTTTCACCTCTGATATTCTAGAAACCGACTTTTCGGCTTTGAGTCTGTCCCACGCATGTTTCACCAGGGCTACATATCAACCGACTTCTTGTATACATAGAGCTCTCTAGGTCAACCTGGCTGCTTCGTTATGCAACTTTCCAACCATCCCTCACATCCATATGTCTGTCGAGATCTTATAGTAGAAATCATGAGGATTCATGTGCTCTTAGTAGCTGGAACAGCCCATGCCGCCTTTCGACAACGCTGGAGCATGCAAAAGGTTACAAATGCCCCGTCCAGCGTCGTCGCAGCAGATTCACAACAAGCTAGCCAGGATCCATGTGCAATTATTAGCAAAGCTTTCGAGGCCGTTGCTACGAACAAAACGTCCAATGGGCCTATAATTCTTGACTTGAGGCCATCTGTAGGAACTGCATGTCGCAAATCACTCCCGGTGATGCAAAAGGCCAACCTCAAGCTTCTGGACTACCTCCGGCCATACATCGAGTTTCAGAGCACCATAGAGCTCCTAAAAGATCCTCCACCAGAGTACTTGCTCCCTGGCGTCGATATCATGGGCGGCATGCAGGCCATGAGGCAAAAGCTTGAGAACAACAGTTACGAGTCACAGCTAGACGTGATGACTGACTTGCACAACATTGTAGGCGGAAAGAAGAATTTTGAGCATTAATAGGTGAGCCGCAACTGACAACAAGATAGTTTGTCGCGGCAAGCGACAATCACTTTGGCTACCTACCGGGCCTATTCAGCGCATTTCGATATGCCCGACCCGATCTTAACTTCAGATCTATTTCGACCGATGGATTCGATATGCCACAGATTTTCGACGCACAGGATCTTTTAGCCCTCGAAAATAAGACGTATACGCCGTCTCCTGTTGCCACAATTGATGGTCAGGAGGTATACGAATTCCTGGAGAAGGAGGCCATGGGCGTGCCTCAAGGTCATCAAGATCCGGATGCCAAGTTAAATTTACTCTTTGACTCAATTCCATTAAGAGCTGCCGGAGGTGGAAGCGCAGCTAGGTTTTCCATCCTCGAGATCCCGGACAGCTACACCATTGTACATAAAAACGGCACCTTGCGGATTGTGACAAACTCTATCGTTACTCTTCCAGATGTAAATCTCACAGGCATCCGGTCCGGCCAAGAATTCCAAAAGAGATTTGAAATTCCTCCGCGGAACAAAACAGCTGAGACTCCGCCGCCGGCACCACCTAGGAACGAGTCTGCTCTTGTTGATTATCCAACGCCCCTCGTCAAGCACTCTGATGAGTTTGTTGCGAGCTATGCTCTAAACGACACTGAGATGCGCGACACCATGGTCATTTCATTCCTCAGTTTCGTTTCCCTCGTAAAAGAGGATATTTTAGCCAATGAAACTGCTCTTGGCTCATTTGTGCGCCAGTTCGGAGACGTCATTGACCAAACAGCCAAAGCAGCCAAGGAGCAAGGCCGGGACAAGCTCATCATCGACATGTCCGCCAACGTCGGCGGATCACTCGACCTCACAGACTTTGCATACACCACCTTCTTCCCAGGGGCTCGCTTCGACAGCTTTGACCGGTACCGAGTCGACAGCGGGCTCAACTTCCTAGCGCGCGGCGCAAGCCCCAAGGCCGTGTTGAGACTTTTCGTCGCGCCAGAGGGACTACCCATTGACGCGGCGAACCGCACAATCGACTCTCCCGACGCCTTGTTTGCACCCAGGCCCATCCAAGGCCAGAACATGACTGCCGAGTTTCACAGGAACGCGTCCACGCGCTACTTTATCAAGCCGGACGTGTTTCTGCGCGGCTACGAGCCCAACGAGACGGCGGCGAGGCGCGAGCCCCCCTGGAAGCCCGAGAACATGGTCATTCTCACCGACGGGCTGTGCGCGTCGGCCTGCACCATCTTCACGGGCCTCTTGGTGCGCAACTTTGGCATTCGCACCATTGCCCTCGGCGGGCGGCCCCTCAACAAGCCCATGCAGGCCATAGGGGGCGTCAAGGGCACCCAGGTCTTTGCCAACGCCGAGATTCAAAACATTACAGCCGACGCGGTGAGAAAAAGCGCGGGCCAGGCTCGTCAGCAGTCGGCTCGGTCCATCCCCAGCGTACGGGATGCGCCTCTTTTGCCGCTCATGCAAGAGCCCGGCAGCGGCGGGTCGGTCAACTTGCGCAACGGCTATTCGCAGGACGATGTGGACGGGTTCCCGTTGCATTTCAAGTATCAAGCTGCGAATTGTAGGCTATTTTACACGAGTAAGATGCTCACCGATGTGGCTGAGACGTGGCGACGGGCGGCGCTGGTTGCTTTTAGGAACGGGACGTGTGTTCCTGGGTCGACTGTCAACTCGGACGGGACAATGGGAGCCAAGGCACCTGAATTTGACCCGGACGTGCGAGGGAGGGCACCGGGAGTGCCTAGGCCTACTCTCGAATGACCGGGCCTAGCTGGTGCTTCTTGGAACTTGGGAGCTTGTATTATCTGTTTACAAATAAAATAATGCCGAGTGGGTTTTTATGTTCACGCTTATGCTAGCATTGCGCTTTTATTATATTTATAACCTAGTCTATAAAGGGATTTACTGGTATAATCTTAACTAGAGTCTATTTCAGTAATAGCTAGCCTTGTATTTTTTTACTTAAAACTATAAGGACATCCGAAACCCGACGAAACTGACCGGGGTCTCGACATGCTAGAGCATCGAGCAGCTTACTTTCTCGAGCAGCTCCAAACTAAAGCCGCCCAGACGAAACGTCGGGGCTGTTGCTTCCGGAGATACAGTGTTGAAGTCTGCTGCCGGAAAATCGACGATTTTGATAACAGGATTGCCCGTCTTCTGCCGGAAGCGTTGGTCTCCCCTGTGGATATTGTGTCATCTGGGTCGTGGGGTCCTGCAGGAAAATAGTTGCCGTATGAAATATCCACATTATAAACCTCGTCAATTACACCTGTACGTGGATTTACGGCGTTAATTCTGATGGCAGTGAGTTGTGAACACCGTATAAGGTCCGAAAGTCAGCTGCCTGTACAACTCACAAGCGCGTCATGGACAATTCTCCGCTTGTTCCGTGTCGCATACGAGGCATACGGACTGGCAACTGCGGTCTAACTCCCGGAACGTGACTCTTGGGGAAGATGAGCAATAACGTTTGTGGCAGACCGTGTGGCTGATGGTTGCAGCAACCGTTGACGTATTCTATGGGTCAACGCTTCAAATACTGGGTGATGGTTTGTGGCGTCATGTTCGATTGCCAGTGAATTGCTACAGGCCGGACTACATTGGGAATAGAACATTGAACAGAAAACTGGACAGCCTGGTTGCTGCTCTCGGTCAGACTGTCAGGCTACCTTTGGCATCATTGATGTTACACGGTCTGTTATGGTTCCCTGGTATATATACGACGAACATATATTACCTATTAATCCTAAGAACTACTAGTAGTGCAAGCCCACTCACAGTCGGCCGAGCTTAAACTCTAAAAGAGAACTCCATACAACGACTGCAAGTACCCTCTACAAGTTACTTTTGAGTTCCCGTTATAGCCAAGTCTAGGCTCCTACATGTACACTCCACTGCCGCCACAGACTAGCTGCACACTACCCCAAGTATCGGTAGGGTCGTGGCTGGCACAAGTTCCGGATTCGACAGCACGGTTACGGACCTTGCAGGATCCATCTCTATAGATTGTAACTAACCTCAAGTAAGCCTCTAGAACTTGTATTAGTCGCGGGGTTGCTATAAAACTTACAAGTACACTGTGGCCCAACGTATGGCGCACTCAGAGACAGATACGAGTTCGAAATAGGGCGGCATGACCCTACTGGAGCGATATGTTGATAGCCATGTCCTTGGCAACTGTAATCTGCAAAGAGTTTGAATTGCGGGAACTTGGCAGCAGCGCTAGCCACAATACTGGCAGCGGCGAGAATACTTGCAGTATACATATTGTAGTATTTGGTGTAAAAGAGAAAGTTCTTGCGGTATTGTGTGCTGTTTATTTACGGTAGTTCTTGTCAGTATAATATTAGAGGCTACGCCGTGTATTTATACTTGTAAGATTGTCTTGTTGCTTGGCTGGCAGCCAAATTACAGAATAGATAGGTAAGTTGGCAGCCTAAATATTGCGGATCTTTTGACTTTCACTTTTCTTGTTTAAGGTTTAGTTAATAAAGTTACGATTTTTTTCTGTTGGAGAGGGGAGGGGGCTTACACTTGACCCGGCAAAGAGTTTTACAGTAAGTTATGTGGCTTACAAGATAAACCTATTTGTCTACATATGTACCTTGAAGCAGTAAACCTGCCTCGAAGAATTATATCTCCAATTGCTATTACAATTAGCGTTACAAGTTAATAGCAGAATAGCCAAGTAATGGCAGATAAATAGCGGTTTGCCCTTATACTCTTTTTTCCTCCGCGGCGAGCGCGGGGCCGACGTAGTTTTGCGACGCGTCGGCCATTTCCGCGTCGTACGTCGTCGTGCAGCTCGGAGGTCCATTCGGACATGGCAATGACTGATGCAGCGAGTTGATGCTGCCAGACAGCTGGTATAGCGCACGCGTGGTAAGCTACGTTGTTGTCTGTTGTTCGGCCTTTGCGAAACCAGCTTGTCAGTTCTGTCGACTAATCTCACCTGGCCAAACGCAACCGAAATAGGTGACACGCATGAATTTAGACAATTGTAAACTGAAAAGTACTTGACCATGTACATTAGCAAAATTGAGAGTTATATACCACAAGCAGCGCTATTTTCACGGAAGAGGCTATATCTACAATCTGGTACCATCTACTCCTGCGCGCTTTCTGCGCGCCGTCAGTGCGCGAGCTTCTTCAATATAGACTCGCTCAGCGTTGTAAGCGTTCGCGATCCCACAATCTCCAGAGCGCTGATTTCGACATTAAGTTCGGCACGCAGCCAGTTCCGCAACTCGACTGCAACTAGCGAGTCAACACCGTAGTTGGCCAGCAAACGCATAGGATCGATAGACTCGTCAATGCCCAAGCTACGCATCAGCACCGTGTTCAAGAGCTCCGTGGCAGCAGCCAACAGGGTCTCCTGCGCAACCCCTCCCTTGCTGGCGCCCTTGAGGATGGCCAGCTTGCTAGACGCCGACGATGCTGTGCCGCTCGAGCCCGACGAGGTGCCCGCGGCCGCCCGCAGCGAGCTGAAGCGGTGGACAGCTTCGAACGGAGGGTTGCCGGGGGTAATTGCCGTGATGAGCTGCCCGGCCTGCTGCGGGTTGACCTTGCCAGTCTGCAGGAGGATGCTGGATCGGATGATGCGGTGCAGCAGAGCTTCGTTGATGGGCTTCCACCCGCGTGACTCGAAGATGCGGCCGAGCATGTCCTTGTCCTTGAGGTATCCCACCTCTTCGACGGGGCCGAGGTTGATGGCGTTGGCAGGAAGGCCCTGCTGGATGCGGTATGCCGCGAACGAGTCGAGGAAGCAATTTCCAGCGGCGTAGTTGGACTGTCCTAGCTGGCCCAACAGGCCGCTCACACTGGACAGCATGGTGAAGAAGTCGAGGGGCGTCGGCTGCTCCAACGATGCCCTGTGCAGGTTCCATGTTCCGTCGACCTTGGGAGAGATGGGCTCGCGGAACTCGCCCGGCGTCATGGTGGTGAACATGCGATCCCGCAGCACCATGGCGCCCTGGATCACACCGACGACGGGCTTGGACGCCGAGGCGAACGCTCGTCGGACGTCGTCGAGGCTGGTAATGTCGCCCGTGACGAGGTCCACGCTGCAGCCCAGCGAGTTGCAGTCGTAGACCGTCTTCTGCGATTTTTCATCTTCGTAGCCGCTGCGTGAGATGGCGACAATGTTCTTGGCGCCGCTCCGGGCCAGATAGACGGCCAGGCTGCCGCACAAGCCCTTGAAGCCGCCGGCGATGAGGTACGACCCGTCGGCGCGGAGGCGAAGCCGTGGCGCTGCTGGCCGGTATTCAATCGGTGTGGTTCTGGCCTTGTCGTACGAGATGACCACCTTGCCAATCTGCTTGCCGCGCTGCATGTAGCGGAAAGCCTCGACAGTTTGCTCGAATGGGAAGACTTTGCATACGTGGAGCGGCTTGATGTGCTTGTGCGCAATCAAGTCCATGATGTACTCGCCCGTCTTGCGCGTCGTTTCGTCGGTGATGCTGGGACGCGAAAGATCTAGCGGTCGGTACGAGCAGTTGCGGTCAAACGGCTCCATGGACAGGTTGTTGCGGTCGAGCATATCCTTCTTCCCAATCTCGATGAGGCTACCATTCTCTGCAATGCACCTCCACGACTCATGCAGCAGATCCCCGGTCAGCGAGTTGAGGCAAAAGTCCACGCCGCGGCCACCCGTGGCCCTCATCAGCTCTGGGCCGAACGAGACGGAGCGGGAGGAAAACATGCGGTCCCTGGGAATACCGTAGTTTTCCGAAAGGAAATCGCGCTTGGCCTCTGTGCCCACCGTCACGTAGATCTCGGCGCCGATGTACTTGCAGAGATCGATGGCCGCCAGCCCGACGCCGCCCGACGCCGAATGGATCAACACCGAGTGCCCCTTCTGGATGTTGGCCATGGTCACGAGGCCGTAGACGGCCGTGTGCACGGCGATGCCAAAAGTGGTGCCCTGTTCAAAGGAGATCCAGTCCTGCAGGAGATAGACGGCGTGCCAGCGGTTGCGGACCTTGTTGCCAAAGCAGCCACCGTCACGGCGGACCATGAGCACTCTGTCGCCGGGCTTGACGGTGGTGACGTCTCGTCCGATTTCAGTGACAACACCGGTGCATTCAAGCCCAAACAGACGCTCGTTGGCGGGGACAAAGCCCATGGCATTGGCCAAGTCCTTGAAGTTCATGCCGGCGGCGCGCACCTCAATCTCGACCTCGTCATCTTTCAGGGGGGGCATGTCTGGGATCTCAGTGTACGTGAGCGTATCCAGGGTGCCGGTCCTGTCACTAATGAGTCTGATGGTAGATTGATGGCCGCCGATGATGTCCTTGACCTTGTCGGCGCCGTGCTGACTGTCATGCTCGAGTTTGTTCACGGCCTCATCAGAGACAACACGACTGGTGTAGAAGACGCCCTTGCGCTCCACAAACTCGCTGTCCACCTTGGACACCTCGGAGAGCTTGCGCAAGTGTTTCAGGGCTCTGTCTATGGCGCCAAAACTGGCATGGCTGTCGTTGGATTCGACATCGAGACACACAAATACATTGCGGGGATACTCGGCCTTGAGTGACCGAGAAGCACCAAACATGAGACTGAGCTCCGGAGTGCTGACTTCCATTTGCGATCTGCAATGTACCGGTTAGCTGAGTCGTACAACGAACTGACTAGTCAAGTGTGCCTAGCTGCACGTTTTCATCCAAACTTACCCCTTGGTGACCCAAAGGATCTTGCACTCGCGCTCAAGCAATCCCCGCAGCAGTTCAAACTGCTCATCCAGCAAGTCAGTCAAGACGGGAGAAAACATTTCATCCAAGACAAGAACGGTGCTCTTGTCCACGATTCCGTCCAGGGAGAGACTTTGCTCAACAATCTGCCACCCTTGCTTGGCCAGGGCATCCCGGGCAGCATCAGTAGAACCATTGCTGGTTTTGAAGTGCACCAGGTTGACAACCTTGTCAGCCGAGTCTTCGGCCTGAGAAGCACTGTTGCTGGCGATGCCAAAGAACATGACGTGTGAAGGGCCGTCTCCAGAGAGCTTGACAGTGTTGTACCCAGGAACAGCGACATCCACCTCCTTAATCCGGTCTGAAATGCCATGTTAGTTATCCAGTCGTTCTGGGAGTATGAAAAAGTCAAAAGAAGCACGGATCAGATACTCACCAACTTTTGTACCCACGGCATCGTCGTTGAGGACGAGCAGGTATCCACCATCGGCTACCGCTTGTCGTGCCCCTTCGAGGGCTTTGACGAGAGCAGTGGTGATGGTGGAGGCTCTCAGTATCACAATGTCAAACTTCTCGTCATCGGCAACAGAAGCAGTAAGGCAGTCTGCCTCATGGACCACGTGAGTCACATTTGTTTCAGAAGTGTACTTCTCTCTGAGCTCAAGAGATGCCTTGTGAGCTGGTGCCGATAAAGTATATGCGCAGCCCTCAGCTATGGGACCGGAGAGCTGGCGGAGGCCATCTAGCCACAGACTACGCGCAGTGTCCTGTTGTCCCTCCTCGTAGAGGACTTCAAGTATCTTGCTCGTCGGCTTCCCATGAGCCATGATGGAAACGGCCTTGGCGACGGCGGCCATCGGCGCCGTGTTGGAGGTGGCGGCTGCAGACATGACAGCCGAGAGCTGTTCCGGCGTGAGGAAACTGGCATCCTGTGCCCATTGAACTTGAGTGAAGACGTGAGGCGCGTCCGCGCTCGCACTGATGGAGTGATATCTGAGCCCCTGCAGGTGGAAGAGAGTTTGGTTCGAGCCCTCGGCATAGGTGCGAATGTCGCTGTAGAACCTCTTGTTATCGTCGGGGCGGCCAACGCCACTCCACATGGCCTCTGAGGCTACGATGCCCCGTTCAACGTGGTCGGGCTGTTGGAAGATGACAAGGTTGTCAATGAGACGAGGCGGCATCATTGTGTCCAAGGCCGAGCGATGGCCGCGGTTGAGAGCAACCGTGGCAATCTGGAGGCAGCCATCGATGGCTGTGGGATGCATGGCGTATTTGCTCTGGGGATAGCGCGATGGCGGCGTGTCCAGCTTGATAATGGCTCGGCAGTTTCGCGCATCAGCCTTGGCCTCGATAGACTGGCAGGGTTGAAAGGCCGGGCCGAAGAAGTATCCAACGTCTCTCATAGCTTTATACCACACGGATCCTGGAACGCCAAATTTCAAGGGGCCGACATCGTCAGCCGTCGCAACGTGGCGGGCATGTTCTCCGATGGACACCAAGCCCTTGCAGTGCTCCTCCAGAGCGCCGTTGCCGTCCTTGGGAATGGACGATATGGTGAACTCGTGCCAGGTCTCCTTGGTGCTGGAGCACGGCTCCAGCGAGAGCACCAGCTTGGTACCGGCATGTTCGTTGAGCGTCAACATATGGGGGAACGCGACGTTGCGCAGCTTATACGTCTGGTCCACGACGGCGGCATCGTCGGGAATGGCCCCCAGCACCTTGCTTTTCTGATACATGGCTTCGATGGCCATGGCGATGTAGCCGGCGGCGGGGAAGATGATGCTGTCGCCCAGCGTATGGTCCTTGAGCCAAGTCACGTCGCTCACGCGGAGGTTGTTCTTCCAGATGGGCCGCGTCCATGGGGTCCCAAGGATCTTGCTGCCCAGCAAGTCGTGGTGCACAAACTTGCGGAATCTCCAGTCGGAGCTGGACTCGCTCTCGTGCCAGTACTTTGTCGAGTGATCCCACTGGTAGTTGGGCAGGTCCGACACAAATGTGGGAGGGTCCGGCAGGCCATCGTCGTTGAACGGCGCCAAGCTGATGCCCGAACCGGCGTTGAAGAGCTTGCCGGCGCATTCGAGCAGCGTCTGCATGGCCCCGACGCCTCTCTTCCACGCCGACGTGTAATCAAGAGACGTTCCCGCCGCCTTTTGAACCTGGTTGACGGGACCCGAGAGGGCATTGCTGGGGCCAATCTCGATGAGGTAGTTGATGCCCTCGCTCTCCGCCTGGACCATGCTTGTAACGGCTTGGCTGAAAAGAACGGGGGAGAGCATATTCTTGACCCAATAGTCGGCCCCAGGCGACTCCCCGAGGCGCTTGTTTATGGTGGACGAGAACATAACCGTGCCCGTGGGGGCCGATCGAGTCTCCCACTCGACGTGTCTCTCCAACAGCTCCATGTACGCATCGGAAGCGGCATTCATATGGCGAGAGTGATAGGCAGAATCCACCTGCAGAAGGCGAGCAAAGTGTCCGTCGTCTTTGATCCTTTGCCCCAGCTGCTCCAGCTCCGACCTGAGACCCGACACGGTGATGCTCTGGGGGCTGTTAAAGCAAGCAATTTGGGCCGAGGAGCCATCCAAGTACTTTTGGGCGGTGTCGGGTCCCAGGCCGACAGCCATCATCCCGACGGGGGCGGCGTGCTCGACCGCGGACGTGGCCTTTCCACGGTAAAAGGCAATTTTGATGGCCTGCTCGGGGGTCAACAAGCCGGCGGCCACGGCCGCGGCAATCTCGCCCGAGGAGTGGCCAGCGACGGCGCGACAGGACACACCGGCGGCGTCGAAAATGGAAAGAATGGCCAGCTGCAGGGCTGTGACGAGAGGCTGGGAGATTTCGGGGAGCCTCATGTGGTCCGGGGAGCGAGGGCCGGTGAGCTCGTCATAGAGCGTCCAGGCTGGGGCCCCGTACGACTTTTGCAAGACGTCGTCGAGTTGCTTGACCGTCTTGGCTGCGACGGGGAAATTTGCCAGCAGCTCTCGGCCCATCTCGGGCCACTGGGCGCCCTGGCCGGAGAATACGAAGGCAACAGAGAGTGGCTCGTCACGCACATGGTCTGTCTCAAAGGCCTCTGCGTCGAGATAGTGGTCGGACGCCAGGACAAAGCCACGGTGGTAGTGGCGAGACCTGCGCTCGCCGAGGGTATACGCCAGATCCCGTTGCTGGACGCACACGCTGGGATCCGAGAGGTGCTTGTCCAGCGCGGAGAACTGGCCCTGCAACGACTTGTCGCTGTTGGCGGAGAGCACCATGATGCGCTGCCTCTGGTCAAGCTGCTCCTCCTCGGCGACGGCAAGACGGCTCTGGTCGTGATACGATGAGACATGATGGCGCGGGAAGCCCTTGGCCTCGTCGACAATAGCGTGGGCATTGGAACCACCGTAACCAAAGGAGTTGATGCTCGCTCGCCGCAGGGACACGGCGGGCCAAGGGGTGGCGGTCCGAGAGGTCCAGATACGCAGCTTCTCAAAGTCAATCTTGGGGCTTGGGTCGACAAAGGTCGGGTTGCCGGGAATCACGTCGTGCTCCAGACTCAGGACCGTCTTGATGAGCCCCGAGAGGCCGGCAGCAGGTTCCGAGTGGCCGATGTTACTCTTGACAGACCCGATGCGCAAGGGCCGCTCCGGAGACTGGAACTCGGTGAAGACGCTGGCGATGCCGCTGGCCTCGATGGAGTCGCCGGCGCGCGTGCCCGTGCCGTGGAACTCGACGTAGCTCGTCTGCGCGAGGTCGCGGATGCCGGCGTTGCGGTACGCCTGGCGAATGGCGGCCGACTGCGCCACGGGGTTCGGGCTCGCAATGCCGGCCGTCCAGCCGTCGCTATTGGTCGCCGTGCCCCGCACCACGGCCCGGATCGGGTCCTTGTCCCGGATGGCGTCGGCGAGGCGCTTCACGTAGATCATGTTGACGGCCTCGGCCTTGATGTAGCCGTCGGCCTTGGCGTCGAACGTGTGGCACTTGCCCGATAGAGAGGCCGCGCCGTTGGCTCCCATGTAGTGGTCCATGACGTGCTCCGGGCTGCAGTACAGATTGGCACCGGCGACCACGGCCGACTCAATCTCGCCCGTGTGCAGGTATTTCATGGCCAGGTCAAGACCGATCAGGGTGCCCGAGCAGGCTGTGTCGATGGTCATGCTGTCGAGGGCAGGGTTAGTTCAAGGGGTCTGCGGACTCTTGTTCCCTTTCTCTGCGACGTGGTCGACGTACCTGGGGCCCTTCAGGTTGAAGGAATGGCTGATGCGGTTGCTGAGCATGGTTCTGCCCACGCCCACAACCGTGGCCGACGCGCGATTCTCGGGATCGCGAGCTTGCATGTCGCCATAGTCGCTGGCAAAGGAGCTCACGAAGCACCCGACTCGGGCGCCATCGAGCTGCTCCATGGTCACTCCGGCGTTCTCCAGACCCTCGTAGACAACCTCTAGAAGCTGTCGCTGTTGGGGGTCCATGGAAGTGGCCTCGACCCCCGAGAGGTGGAAAAACTTGGCGTCAATGTCGGCCGGGTCGACGCCTTGAAGGAACATGCCGCCGGGTGACGCCATGGTCTGTGACTTGAGAGAACCGTCGTAGTGTGTTGCGAGGTCATATCTGGTGCCTGGGGGGGTATTGATAGCGATCTTGCCATCGAGCAGGAACTGCCAGAACTGCTGGGGGTTGTGGCATTGATCCGGTAGACGGCATGCCATGCTTACAATTGCTACTGGTGTCTGGACACTTGGGTCCGCCCTGGGACCATGACCGTCGCTCCTCGTTGCGGCGGCGCCCAAGAGGCCATGTCCGTTTGTGCCGTTTGTATGATTCGACCCGTTGCTGGGATAGGACCCATTCGAACGGCCATGGTCCATGTGTCCGGCTTGGCCATTGGTGCCATTGGCAACGGAGGCTTGGATATTTTTGACCTGTGTCATGATGCTACAGACTGAGGAGAATGGAGCTCAAAATCAGACGGAATCTTAATTCTTGAGAGTAGTGCAAGTGATGGATGGAGGGGCCAGAGTAGACGCTAACGGGACGGTGTTGAGATAGGATGGATTTCTGTCCTCTATCTGTCTTTCTTTCAAGTGAAGGGAACTCTTTCCTATCTTATAAACAAGTCCATGCCGTGTGCCGGTACTAAGTAGAGTACTGATGGACACATAGGGTGGTAATCCGATATCTGACAAGAGCCATCTCGACCAAATCCACCTTCCTTTCACTGTCGAGCAAAAAGCGACTTGCATGTATTGAGAGAGGCAAAGTCAATAGTGGCCAAAATACCCAAGGTGCCGTTTGCGCAGAAACTAGCAACGCGTGTCGTTTCTCGGCAACAATGCGAATCAGGATGTGTCTACGACTGCCAAGACGCTCAACTGCAGCCAAAGGAAGCTTTCATGTGGATATCAGGTGGCGGATGAGCCAGGGTTGCTGGGATGCATTCTATGTGGATGAGAACATGGGAAAGGGGTGGGAGTATTATGTGTACCCTGTCAAGGGGCAGAGGCTACTTATGTCTACATTGATACATGTAGGCGCCACTGAGCTGTGGCCAAGATCTGGATATCGCGGGTATTCCGCCAAGGGCCGCTACTGGCGGAATTTTTGGCTCCATGGCTCAACCGTCAACCCGATAGCAGGGGAAGCTTTAATGGAATAAGCCGGTGATGCCGGGTGCGCTCGGCTGATGCAGATGGTGGGCGCCGCCACCAAATGAATATGCCGCAACCTATCCCAAAGAATTGGCTTTGTTGCTAGATGGCCAGCTTCTCGAGAGCTTCAAATCCCGGCCCGATAACATGGCCGCACAAAACCATGCCGCAAACCCCACGATGTCGTTGCACCAAACTCTTTACGTTGTCCCACGTCAGCGGAAACGTCCCCATCCCACGTCAGCATCCTACATCAGCCAGAGCAACAGGACCTTTTGACGACCCGCCTCTTCCACAGCTTTTGCTTCCCCGCATTTGTTACGTCTGTCTACAATGAGGCTGCCCGGTGGCGCTCCGCAGGTGTCCGTAGCTGCTGTGGGAGATAGTAGCATGCATTTCGTGTGAACATGACCCAAATATGACTAAACTAGGAAATGAAAAATTACGGATAACATGGAAGGCTTGTGGTGCTGCGTGATACATGAGATTCTGGGCTTGCGCGGGAGAAATAATACTACTGGGAAACTTTAGTTTACGCCGGCCTAGAGAAAACAGGTTTAACAATGTAACCTCTTAAGAAAGAGACTAAAATAAAGCTGCCTTCACATACTTTGAAACTCCATCCAATACCGGGACAGATGTACTAAATTTCGCGTCACTTGAGTGAGAGTCCTTGAGTCTAACGAGAAACAAGCGTTTCTACAAAATCTACCAGCTCAAAACTGCAGCTAATACAAGACTACTGGCAGCAAAACATATGTGGCTCACATGAAGCCTTCACGAAATGCTCCTGAACTGCATCCATTTCACCGCCTACCATTGATGAGAAACCACAAGCACGAGCAGCCCAGGCAGTTCATCAGAAACTGGTGGAAAAATGCCCATAGAGATGCATTTATGAATTTTGGCGCAAACACATCCCAGAGATTTTCATGACCCCAGGTGCATAAGCAGGCCAAGGTAAGCGCCAGAGAGCTCAGGCCCGAGAACATAGTGTGAAGGGCCAAATACTCAAAGTACGGAGATTCGCCCGCTTCCGCTCCGGCTTTCATTGTTCCATTTGCCTTGGTTTCAGATGTCGCCGGCGTATGTGTATCGCCACGATGAATCTTGGCCTCCGACTCTTGCCACTTGACAAGTCTCTTTGATGTTGACTGTACTCCACGGGAACTCGCGGCGTCTCCGTTTTGTGTCCCCGTGAAGGGCTCTTGTTTCGTCTCAGCCCACGATGTCAAGAGACGTAGGCCGGCAAACAACCACCAAACAGGGCCAACCCAATTGCTCAAGACGGTTTGCAGCATGACGCCAACCACACTGGATTCACCAAGTCCGTTGAACCCATTCAAAAGGTCGAGAGTGGCGATGGAGTTGCTTCGCCCCATGCTGTAGAAGGCGCTCTGGCCCAGTAGTAAAACCGTTGTTGCCGTTTCAATAGGTGACGGGTTCATTTTCACTGCAACCAGCAAGAAGACGGAGTTAAATTCAAGTTTTGTGACTACATTGGTGCGTGAACACAAGGGAGTTGGGACGACGTACTCAAGACCTGAAGCTGCCAGTCGAACATTAAAAACAAGGGAAGGTTTTTGGGTCGCGTCTGCGATCGGAGGTACAAGTTGAACAGCTCAACGACTTTACTGATGGTATCTTCGAAAGCAGGTCAACGTTTGGCTGCCAAGCCTGGGCTCAAGTAAATGCAAACGGTAATGTTCAGTTGGTGACTCACCTGATGGGGCAGGGCTGTCCCCAAATCGATGATGCAGCAGGTAGTAGACCAGGCAACTCAAGAGCCCTGTCCAAAAGGCCTTCAGAAGACGGTCTTGCCTCAGGGTGGCCATGAAGTGCTGCGCATGATGAGATGCGAAGCCCAGCAGCTCCGGGTTGAAGTCATGCGTCGACGAGAGCTTGAAGACGACGGCGGCCGCGCACAGCGCCAGCGCCGCGCCAAAGGCTGCGTGTCGACCCAGTCCTGCTCGCAGGTTTTGCGCAATCGACATGAGAGCAGACGTGTGGGACAGCAGCACTGGAATCCAAAGAGCCACGGGGTTTCGAAAGATGAAATCGTCCATGCGCTCAGCGATCGAGTACTTGGTCCCATTCTGGTTGACGCACTGACTCAGGAACTGGAGAGCCACGAGGCCTGCAAAGGGAATAAAAGCGCGGTCCGGTCCGCGGGCCCTAGATCCAGGTAATACCGGTATTAGAACTCGTTATTCGTTGTCAAGTGGCAGCGGCAGGCCTCGTGAGGAAACAAACCTTGTAGACGCAAGATATACAAGCCATGCCAGCGAGCCCCAATACCAGTAGTGATGTTCCTCTTCGACGAGCCATGGGATGAACATGGTCGCTGCGTGGGTGGCGGTGGCGGCAAATAAAGGCCACCTCGTCAAGTCGAGCGAGATAAAACTCATACATGTGAATGCCACAGCCGTCATCAGAAAGGCAATACCGATGAGAAGTCGACCGAGACTAACGTTGTCGACGGATATGCTCAAGAGCTTCTGGGCCACTTTGGCAAACTAATTGACTCGACGCGTTAACAAGAGAAGAAATGACAACATGGCTTGTCAGAAATGCACACATACCTCGTAGATGGAGCTCTTCAGCATTCCTCTAGCCTCATCCCCCGGCGCAGTCTGCCAATCCTTCTCAGCCTCCAGCACAGCATCCCAGAGGCACATGGCACGCCCAAACTCGCTGCTGTGCGCCTCACAGTCGGTGTAACTTGCGTCTCCAGACGAAGAGGCATGTGATGCAATGCCGTGTTTCGAAGAAGCCAGAGCGCCACGAAGCTGCCTGGCATTTTCTACCAAGAAGTCGGTAGCTGCGTCGTCGTCCCCCATCGCAGACAACAGCTCGGGTATGAAGATTCCTGCGTTTCTTTCCGGTATGGAAAACCCCAACAGTCCAGAAAGCGAGGGCACAATGTCAATCTGGCTGACGGTAGAATAGTACAGGTAGTCCCGTGCGACGGCCGCCGGAGAGTCTCGCCGCGTCGACGTGGTCCCCCGCAGCCGCGGTGATATAAAGACGGTGGCGGCGGCCAACTCCTCGGGGAGACGCCCGCCGTGGTTGCCCTGCGCCGTCATGCCGTGGTCGCCGAGGAGGATAAGCAGCGTGCGCTCCATGTGCACTGCCGTCTCCAGCGTCCTGTAGATGGACTCGACGACGGCGTCCATTTCCAACTGCTTGGGCCGCATGTGAGCGGACCTCGGCCCTCCCATGTGAGCGATGCAGTCGAGGCCGAGGTAATGCAGAACGAGCGCCGCCCAGTCGTCGCGCGCAAGCTCCTCGGGGAGATGCCTCGTGACGTTGGCGTCGACGTTGGTGAGGCCCGGGACGTGGAAAGACGAAAAGTCCTCCTTGCGGTCGAAGACGTCGGGGTACAAGTCCACCCACATCTCGATGCCGTAAAACACAATCTTGTTCTTGTCCTGGCGGGAAGCCTTGAGCCGCGACAGCCAGGTGTCTTCGCCGTCCAGGCGCATGGCCTCGGGCGAGTTGGCCACGTTGAGCCAAGCGTCAAGGAACGACTGGCTGGAGCCTTGGGTCAAGGCCTTGATACGAGAGACGGTGAGAGTCGGCATGGCGGCAAGGGCTGTAAATGGGATGGCCGCTCCAGACCGTATGAGACTATACCGTCATGTCAGCGCATAGCACTGTCTTGTCATCTTGGGTGGAAAACGGTCATGCCGGCTTGTTTACCTCTGCGTGAAGGGAAAGCCACTCTCCTGGGCAAAGACAAAATCACTATCACCTCCAGAGTCAGTTGTTGAGATTCGCCAGGCTGGGCTCCGGCAGGAGCAGACTTGCCTTCTCAGTGCGTCAACGACCATGAAGATGACCTTGTCAAACGGTGGTGCGTTATGACGGTAAGGGCTCGGCGCTGGGTGGTGCATTGCCTCATCACCACCTTGGGCGACCCTCGGTCGACTGCGAAAGAGGCCGGTCATGAAGATGAGCATTCCCAGAGGAATCATGAGGTTTGATGCCAGCAGCAGCAGCCGGCTGCGCTTCTTCCTGAACATGATGGGCATTCTGAGCGACAAGTGTAGCCGGCAAGAGGCGAGCCAAGTTGTGGGATGAAGCAGCGATGTCTTGCGGCTGGACGGGACGAAATCAAGTCAGTCCTGCCCATTGTCTGCTTCTTGTTTAATCAGCCTCTCCAGGCATTTGGATACAGCGGAGGGAGACTTGTCAAGAGACCAGACTCTATTCGTCAAGTCCTAGATAGGTAGGTAGTCAAGGTACACTGCATCCACGAATGTGTCATGACGCCGGCATCGTGCATGTGTGGTTGTGGTCAATACCACCACTCCCTTTGTCCACGTCCCTGCACGCCCAAACCAAGAACAAGAAACCGGCATAAATACGACATCTGGATCCTACAATGTAGCTACCTGGCTGTTCGCACCCTACCACGGTACCACGGCCACCCCCAAACTCATCTCCACTCCAGATGTCACCCACATACAACCGAGTTGTGTGAACAACACCCCGGGATATCACAATGCCTTGCGTGCCGTTGCTCGCAATTCCATCAAACTCTTTCACGGCCCAATTTCGGTCATAACGAGCCTCCGCCAATGTAAAAATTTACCGTGCGTGTAAGCGCTATTCGTGTGGAAACCGATACCAGGGGTCTCAGTCTTTCGTGTGCTGACGTGGAGAGTTGACGTGGCTATTGGGCCAGTTACGGCTCAATATGACAGTTGACAACTTGTACACCCAGGACATTCTATAACAAATCGTACAACTACTTGACACATTACAACCAACGGTGACGGGTAATTTCAGCATAATATGGCGTAGCGGCTGAAATGAGACACACAAGGCCAGTGGCAAATGCTTCGTGTTTGCAGCTCATGATCATCACTCCCATTTACATGCACATTCACACGCGTTTTATCAAATGGCTTGTTCTCTTTTGAGTGTTTCTCGTTCCAAGATGACGTGTACATTATGATTTGTCGCCTCTAGTAATTACAAGCATATGGTCCTACGCAAGGGCCTTGGTTTGAACTTTGCACCCTTTGCCAGTGATCTCTAGGCCGGTGCAGGAGACACCACCACCCGGCCGGCAAGGACGTCCTGGACAAAGAGCACCTGTGCCTCGTTGACATTCTCGCGGCGTGCGTTGTCCAGAATGTCCATGTGCGTTGCGCCATCGGCCACATGGAGCCTTTTCGGGGCCGGCAGCGCCTCGAAATGGGCAATTTGCTTGTCCGTGCCGATCAAGTCGTCGTGCCGCGCAACAGCAAACAGGACCGGCTGCGTGATCAGCTTCCACAGATGGCGCGAATCCCACATCAGCATGTAGCGATAGGTGCCTACGGTGGTGCGGTTGACGTGGTGAGGCGCCAGGGCAGCTCGCAGCACGTCGGTCTCGTTGTAAGCCTCCAGCATGCGCATGACGCTGCCTCGCTCCAGGCCCGGGTCGAAGCCGGCCGGGTTCTCGCCGCGGCCGTCCAGCATGGGCACGTTGTAGGGCGCGTTGCCCTTGATCTGCGACTCGCGGTCCCGCGCCGCCTGGGCCAGGACCTGGCGCATCTTGACCATGTTGTGCGTGGGCTCCGTCGCCGGCGACACGGCGATGACCCAGCGGGCTCGCGGGTCCAGCGCCGCCCCGGCCATGGCCACAGTGCCGCCCAGGGACATGCCCCAGACGCCGACGCCCTGGCGACGGTCGACGGACCGGTGTGACAGCAGGAACGTCATGGCATCGCTCATGTCGTCCACTTGCACCGACGGGTTGATGTTGTTGCGAGGTTCGCCATCGCTCCTCCCCACGCCTCGAGGGTCGTATGCCAGAGCTGTGATGCCCGCTGCCTGGAACGCGGCCGCCGTAGTCGGCATACCGAGCATCTCCGTGGTGGCATTGAACTGGAGCCGTCATCGTTAGCCGCCAGAATGTCAACATTGAACGCATGTGTTAGAGCGGGCGCCAAGGCTGACGGGGACCATGTGGCTGGAGGGGGGGAGAGTCAACCTACACCTGGGCTCATGACCACGCCAGGTCCCCTACTCTGGGCAGGGTAGAGATAGCCGCGAAGCAGGACCCCGTCTACCGTCTTGAACTCGACCTCTTGGCGCTGGGCCATGTCGTGTATGGGCGCAGACTGTATTAGAGTGCGAATCTCAGCCGACAGATGTCAAATGGATCGTGAATTCTTGTTTGCGAGCGTAAAAACGCCAATCTCCAAACGTCAAGTTCTCCGGCACGGAGTTTCCCAGTTTATATGTGGCGCGATAAGGCACGGCACAAGTCTTGGGTATCGCAGCTTACTCGCCTTCGTAAGGATGACATGGCCCCCATCGTCTCTCGTTGCCTTGTTGGTTTTTATTCCCTGCCTCCCTCTCCGACTTGTAAGCGGGTTTGAAAGCGAATCCAGCGTCACCCAACGACGACTCCTTGCCCACGTACATTTATCGAAGTCACGCGAGCTCTTACTGTTGTTGCTCCTGGCCGCTTATGTGGGCCGCCATGGAAGCCTTTTCTAGCGCTGACGGCACACGTCGCCTCCCTATTTGGGCAGGATGAGCCCCACATGGGCCTGCGCTAGTCGCGGTTGCGGACCGCACATGTGCACCAGACAGCACATGGAATCAAACCTGGGGCGGCACGGCATCGTGCCCCAAAGTACCTACCCTGCAGGACCGGGGGGCGTGTCCTTAGCAATACGCAGCACCAGACCCTTGTGTGTCAGCAAGGGACCGAGGCAGAGGGCGAGAGAGCTGCAACGATTAGAAATAGATTGTATAAGAGCCAACACGATTTTCCATAGGCCAGATGTAAGTAAAGTTATTTTTACCAAGTGCTTATCTGTCAGCGCTAAGACATCTGACTCGACGACGCCGTTCCTCTATTCCCAACATGCTCTGGTAAGCAACGACTAGAGCAACGCGTACATTCAACTCACGTGTTCCCGTTACCCCCTTGCCCGTCCTCTGTCTTTCGACCATTATAGTCTTCTGCTGTCTCTTATTGTTAGTGGCGACACACTTGTCATTGCCCATCATCAATGCCCCTCTCATCCTTACACCATGGCGCTCGTCACAATCACGTATATCGTTGCCCTACTCGCTGCAATATCCTCTGTCGGCCTGATATTGCCTCGTTATCGACAGTGGAAGAAGCTCTCTCACATTCCCGGCCCAGCTATTGCCGGCTGGAGCAAAATTTGGCTCTTGCGCCACGTCCTTCCTGGGAGGCTCTGCAAGAGGCTCGAGGAAGTCACCAAGACATATGGTAAGGAAACAGAAATACGTTTGCTTCTGCGATATCTCGCTAACATGATCCAATCCCAAAAAAGGCCCTATTGCCCGCGTCGGCCCAGATTGGGTTGTGTGCAGCGACCCTGCAGAGATTCGCCGTATCTGGGGCATCCGCTCCGGTTACTATCGTGCTTCTTGGTACAAGGCTACTCGCCTCGACCCTGATAATGACAACGTTTTGACCCTCACCGACAACAAGGCTCACCATTACATCCGATCTCGACTCTTGCCTGGCTACTCGGGCAAGGGCATGCATAACCAAGAGGAGATGGCCGACACACAGGTCCACAAGTTGATACAGCTGCTCGAACGCAAATATCTGTCCACCCCCGACGCCATCCGGCCTTGCAACCTTGCCCGCACAATGCAATACCTCACTCAGGATGTCATCACTGCCGTTGGCTTTGGTCAGGCTGCCGGATACCTCGACGTGGATGAGGACATGTTTGGCGTGATCCAGGCTTGTGAAACCGTCCTGCTGCCCGTACACGTCATATCCTTCCTCCCGATCCTTCGTGCCATCCTGAGCACTTGGATTGTGAAGCCGTTTCTCCCCAAGCCCACTGACAGGCACGGAGTCGGTCGCTTCCTCGGCGTCATCAAGGATCACTGCGACCGCCGCTTCGGAGACTCGGCCATTCGTCGCAACGACATCCTTCAGACCTTTGTCGACTCCGACTTGACGAGGAAGCAAGTCGAGTCAGAGGCGCTGGTGACTCTGTTTGGGGGCACAGACACCACAGCCACCGGCCTGAGGAACATCATCTTCTTCCTGACCGCAAACGCAAACGCGTACCGTACTCTGCAGTCGGAGATTGACACGGCCGTAAAAACAGCCGCCCGGCCCGTCATTACCGATGAGCATGCCAAGTCCCTTCCCTATCTCCAAGCATGTATTCGTGAAGGTCTCCGAATGTGGCCGCCAAGTATGGGCATCATGGGCAAAGTCTCCGACGACGACGACGAAATATGTGGCAAGCACATCCCCGCCGGCACTCAGGTCGGGTGGGCGGCCTTGGCTATTATGCATGACAAGAAAATCTTTGGTGGCGATGCCGATGTCTATGAGCCTCGTCGCTGGCTGGATACTGAACCGGGCAAGCTCAACGAGATGGAGGCTATATACGGTCTTGTATTTGCCACGGGCACGCGATGGGAGTGTCTTGGTAAGAGATTAGCATACGTAGAGATGGGAAAAGTTATCTTCGAGGTGAGTTTATACCAAAAAACGAACCCAATGTCTTACTTGTTACTCTTTAGCATATCAAGGCGACAACAAGGAGAAAAGGTGTGGATAGAAGCTGACTGTAGGTTGAACAGCTCTTCTGCCGATTTGACATGTCCATGATTTCACCTATGGAGCCTTTTAAGTGGGTGAACCATGGACTGACAGCGCAGCACGATATGAATATTCGCTTTACACGGAGACAGATAGAAATGCCTTGACTAAATAGATAAAAGCCGTCTTTTAAGCTAAAATATACGCCACAACAAATACGTGTGATCCGAACTGCATTCACGCCGTGTTATATCCTTGCATTGCCACCCATATAATGCCATCCACAGCAGTGGTCCTCCCTTTGTTGTCTAGTTTACAGAGCCTGTTGTCGGGCCGTTAGCTGCCTGAGTTTGAAGTTCGGTGCCTTGATTGCCTTGTTTCTTCTCGCGATCTGCTCCGAGCACAGCCTTTTGATTCTCGGTGCTCAGATGATGAGAGCGCACAAAGAAGTTCAGCACAAGCGATAGACCTGCAAACGCCACGTACTATTTACGCATGGAAAAATTAAAGGGTTAGCATAGAAACTCAAGAGATGCAAATATATGAGCAGCGGGACAGAGGAATGAGAAAACACAGAAAACAAAGAAGAAGCAGAAGGGAACTTGATTTTTACCATAATCCACACATCCCTGAGAGAGTGGAAGAATGTCTTTCGCACGATGACTTGCTGTGCTTGGGGCAGATCCCAGATGGCATTCACTTTGGCCGAAGCTTGGTCGCCATTGAAATTTTGGGCCACATTGGCGCCTAGCTCTTGAACAAGCCTTGGGTTGGCAGCTGTCATCTCATTCTGAAAAATAACGCCACCGACAACAATGGAGACGGCATTGGCAATGGAGCGCACAAAGCTCATGGTGGCGACGACAGCTGCGGTGTCGCGCTCTGCGTTGACGGCCTGCACGGCTATAAGAGGTGGCTCAATGTTCATGCCAACACCAAGGCCAACCAAAATCTGAAAGATGAAGAGCTTGGCCAAGTCTTTTTCGAACGGCAAGAAGATAAAGAGGCCCATGCCAAGCAAGTTCAAGACCTGGCCAGTATACATGATGCGAAGATACTTTCCGGTCTTTTGGATGAAAATGCCGGCAAAGGCAGCAGAGAGAGAGCTTGCGACAATAAGCGGCAGGAGATAGATGCCCGAATCAAGAGCGTTGGCGCCGAGAACGGATTGCGAGTAAAGCGGCAAGTAGTAGGCTAGTCCAATAAAGACGTAAAAGTTGCAACTGTACACGCCGAAAGCTGCCGACGACGACTTGTTTGAAAAGATGTGAAGTGGAATGATGGGCTCGGTGGCGAATTTGTACTCGTTCACAATGAACAAAGCCAAGACGACGACGCCAAACACCAGCAGGCATATGACGGTGGCCGAGGACCAGGGAAAGACCACATCACCAAAGTCGAGCGCCAGAAGCACCATCAGGACAGAGCCGATAATGAGGGCTCCGCCTATCCAGTCGATCTTCTTAAGCCCGGCCACAATAGGGGTACCTGGGTTGGATACGTTGAGGAAGACGAGCAGAATACCAAAGACAACGCCTCCGATGGGTACTAGGCAGCATCCACCGCATCAGTACGCGGCATTTGGGGTGCGCAAGGGTTACGTTGCCACTCACAGTTGATCCAAAAACACCATCTCCAGCTGCAGAGCGTTAGTCACAGGGAAATAAATGCAGGTGGATGGCGCGCGCATCAGTAAAGACGTACTCTGCCTTTGTCGTCAGGAGGCCGCCGAGGATGGGGCCAACGGCACTACCCAATGCCCAGACAAGCGAGGTGATGCCCAGATACAGACCACGATCCCTCATGGAGAACATGTCACAGATGATGACGTTGACCATGGTGCCCATGCCAGCAGCGCCGATGCCCTGAACCACCCGGCCGGCAATCAAGGCATCCATGGTCGGGGACAAGGCGCACAGAAGACTGCCACACAAGAAGACGACGATGGCGATGAGCATGATGGGCTTGCGGCCCCAAATGTCGGCGACGGTGCCCCATAACGGCGTGGTGGCGGTGCTTGCGAGGATAAAGGCGCTCCCAATCCATATGTATCCCGTGACAGAGTGGAAGGCGCCGACAATGGTGGGAATAGCCGGCGTCACAATGGTGATGTCGAGAGCGGTCAGCAGCACCGACAGGCACAGCGGGAGCATGAGCAAAGCAGCGCCAGCGGCAGAAGGTTTCTTGGCCACGGCATCTGCCTCGGGCTCTGGTGGCGATGAGGGCGATGACAGGGACGCTGGACGACTCAAGGCGGCGGTGGCATGGTTCGACGCGTCTGTTTTCACGCCTGTTTGGTTAGGCGCAGCGTCACCATTTTGCGTGCATGTGCGACGAGCCTCCATGGCCGTGTCCGTCATGATGGCTGGTTCTGCGGTCATGTCGGACGTTGTCGAGGGATGAAGCGATGCTGTCCAAGTGGTGTTGTCAGGCAGGAGCCAGATTTCGACTGCTAGAATGGCACGTCTGGTCTGACAAATTCCGGTCTGCTTACGGCATCCATGTCTGGTCTGGTCTTGAACCAAATATCGAGGCCTGGTGGCACGTCAGCAGAGACATGCAAGGCGAATAAGCCCTAAGCTTATCGCCATGGCAGCGACTCCGGGGCGTATAGATGACAATACAGTGGGTCCAGGTAATTCCGAGTTTGGCCCTATTTTACACCAAAACCCTTACTTTTTAAGTACTTGTAATTATATAATATTATATTATATTAATTAAATAAAATTATATATATAGTCATTTTCTTAGGTCTGCGATATTAGTAGCTTTACAACCCGCGATAACTACTAGCTACCTAGGTAGCTATTATCTATATCTTAGTGCAGGGTAGGTCGCTTGGCATGGAGCGTCTCGCCCTGACCACATCTTCATTTGAGCATTGCTTCCAGTCTCCTCACTCAATCGACGGCTCTCACTGATCCAGCGCGACTTGCCTCGGAGCTACCGATGAAATCTACGACAATGTCCTGCGTCTCCTCATTCAAGACGCCTCCTTCGACTAGTGCATGCACTGGGCCCTCGCCAAGCACTGCGCAGGAATTGAGCACAACCACCGGCCGTTATCCCATGCCATACTTCGCCGCTCCAGATCGACTACCAGAACCGCTGCCGACAGATGCAACCGTCAAGTGCTCTAGCGACGTCCTCAAGGCTGGTTATGGTCGGCGTATTGTTCGTGTCGGCCAGTATTTCGTTGTCAAGTACGGCGTCCTCGTTAGCTTGACCGAGGGGGAGAACATGCTCTTCGTGCGGGAGGCGTGCGATATTTCAGTACCGCAGGTTTTCGCCCTTTATTCACGGATACATCCAGGCGGAACCAAAGTCAGCTACATCGTCATGGAGTACATTCAAGGCAAGTCCCTGGACAGCTGCTGGGACACCATGAGTGCTGCAGACAAGTCGAGTGCAAGTCAACAGCTGCGCCTCATGTTGGACAAGTTACGGAGCGTTCCTTCTCCTGGATACTTTGGGTGTATTGGGCGGCGGCCTATGGAAGAAGGCATGTTTTGGACACGCGAAGAGGACGGCAATGATCCTGGGCTCATCAGTGGCCCATTTGACACTGAAGCACAGCTCAATAATGCCCTGGTCGAAAAATATCTGTACAGCAGCGGCATGCCTTCCAAGTCTAGGTTTTACCGTCGTATCTTCCCTCACGTACTTCGCGATCACGCCTCTGTATTTTGTCACGGGGACTTGCAGCGAAAGAATGTGCTTGTTGGAGACGACGGCAACTTGTCCCTCATTGACTGGGAATCAGCTGGCTGGTATCCAAGCTACTGGGAGTACGCCTCGGCCATGTTTGCCTGTGGGAACTGGCGTGACGATTGGCACGAATACGTCGCCAGCATTCTAGATGAATACCCAAACGAGTACGTGTGGTTTGATATGATGAGGAGGGAGTTATGGTCGTGATGGGTTCTGATCTCTGTTAAATTCAAAACATGATGTCAACTCTAAGCCTTGCCCCTGCCCTTGCCCTTGCCCTTGCGCTTCTTGGTCTGTCCAACACTTGAAGACTGTCCATCTGTAGCCCACTCATAACTAACATCCCTGGCCAAGGAGTCGATTGCTTCGTTTGTCCGCTCCTGACAGCGCCGTAGTGGCTCCTTAGGGTAAAGTCGCTTCGAGCTATTGAACTGCTTCTTCGGTGCAGGGATGCTCATGCAGATATGACGCATGGGATCCAAGTCTCCAGCGGCAACCCAACCAAGGGGTGATATTTCAACGAAATTAGCCGACGTCTCGGGATTATTGGTGGATTTCTCCTCGAGTTCCATTCCATTCTGAATGTCACCTTTTACGTGAAGGTGTATGCCACATTTGGAAGCAAGGTCTGTCTTGATAAACAAGCCATGGTGGTTACGAGGGGCTCCAAGGTAAGCCACGAGAAAGACGTTATAAGACATTGTACTAATCACGGCTTGCAAGTGATGAAAGCAGAGCTGGGCTAAAACTGTGATGACGGAACTAGAAAGAAGAGTAGCTGCGTCTATCTTAATAGTTTGGGACTTAGGGTTCTGCTTCAATTATCAGCAAAGCAGCCTGCTTGGTTGACCCTCAGGGCGTCAGCTTGGTAGCTGAGCGTCTATTACTGGTCCTTGGATCTAGCCTCACTTTCTGATGCAAAAGGATTCGGGACAGCGTGGAGACTGAACGCGGTTCGACCCCCGTTGGCTCTGGGGACTGTATTGGCCGGGCTCCTACCTGTTCCAGTTGGCCATCTGATCCGACCTACTTGTCTCGTGAGAGGTTTATTAGCTGGGGAGATTTGGCCATTTAGAGACGGCTGGGATGTCCGTGACCGGTCATGACCAACAGCCCTGCATAGAAAGGCTGCTTTGGACGCATGGAGACTCGCACATGATATGGTTGGCCACTAAAGCCGACCAACGTCTACATATTGGTTGACCGTTGAGCTGGGCCAGACTTACTTTGCCTTTTGAGACCAGCGGTTAGCGGTTCATTGGTAAGCCTTGCTCTGAGGGTTGGTAATTCCTCAGGTTTTATCCGCCCAGGCCAACAAGGCACTTACTATGTATGTATCAAAAGATGCCTATTCACCTGCATATACGTGCTTTAGGAGGGCACAGGCACCTCAGCTTCTCAAATCACGTCTTCCCAACTGGATTGCTGCCTCACTCAAGTCGAATGTGACTCATCACCATCAGACATCTTGGCCAACCAACAACACAACAAGACCAACGCCATCACGAATAACTCATTCAGAAGTGGGGGCTCGCACGCTGCAGTCACGAAACCAGTAAAAGGACGGTCTTGAAAGTGTATAAACTCAACGGTATTATGCATCGTCACCAACGTGCATGACATATTGGTTGGTCACGAATGTTGCTCGGCACCTTTCAGCCTTTGACAGTCAAAAAACCATTGAGCGCCTAAATCAATGGCCGGTGATCCAATCGCGAGCTACTGGTCGTGCGCAAGCTTGTATCATATTGACAAGTTATGACCCAGCCCATCTTCGCTCCCTTCCGCCTCTTCAGCCCAAGACGCCATTACACGATAAACGCAAGGACACCAGCACAGATGCCTCACGTCTCGTGATGTGTCTAAAGACTCACCGTTGTTGTGACGGGCGCGTACTTGGTGGTGCCGAATGATTGAATCATGCCGAAAAACGAACATTGAGGGCATACTGGCTGAATGAACCTAGTTTCAGGGAGAAGTCCCTTGAATTTTGAGACCCAAATATGTAAGACGTCACGTAACGACAGCGTGAGAGTTGAAGCAGTCGACCGCCGCGTTTCCAGGTCTGTGATTAATTGGTTGATGAATCGCGGTGCCTGTGGATTGTAGACGTCCAGTAGTGATAGCAGAGCGTTCGCGTTCCAAATTACCCATCTAAAGGGACATTGATGCATATTTTTTTACTATTTTTTATTCATACAGTAACTTATATGCATTGTGCGTGCCTTATACTAGCCTCCTCCATTTCTTGGCACTAAGAACCAAGTGTCACACGGTTGGCTCACAACAAAGGGCGTTGGGCCAACGACAGTTACACAACAACAAAGGAAATATCGCGATCCGCGAGGCCCGAAGCTGGCCCTAAACGAGGGCTGCCTCAGGCACCGGTTCTCGCCGACTTCTTCTATTTATAGGGACCTTTGATATCGCAAAGTCGATTATTATACTAGATTCAATTGAACACCATGTTCCAAGCTCAGTCACCCTGCCCTTATGACACCATGCCTCACATGTGTCGAAGTCATCAATTGTTTCCTCAACGTCTCCCTTTCCGGCTAGCGGTCTCTACTGCCATGGACCTTTTAATGGCTGCCACAAAACGACTCCTCAGATACTACAAGGAACAATATACTCAACAGCCCTAAGAGATGCATTGAGAGTAGATTGCTTTTTACGTTGTATCATGATGTCCATGCCAACCCTCACGCTGTGAAGTCTCGTCCACCGGCCCCCAAAATCTAAGCATGTGTTGCCAACGATGGACTTGTCGTTGCGGCCGTTGATACCCTTGAAAAGCACGCTATTTGCGTGGGCATGGTATCTCTTTGCCCACAGGGTCACAAACCTTATGACCTCCTCTTATCCCGTGGGTATAACATTTGCCTACAAAACTCTGTTAGCGAGTTCATTTTCATCTTTCCATATCCTGTGCGTCGTACGATCAACATCGCAATAACAGTAATTGCCGATACCCCTATGGGGGTCCGCGCTGTTGGTATCATCAGCGCGTCAAATCCAATTTCACATGTCAGTACTCTATAAAGACTAGCATACGTACTGGTTTTGGCAAGTAAACCACGACGCAACAATGCCGAACGAGGAGGTGATGAGTATTGCCGTGGAGAATTTCATCTTGGCTTTGACGTCAGATGTATATGAACCGACGATGCTTGAGTAAAACGAGTCGGGTGGAGAGTTGTGTGTATTCCTAGTTTTTGCTGTATAGCTGGAAGAGCTTACATTGATAGTCGTCTCAAGTCCAGCATCTTATAGTAAATCACTACCATTCACTTCATCCATACACCGCCAAGGCCAATGAATTTGGAAATGTAATGTCTTGGGGTGCATAATGCACTGTAACCACCATTTGTGATAAGAAGGTATTGCAAGACAACCATGTAGCCAACGCATTTCAATTGCTCGAGGCTGTGGGAGACTGGTCAGGGACGCAGTATCTGGATGTGACCTGTCAAGGGGATTTGACTACTCCGTACTCCGTACACAAAAAAGAGCCTTTAATGTAAAAAGGACAACTCGTACCGCCCGCAAGCGTCCTGGTCGTCTTGTCCGAAGGCGCACGTCGCCAACACACCATGGGCTTCGGCAACGAGCAAATGGTCTTGTAGTAACCATTGATTTCAGCTGAATGTCTCAGCTGCACGACTCGACTGCGAGGTGACCAAGAAAAGAGCCAATGACCACCCGGCCGTGGATCGGCTGGCTTTCCGGGTCATTTAGGCTCGGGAATAACATTGAAGGCATCTTGCCGAGACACCACACCACGTCGGACGCTGGAAACACAAGGTCCCTCTCGGTGAGCAAGCCACGTCCAGAAATAGACGCATGCAAGACTTGACCATTGCGGGGCTGCGTCCCGCCGCCAATGCTTGGCTCTTTGAATGCCGGTGGAAGCTCATGCGACTGTGTCAGCGGCGGTGGAACAACAGCCCCCATAATGCAGGACGGCCGGGGCAACCTTGCCGGGAAACCGGGCGCCATTTGAAATAAAAACCTGCATGTGTCCGGTTTCCCTGCCGAGAGAGGGTTGTTTTGGCTGTGGCGGCTGCAGCATGTTGCGCGGGTCGCAACCCGAAAGGACATTTATGGTATTTGAGCAGGGAAGTTGAGCATGGCGTCAAGAGCCACAAATACACGAGCACAGAGACATATCATCCCTCTCCGTGGCAAGAGGTTGTTCATCTCGGGTAGCACATTTTCATTGTACTAAAGAAATATGTACAAGATAGATTCCATGATGCTAGACTGTGTTGTGCTGTTTGAACATGATTACTCCTCCTTATCGTCATCGAGCCCATCAAGAATGAGGTCAATAGAACCCATAATGTCTTTAATCTCCTTCCGTATCTTTTTAGTCACCTCTCCGTCGGAAGGAACCTTTGCAGGCGGCGCGGCTGCATCCTCCTGACGCCGCTGGAGATTTTCAGCGGCGGCATTGCCAGGTCCATTAGAGACGGCCGTAGATAACGCCGCAACTGCCGCTCGTCAACTGGGTTAGGACTGGCATCACGTAATACGTCTTGTCGTTGGGCATCTATCTTTCCACTTACAGGCAAGGACAGCAGCTGCGAAGCGAACCATTTTGGGTGTTCAGGTGACTGTTAATCCGCTGGGCGATGGCTGGGGAGGGCAAATAATAAAAAGTAGATACGGTTTCGTGTGTGAGGAGTAGTATGTAGAAGCTTTCTAGTCGGGCGCCCTTGATGGACGTTTAAATACTTGCGAGCGAGCTGTCTTCGTAGGCGAGGCAAACCGCTCCGTGTCCCAGTAGCATAAATAACTCGTTTCAAAGCCGGGCAAGGATATGCGCTGGCCCGGGATTCGACATAACAGCGTGTCGTTATAGCGCCAGGGCCAATATCGCTTGAACACACTTTTAGTGCAATTACGGGAACCCCGTTATTAAGTCCGGTCAGCCGATTTAGCGAGCGGATCTCGTGTTACCGACGAGCGTACATATATACCAGGAACTCTATATGATCGTCTGAGCCCACATGCGCTTTGTAAGCGAATGCACATTGACACGTCTAGTCTGACATGGTGATATCGACGCATCTTGACGTCTTGGTTGTCGCCGACGAAGAGCATCGCGACATGGGCCGCTTGGATCAACAGGACTCGCGGCGGCTCAATTCACCAGACACTTGAAGCATGGAAAGAAGCCCCAAATGGGCAGAAATTTAACCGGCAACGGCAGCCAAGAATACGAGGTATTATTAAATGCGCCTCATAATCTTCAAGACGATCTGCTACAGGAATAGTTACACCAGCTGTATACGACGCGTACGTGGCCGCGGAATCTACTTTGTCCTCTTCTTGCAAACACCCTCATTCTGGTACTGAGCTATCTCGAGCCTTCTCTGGAAAAACCGATCCGTCTCTCCCCTGTCCAGCATGAGCTTGAGCGCCGTCCGCGTGTTGAGCGCATAGTCAAAGGCCCTCGTGGAAAGGTCTCCGACATTGAACGTGGGCAGCAGTCCCTTTTCCTGCAACTTGGTAATAGCGCCGACGGCCCAATCAACACAACTTTCTTGGCAGTTGGGAATGGTCACCTCCTCGAGTGCCTCTGTGATTGCTCTTGTCGACGTCTTAGTCTTTCCCAACGTCACTCTGGCAGAGAGGGTGCTGGCCTTCTCAGGCTTGACACCATACTTGTACTGGAAAAGGAAATTCTTTTGCCCTCCTTCTCCCAAGGGATTTGACACTACCTTGGGGCCTTGTTGGACGCTCAAGCTGTCCGAGGCGTCAAACGCGTCGGCAAGTTCGCTGTTGCGTGAACGACTGACAATCGCCCAGTGGAACGATTTGAAGTCTTTATCCGCGATTGCCGTTGGATGCGTCTCGAGGTACTGAGAGCGAGAGTAGAATGAAAGATCGATATACTTTGTTTCAACCTTTTCTATGCGACCTCCTTGGCGCTTGTTCAGGCGGTCGCTAGGTTACAAGTCATGAGGAAACGACCAAGACAAAATGGATGCTGGGATGATTTACCTGTCTGGCTCTTGAGCAGAGCTGATGCTTTGCTTGAATTGCAGTGACGGAGAAACGGATTCGAGTGTGCCAGACGATAGCTGCCCCATGTACCTCGGGGCCTGTGCTATGTCGATGGCAGTGCTTCCTGGGAGAGCGGCAAGGAAAAGATAGAAGAAAGCCGATACGGCAAAGAGAGCCCATCGCTGGTGCGCCATGGTTGGCCTCATAGTGTTCAATGTCGGGGTTCAATAGGAAAGGCCAAAAGGTGAGTGTACAAGTCGTCTTGGATCATCTAGGCGCTCGACGTTTAAATGTCAGACTGGACAAAGTTATTTATCCGTGGAATTTGTAATGATAGCTAACAGATATTATTCACTCGCCCCGCCCAGGACTTTGTCTGCCGAACGCATAATATAAGATGCGTGTCTATTTCGTCCTATACACTCTCTGTAACCCACCCATGTCTATATGGTTATATTGAAACACCATGTGAACAAGGGACACCCCGCCCTATATCGTTGAACGCGCGCGCAAAGGTGGACCTCGTATGGCTATTTGTCGGCTATACGCCTTGATCCTGTCGCAGAGTTTGTAAATTTACTAATCAAGTTAACTTGGTTTGGTTAGACGGATATTGGTGTGGATAGGATATATTGAAGCATGATTTATAGGATATATCACCGACTCAGGCATTTGCCGCGCCGTCCGATGCGTTCGCCGTCCTAGGCGTTACCGATCGCCGTCTCAGGTGTTCAGGGTCTATGTAGTTTATGTCCGTTGTAGAAATCATGCTTGTTTCTCCATCTCGTAAACTCAATCCTGGCCTATATTGTACTGGCATATTCCCGCACTCCTATGAGGTGCTTCACGGATGTTGAATCGAATGGGGCCATCATGTCATGTTTCCTCCGAGGAGAAAGGGGTATCAGATTCTAAGCTCGAAGCGAGATTAAGTGGCTTAGGAGAGATACATATGCCGTACTATATCTAAATTACGGCATCTTGGGTACATATCGTGACTCGCATGACGCGATCGAATGATTGCATTTCTTCCAGAAGCGGGTCTGATATAGAAGTCGCGAGCATTGTTACAAAAGTGAAACGTACATGGGCAAACAAATTTTAAAATTATACGAGTATTTGCCGCAAGACGCAAAGCAAATGCCGAAGTGTTAGACCTTGCAACTCGGCTGGCTATAACCCTTGTATGCCGGAGACGGCGACGTCACCTCAGCTCTGTACGGTATGATTCCAGGCGTCCATTGTTATCAAGTGGCGAACCTCCCAAGGATGACAGCAGGGCAAGGATTGCGTTAGCAGAGAAACCAAGAGGGTCGGTCTGACGGCTGTAAATCGGCCTTGGTCGTGGGCTCATTAACGTCGCGCGACGGATGGTCCCATGAAAGAGTGCGAAATCATCTTGAATATAGCTGGGCATTAATACCGCAAGGCCAGTTGCCCAGTTTATACAATGAATATATAAGCGAGCTTCTTCTCGCCACGTAGATGTTAACATTGCAGCCTTGGCCTACTCTGAAACCATTTCTCTCATTACTCTCACTACTTTCACTACTTTCACTCTTCTACATGTTACGACTCGTTCTAAACTCCATGGTCCTCTACCTGGCATGGCCAGGTGGGACTCATGGAGCGCCGCAGGAAACAAATGCAAACCAACTAAGAGGGCCACTGTCTCTGCTTTCTGGCGACGGCTCCATTTCAGCCGACTTTGGACTGCCGGGTGAGCATCTGGCAATGGTCAAGAGACAAGAACTTTTGCTCTGTGATTTCGACTTTGAAGATCATGAGCCTGTGGAGGGGCTAGATGGCGAGAGGCCCATCACCACAGATGAAGAGGTTTTAGTGACGCCCGAGAGAATCAATGTAGCTGAACAAGCCGAGAGGGTATCTGTGAAGGAATTCGAAGAGGCTGCGACGCAACGTCTACTCAAAATACCAAATTCTTGGGTGAAGAATGGCATCGATTCGTTTACTAAAGCGAGAGAGAAGCTTGGATACAAGCCACTCGAGGCTACTTCCCGCGAACTTACATCTGACCTTGGCGGAAAGGGCATCAGTGGTCTTAAGGCAGTCAAGGCAGCAGGAGGAGCAGCGGCGGCCGTCGCATGGGTCGGAGGCATCGTGTCCTCGTTTGTGAGGAACACGACTGCTTTGGACAAGGCCGCTGCCTTCCTGGTCGTCATACCCTTTGTAGGCTGCGCCGTGAATACCGCGGCCGAGTTGGAGAAGGGCGATGACAAGAATTTCGATCTCGTCGTGCTAGATAGCGTCCTGTGCGGCGTCGCCGATGCTCTGCTGTTCGGCCCTTTGCTTCCGTTTGGGTTGGCAATACACTTTGTCCGGGCCGTCATGAGCTTCTTTCGTCGTCCTCCTAATGCACCAACTCTCGAGCAGCTCCGACAACGACGCGATGACTCCTGGGATCAACAACTCGAGTATATTTACCAAAACATTTACTCGCACCCGTATCTTGATCCAACACAGAATTTTGCTACTAAAATGGAGAGCGCCTTTGCCATTGACACTTTGAGCGTTCTTTCGGAATCCGCCAAGATAATTGGCGTGCTGAATGCGACCAGCTCAGCAGACGTCGTTCCCAGCTCGGCAGACCTCGTTCCCAGTTCGGACCCCGACTTGGAACTGGACGAAGTTCAAGTCAGGACCGAACAGGCCATCTATAAAATCAAACAGGATAGGTGGGATGTGGTTGCTCGTCGCCAACGCGAGTATCTCTTTGGCATTCTGGACCAATTCACTCGCGGTACAGCCTTCCAGTTGACAGAGTTGGCCAAGGCGGTCAATGAGAAATTCATTAAGCATATTAATGAAGAGGAATTTATTGAGAATTATCGCGATCAAAGTCGATTTGAGGAATGGATTGACTCTGTTACCACGGAAACTCTTAGGCCTATAGACCGTTTTTCTATAGCTCGCGCTCAGATGAAGGAGGCTGGCACACAACTTGCCAAGACCCCCCCGGCTCTACCGCGGGCGTTGAATGTTGCCTTTATCATCGGGCAGTCCAAGGGTATCGACTATGCTCAGTCAGATACGGTGTCTTTATTTAATTATTTTGAGGTAGAGATGGCTGAGGCGTCAACTGCAGCTATACCAGGACTTTACCGATTTTATACCATGGTTCGACACACACACCAGACTGTATTATTTCTCCAAGGCTCCCTTAAAGAAGAGGACTTTGATAATTCAATCTGGCCTGTTGAGGACCTTGATACCCTGAACAAGTTCCGGCTTCTTGCGGCCATGAAGCTAGGCAAGTTATACGAAGAGGCCAAAATAGAGTATCTGGATGAAGAGTATCGCACGAATAAGTATATTCTCAGCCCCACAGCGCCTCCAATCATTGTTAACCCATCTATTCCTCCTTTACCTGAGTATCCCGACAATGCTTATCTCATAAGCCTCGCTATTGGGCTGGTTGACGCTGTCAGCAGCGATGACTTCAACGACGAAGTCTTGGACTATTTAAAGACGCGAACATCGGAAATCCGGCTCAAGAACTGGAAAGCATTACAAGAGAGGATCCGGGCCATAAAGACAAAGTTGGATGAGCTGGCCGCAGAGGAATACAGAGGGGCCCCTGTATCATCAGCCGAATTCATGACCAGGCACCTGCAGACCTGTGTCGACCTGGGTTCAGACGAAGGAGGCTGCAAATATATTGTGGGGGGTTGTTATTACGCCCAAAACACGACGGATCAATTCGCCTCGGAATGCATACATGAAGCGTTCCAGCCAATTGGCCAGGCCCAGAAGACAGTCCAGAGGCAATACCGGGAGGCATGCGACATGTTCCCTAGCCGTCAGGCGTGTATGACAGCTCTTAGGAAATGCGCGAAAGAGAACCCCAAAACCCGAGTCAAGGTCCTCTTTACGTGCACAGCCAAGGCCGCCCCCAAGCCAGACGATTCGGATACAGCTGCCGCGCCGCAGAGTACTGGCTAAAAGGAGAGGAGACTGGGCTCACACATGTATTTCTTCCAGGGGCCACCTCTGGAGTGATGAGGTGTCTCTGCGTAGTTCGGGCATGGGACTTTGGAAATGGTGAAACACTTGGAACATCTGTTAGGTTGCCGGAGGAGAGGGCTTGATGGTTGAGGACGCAGTCCGAAGGGTGATAAGCTTCCTGGGGGGGATCCCAACAACCTAGTTTCCACCTGCGACCATAGATATAGTAGTCGTTACGGCGCATTCAATCTACAATGAGGGGATCAAGTTGACTAAATAGAGTGTACCATTGTCGTCTCCGCTAGAGAACCCTCTGTCACTTTTTCGCTCGGGCGGGCTGGTCGTCTTGTAGCTCGTGAGCCACGTCCCTAGTGAAGCTCTATTGCTCGTCTGGAACGCTCATTAGCCGCCAGTTGCATCCATCTACCTCGTGGTCGAAGATCGCTGGAGTGACGTGTCAGTCTATTCTGGTTTTTCTCAACACTCTCGTCTCATCTGATGTCGCGGTTAAGTAAATATTTATCTCCGGTCGAGTATTACCTCGTATTCTGTAAGCCTTTGCGTTTTATTATCGTCCTCCAGTTGTCCAGCGCTATTCTTCGGTTGCTGGTAGCTGGAGCGAGTGTGAATTGGCGATCTCTGGGCGCCCTTATCTAGTAATAGTTTAATAATAGCTTCACAACCCTATAGCAGCCCACGAGAGCGGAGTTTAATTATCACTCCCTTCTCCCCCCAGATGAATGTGGGCTAGGAGTACGCGACGTCTAAATGTTAGTAATAGAGACGTGGAGCGCGAAACGGAATGCCAAGATACCCTTATCGTATTTCGTGAGTCATAATAGACAAGCTCAGCCGGACTTCTTCGATCTATATCAGTTGGTGGGGTCAGTATTCAGCTATAAGCCATATTATACACTATTATCCCTGTACAAAATATAAATCAAACAAAGTGGATAATTAGAGATAGCTGGCAAGGCGTGCTGGAAAAGCCGGTAAACTATAACTATACATACAAATTCCATCAATATAGTGGTTAGTACACTTGATAGGGAAGACAATCAAGCTATACGTGCATAGCAGCAGGGTACTAGTTCAAGGCCAGCTAGTTCTATACGCTATATATTTATAATAGCCAAAGCTAGATAGAGAACTATAGTTATATTCAAGTTTAAATTACTCCGCTAATAGCCGGCCGAGCTTAAACTCCTACGGAGAACTCCATACAACGGCCAAAAGCCTTTTCCTCCACAAAGCCCAGCTATTAATACTATATATTAATACCTGGCTACCTGGGCTGGGATTTACAACTATATTAGCATATTACTTGTAATAAGGCTATTACATATTCAGGAGATATCTTACATTACACTGCGCGTTAAGGCATTGATAAGGCGAGCAGCAGTCAGCGTCCCAAAATCCTCCACATCGCTCTCCCTAGATTCCAAGCCTATTAGTTGCATGTCGCTACATACAAGACTTGCTCCAAGCTCGCGATACCTACATGCGGCAGACATTTGTTATATCGCGGACTTGCAAGAGCCGAACTAGCAAAGATAAGTAGATAAGCGATATTGAACTTCATGGTTATTTCTTTTAAGTTAAGACGTAAGTATTTGATAATATAATTTTGGTTACGTAGCTAGAAGAATATGGAAATATTTGACTGGAAAAGGTGGAAGGTGGGGTTTTATAGACAACTTCAGGGAGGCAGAACCCCCTTTGGTAGGTTCTAATCTACTATGTCTCCTGCCTTAGAGGCGTCAATGTGCTTGAACCTAATCGAAAACATCTAAAGGGCCAACGCCTTGATTGGCGTGTTTGTGACCTCCCAACCTCCGTTTAGCAGCCTGCCAAATGCATCCTATGGCCGAGACCTGGTCTAGAGGCCTTGTCTTGACAATAGCCTATGTATTCATTTGAGGCATCTCGTACACTGTGCCTCTATTCCTGAACCTTATTGTGACGCGACGACTCGCAGTCATTCTGGTGGAAGATTCTGGGTGTGTCTCAACCAGGCGTAATACTGGCGTACCGATTGGCGCATGGAAACGGGAGCAAAACGATAAGCAATTTCCGCGTGGGGTATTGACGTAGGTGGCTCTTGAGAGAGTTTGCTGGCCGGGAAGGCTTGAGCCAGGTGCAATTCGTCAATCACAGTTGACGGAAATGCCCTTCAATGTTGGTTACACAAGGGCCACGATCACGGGACCTGGGGCAAAGTCCCTCACTGACTTCTTGTACGTATTTAAAGACCATGCGTCTTGGGTCCACGAGGCCTTGAGGAAAACCAAGGACCGTTGATACCGAAGATTGTTATTGAGCTATTGACTCCAAGCCGACCATCGTACCCTGGTCACAAATTACTACTGCAACGAGCACTGAGCGGAAAAAGCAAGAGCGGAATAAAATTCCCCTGTGCCAGTTACTCTCTTCTTTGCGACTATATTTTTTGTGCCGTTCAGTCCAAGTTCAACTGTGCGTGTTTGAGCCAGCAGTCTATTTTGCTCTCCCACAAGTCGACATGGAAATCTACCAGCGAGGCCAAGCCTTTATTGAAAAAGATGGCGATCTGGAATTCGCATTTACCAAACTCATCATCAAGGGACCAAATCACCAATATTTTTACGCTACTACAAAAGATCGCATCGGCACATTCTCTTCGGTGGATATAAATCAACTTGAAATGGTCCCAATCCCTCTCGAAAATATTTGGCCGCTTTTTTCAGACCACTTCTCGCAGGCAATGGAGCTCTCTTCATCAAAGTACTATATCAAGGAACCAAATCTATTAAGTTACGGTGATTCACCGGCTGCACTACAAAGCAGCAACGAAATATTAAATGAGGTTTTGGTCTGTGAAATTCTAAAAGTAAACCCTCATCCTAATATAGCCTCCTATATAGGCTGTGTTGTTACCAACGGCCGCATTCGAGGAATCTGTCTTACGAGATACAAGATGACGCTCGATGAGAGATTACAAGACACAAAAGCTTTCGATACAGATGCCTGTTTGCGGGAAATTGAACTGGGTATTCGTCATTTACACTCGCTGGGGCTTATTCACAATGACATTAACCCGGCAAATATCATGGTTGATGATAGTGATCGCCCAGTCATAATTGATTTTGACTCCTGCTCTCACCACGGGGAGAAGCTAGGCCCCAAGGCAGGTACATGGGGGTGGTTCATACAGGGCATGGAATTTGCGAGGTACGAGAACGACTTCTTTGGGCTCGCAAAGCTCCGAGAATATATGCTCAAGTAGACCTTCAAATTATCTTGATGCGGAGAGGTGAAGTTCTTTTCACATAGGGGTGGAGGTGCAAGGTAGCGCTTGGGCTACAATCACATTAATATCAATATATACCTAATCTCCCGGACAAAACGTATTACAAGCCTCACATTCAAAGTGGTCAATGTGGCATGTCTATTTAGGGGCCCCAGATGTATTCATTTATTTATGAGCTGTGTTAAACAGCTGCTATTTACTGCTGCAATATGTTCCATGTGGTACGTACACCTCGTTCCATTTGGTTGCGCAAGAACCAACCATGTCCCTTGGTTATCTGTTACACGGAAATCGCCCTGTAACACAAGGGCTACGGTCACGGGATTAGGGCAGAAGGCCCTCACCGACTTCTTGTATAAATAGACGTCTTCGGCCCCTCAAGGCCTTGAGGAAAACCAAGGACCTTTGATACCAAAGACTGTTATTAGATGAATTGAGCTAAATTGCTCCAAGCCCTCTTTCCGAGCCCTTGTCACAACAGCAGACATGTGCTGTGCGATTGCACCCTCAGCCAAGGCCTGCAGTGCAATGGCTGTGACAAGGGCAAGTGATATTGGGCTTGGAACAGTGTTCGATATTCAGCTAATAATTCGCTTTGATATCAAAGGTCCTTGGTTTTTCTCAAGGCCTTAGGGGTCGATGACCCTTATTTATATCAAGAGGCAGTCAAAGGGCTGTCCTAGGTGCCTGAGGCCTCTGTTAGGTCTCAAGCCCTTGTGTAACTATCGTCATGTTCAAGGTACGGCCCGTGCCTTCATGGCAACGTGACATCCGTGTAACAATGGCACTTTCGCTTGCTTTTGCGGTGCAACTGCACACGGCTAAATGTATGATCCAGGAAACGAGTACGCAAATAGCTTTATCGGAGTGGAATAGTTGGGAACTATGAGCAGCTACGCTCACAATACTCTATCAAGCCCTTAGTTAAATTACGCTTTCCCTCCCGTCCAGTCCCAGCGCCTCTAAAGAAAGAAAAACACAGTAACACCGGCATAGTAAAGCACACCCAGAGCAAGGTGTTAATATGTACTGATGAAATACAAGCCACTTGTTCATATTTATGCTACTCTCCAAGGCACTCCCTCCTTAGCTTCAAGGCACTCCATTTCTTGCCTCTCTCATAGACACACCATCATTTACTCTTAAACGATATGTTGTGCCCTTCCTCTTCTAACAGCACCTCGGCACTGCCAATACCTTCCGGCCCGTGTATTCAGACGGGTCGACTTTAAAGGGTAAGTAGGTGTTTGCATACAACCCCTCGTCGTAATCCATCTCGAAGATGTTGATTTGCAACACCTCTGGATCGGGATCATCAGCAGGAACAAGGTGGTCGAACGTAACGCCGTAGTAATCAATAACCCTAGAATATTGAGAAACGTCAATCCAGTTCCTATACATACTATTTGCATACAGAGATTGGCCACCATCTTACCTTCGAGGTCTCTCTTCTCGCACCCAACCTAAGTACTCATCTCGCATAATGAGATCGTTAGTAACGTCTGCCCGATCCTGTCGCCCATAAATGACTTGGTACGCCAGCCTCGCTAACATGGGACCAGCAGGTTGAGGGAAGTCCAGATCTTCTAGGTTCCAGGGAACCTCGGGAAACAGTTTTTGAACAGACATCAATGGGCCCTCAATCTGGATCCTTAGTGGGCTGGCGAATTGAGGCGGATGGCGAGGATGAGTGGGAGTGCGAATACAAGGTGGAATGTGTAATTCGAGAGCCATACTTGACGTTTGTAGCACAGTTGCTTTGGTTATATGTATAGTTGCAGCAAATTACATTGAAAGATGAGGAACGAATTGTTTTGGTATAGTGCTACAGAGAACAGGTGAAGGAAAGGATGAAAAATAGAAAGTACGTCTGGTTTGGGGTCCTTATTAGTCAGCTTCTAGTCAGTTGGTTTCCAGTCATCCAGGCCACCAGACGGCTTCTTCTGTCTCGTAGCGCTTTGACACGACTCTTCCAAAATTTGCCTGGTGCATTTGCACTCTGCATGGTGCGTTTGCACGGCATGATGCGTTTGCATCATAGTGCGTGTGTGATTGGCTTGTGATCATCGATTCATGCAGCCCGAATTAGGAAAATCACCGACACCACAATCTGGTTAGAACAGGGAACAGGTTGCCCAATCATTCTTCATCTTCATCTCCACGTCTCCACCCGTCCGTGGCCTGCACGACCACACCTGTATGAAGTTGTCACGGCACTGTTCCGTGTCGCCAAATCTTTACATTCCTGAATACGGTACGTAGCTCTACGGGAAGTAGCTCCGCGGCAGAAACTGTGTCCTCTTTGTAACCCTTGTCACTCCTGCCGTGTATAAATAACCCGTATATTAGCACAAGCCTAGACATTAAATCGTCCGCGAATTCCTCCAAAGTTGGTCTTTTCTCGTTTCTCATGATAGAATGTCTCCATTTGCCATTTGGATTCTGCTGGTGGCCAGCGTCTTGGCAATGACGCTTCCAGATAAGAACCTACAAGTGAAAAAATCCGACGCCGGTCACGCGAGACTAATGAGCGAGCTTGGCCGTCGATATAAGCGCACCATGCTCGCTTCTCTCACGGGCACATGCAGCGACAAGAATGTCGTCCTGCGCAAGGAGTGGTTCGTTCGATGGGCCTTATTCTACATACACGACGACTGATGCTGCAGAAGGCATGCACTATCCGCAGGCCAGCGACGGGATTACATCAAGGCTGTTGGATGCCTGCAATCAAAACCAGCCACGGCTCCTGCTGGGCCTGCTCGAACTCGATTTGAACAATTCGTCCTAGCCCACGCCGACCAGAGCCTGCTGATTCACTTCTCTGTGAGTTCCAACACACCCCGACTATGAATCGTGTTGTTGACCGTGCAGGGCTTGTTGCTGCCCTGGCATCGATACTTCCTCTCTCTATACGAGAAGGCCTTGCGCGACGAGTGCGGCTACCAGGGCCATCAGCCGTACTGGGACTGGTGCAGGTCAGCGGCCGATCCATTGAATGCCTCCATCTTCGACGGAACAGACACCTCCCTAGGCAGCAATGGCAAAGCAATACCTCACGCCGGCATCAACCTAACGAACCCAGTCGGCCCGCCCCCCGTGTCCTTTTTCCTACGGCCCGCGGGTTCGGGTGGCGGTTGTGTGTCGGGGCCGTTTGAAAACCTGACTCTGCATCTCGAAGGCAGCAACGCCGGCGCCAGCACTCCGTTGAAGCTGCGTGACCGTCCCCGGTGCCTCACACGCGACTTCTCCTGGCCCATTCTCGATGAAAGCAACTCGTACCCAAGAGTCCTAGACTTGATTATCAACAGCAGCGATATTCACAGCTTCCTGTCGGCCGTGGAAGCGCCAGATGGCGTACACCCCGGCGGGCACTCGTTTATCGGGGGCGACAGCCTGAATCTATTCACATCACCGAATGAGCCCCTCTTCTACCTGCATCATGCTATGCTGGACCGGGTTTGGGCCATTTGGCAGAGTAGAGATTGGTCGGCGAGGCAGAACGCTCTTGATGGGACGCTTACCGCAAAGAATTGTGAGTATATACAGGATGCACAGGGTCAGGTCAGGGGTTTGCTAATGATTCTAGACCCCCCGAGCGCCAATGCTACTGTTGATGACGACATGATGGTGGGCGATTTGGGCGAATCTCGGCGAATAGGCGAGGTCATGTCGACGGTGGGTGGTTATTTGTGCTATGTCTATGATTGAGACGGGCCGGACTGCCGGCTTGGAAAATAGGAGAACGGCGAAGGAGGGTACAGAAATGCAAGATAATTTGTTGGGGCTACAAGCGGGTGTTGCATCATGGCAAGGTTGAAGTTTATTGTCTACACGGTTCCGTACGGTACTATGGCCTTGGCACGGCCAAAACACGGCTTCACCTGAGTATCGTCTAATCTGATGACGGAGTGCTTCTATGGTTATAGGGATTATTCTTCTTCTTCAAAAATGGTGCATCTTTACATGTGCTATTTATAAGGAAGTGTGATGGGGACTTAGTAAGAGCTTGGAGTAATAACTCAATTTGACTAATAATAATTTACAATATTAAAGGCTCTTGGTTTTCCTTGACGCTCAATTAATTAAAAAGGCTTTATTTATATGAAGCAATAAAGGTTTTAATTCTAAATTTTATTATGATACTAACGCGCTATATAAGAGATTGATACTGCGATTATCAGCCAAGCTAGCTACCAACACAAATACGACGGATAATATACAGCAGTAAATTAAACTCGTAGTGCGCTGCGCCGATAAGTCCCATACCGACGTTCTGACAAGGAAACCCAAGCTCAAAAATACAAGTGACCCGGGGTTGATATTTTAATCGTCGCTTCGAATTCGTCGATTCAACACGGTCCGTGACTTGGTCCACGAGCTTGGAATAAGTGGCGTCTCTGGTGACAAGCTTGCGGAACTGCGTGTGCGCGTGAAACTTGTCATTGACGTACCGTCAAATATCGCCACTCGTCAGGTCCTCCAGCTTGAGCGTCCAGAAGCCATCGCCGCCAAACTCGTCGTCAAAGACGGTCCGCGGCCAGCTTGGCATTGCCAACCGCGCAGCAGGTATGAGTCTCGGGCATTGCCGGAGGATATAAAAGAACACATACCGCAGTGTGTCGGCCTGCGACTTTTGCAACGCTTCTCCGGCATTCCCGAAGAGAAACTTGACCAGAACGAGTCGTTTTTGCCTTGCCCAGTGGCTCTGAAGAATAGTCTTGGTCTCGTCGTTATAGTATAAATACTTCATGAAGGTAGACTTACCCGAGCCCGGCTTGTCATGTATCCAGAAAACATCCTTCCGCGTCTCAAGCATTCTCGGAACTTTAAACGACGCTTTGGATTGTTGAAATACGCCCACTTGAAGGTTTCTGCATGTGCTGGTGCGATTTGATGGCTTCGAGACGGCAGGGTCCTAAAGTAGAGCGCTTCCAGCACTTGTTGGTTCTTGGACGTCGTCTGTCCCGCTTCGCTCAGGCGCTTCGCGGCGAGTTGGGGCTGTTGCAAGTCGCCCGAGGTCACCGGAGCAGATTTGTTGTGGCGAGCAGAGTCGAGCTCTTGGTTGTAACAATGGCTCACAGCCGCTATCAAATCCTCCTTGAGCCTTTGCAAATCTTGCCGTCTCTGTACTTGGATTAGTTTGTTGGTGGCTTCGAGCCGCGCGATGGTCGCGGAGAGGTTCGTGACTTGGTCTGTTGCTGGCTGTCAGCACATTGCGATCAATTGATGGCTCGCGGGAGTCGCGGGTGGGGACAGAGCCTGGTCGAGAATTGAATATATCTGGTCATTTGCGTCTGTAACCTATCGAGCCGATCCAGCAGGTCTTGGACCTTGGGCTTGGTGCAAATGCTGCGCAGCGCTACAAGGAAGCTCTTGCACTTGGACTGGTCCTGCGGCGCCGCGAGTGTCTTCAATGCGTTCATGATTTCCGTCGCCATCTTCTTGGTTGCTGGCAACGCCCAGTGCCGTCAGAGGGTCCATTGACGGCGTCGGAAGGATCACCATGTCCGCCCGTGAGTGCGTGGAATAAGACGTCGGGCGCAGCCTCCCCTTCTCCCTCAGCCCCAGGCAGTTGTGATAGATGCCTCGAGTATCATCAGGCGACGGTGTAAGGCCACAGGAGTCAGGAAATGGCTCCCGCTGAAAATGCTCAACTCAAAATTGAGCAACGACTTGCCCTTTACTGTATAACCAGTCTATCAAGAGTTGATCTCAGTTCTCAGTTTCACCGGCAGACCGTCACAGCATCCTTGCATACCTCTTATCTTATTGGCGCACCGTCGTGTAACCCAACTGCACTCCAAGCTGAACCGCATTGCTGCCCGACACTGAAGCATCTGACCATGTCCATGTTGGGCATCAGTATTAGCTGATACCCCCTAACCAGAGAAATTCCGTAAAAGAATGGCTACCCAACAAGAGCAGGACGACAGTCTATCACTTGATTTAAGCCTGAATTTTAACCCTAAAAAAGGAATGATTATAACGCTTGGACCTTTTATAATCGCCTTGTAAACTCGATATACATAATGGTGACAAGGGCTCAATAAAAGGCTTGGAGTAATTTAGCTCAATGGACGGACGCCATAGAAGTATCCAAAATCATACATTCAGTGCTATAAATTCAGCCACATGCGTAACGTGTATATTATAGTTCGACGAACCAAGGATGAAAACCGTACGGGCCACGCTTCTGCAACGTCAAAGGCAATTGAGCGGCATAGTTGTAGGGTCTCTACTGCATGGAGTTACAGCCGGCAAAGAAACGCGATACAACGAACCAAGACTTTTGAAATAAGAAGGTGAAATAAAACAATCTTGTGATACGGCGCTGGCATTTACATGATTGACCGCCGAAACTATCGACACTATCCTCCTCGTCCTCTTCCCAGCCCCGTCCCCGGCCTCCAGGCGTCACCGCGGCCCCTATGCCTTTGGCAACTCCTTCCAGGCCGCATATTTGCGATAGATGTCCTTTCGGAATACCTGCTTCAGCTCGGAGACGGCAGGCACATCCAGGGGCAATTTAGCTTGCACGGCGCCGATTCCACAGAGGTCATTCTTCCGGTCAATGAACCAGGTCAGAGTCATGCCACCACCCCAAGTAAGCGTATTCGAACCGTACCAACCGTCGACGTCTTGCAGGGTCAGCAGGCCGCCGAGCCCGTAGCCCATCTTGGTGTCTGAATCGACGCCAACTCGGAAAAAGACACCCCCCGGACCAGCCAACGCTGCCTGATGACCGGCCGCCGACTCCGGTGTAAGATGGTCCTTAAACATGCTCTCAACAGTCTCTCGCTTGAGCAACTTGCCATCATTAGCAAGCAGCGACTGCAAAATCTTGACATAGTCGACGGCGGGCATAAACAGGCCGTGGCCGCCAAAGTCTCCTTTACAGCGAAGATTCACGTCGCTCTCGCCGCCAATGACCGCACGTCCCTGGCCATTGGGATCGTCGGGATTCAAATCAACCATCCTGGCGCGCAGGTCCTCCCGCGATACAGGATAAAACTGGGCATCCCGGCAGCCGAGAGGAGCCAAGACACGCTCCAGGACATGGTCGCCCAGCGTGCGCCCCGTGACGCGCTCGACAATGCGTCCGGCCCAGTCGAGCCCCGAGCCGTACATCCACCCGGCGCCGGGCTGGTGAGCAAGCGGGTAGGCGAACAGTTCCTCCACCGTCTTGAGCTGCCCCTGCGTCGGGGGGGAGAATATCTCGCGCCACTTGCCCACGAGCGGGGCGAGGAAGTCGTACGCCGTGCCGGCGCTGTGCGTGAGCAGCATCTCGAGCGTGATGGGACGCGCGGCCGGCTCGAGAAGCGGCGTCTTGCCGTCGTCGGCGAAGCCCTGGAGTACTTGCTTGGCGGTGAGCTCGGGCGCGACCGGCGAGAGGTCGCCGTCGAGCGTGAGGAGGCCGTCCTCGACGCACTGCAGGGCGGCGATGGAGGCAACCAGCTTGGTGGCCGAGGCGAGGAATAAGACATCGTCCAGCTGCTGTGGGCGTGTCTCTCCAGATAAGAGAGTGCGTTCTCCGATGGCCTTGTTGTACGTGAAGTCGCCCTTGGAATCCGTGGCGCAGATGACGGCGCCGTTGATGGTGCCGGATGCAATGGCGGCTTGGAAGCTGGTCTCGATGGTGCCGGCCATGACGGGTGCGGTTGGGGTCCTTGGCGGGCGTGGGATGGTAGAATTATTCCGAGAGTGTTTGTTCATAGGGAGAGTTGTGTGTTGAGCGCGATTTACTTTGCATGTCACCGCGTCATGCAGAGAATCTGACATAAGCCCAACGGACCATCTCGCACACCTTGCGGCCACGAAACACGCCTCGGTCGCTATTCACCGTCTAGTTGTATAGTACATGGCTGCAGATGACGTACCTTTATTGTCATATCACGAATGGCATTGAACTGGATTATTTACCCCTTCATAACGCGGGATACCAGTTGATTTGGTGTAGCCTGCCCAGCGCCGAGTTCCCACGTCAGATTCGGCCGGTTCTGGCTGGCATGCAAATGTCGTTGTACCTTGTGGAGCGTGACAAGACTTGCGGCTACAAAATAAACATTGAATCTGATTAAACTGGTGTGACACTATATTATTGCGGATATGCGTGTGAAAATGCTGTCCTTTCGAGGCCGCGGGTGTCGAGACACGGCTTGATCCGCATAGGAAAGATGCCCGTGGCTGGCTGAATTAGCAACAAAATGTTACAGCGGGGATTCCTGGATGCTGTAATTCCTTTCCACAGTCTCGGAAAGCTGCACAGGTTAAATTCACACTGTTGCGTTCCAGACTGTTCTCCGTGCAACGGTAAGCCATTCAACGTTGACATAGCCTATTATTCGCCTCGGCGTATGCTACTCTTGCATATGTCTCAGGTACGTGGCCTCATTTAAGCAGGTGAAATATGATAGTATCCCTCATCAGAAATGGCCAGCTGTTAACATACGCATTAGTTATAGAAGCATGCTACAGGCCATCGATTCGGTTCAAGGCGTAGAGACAAAATGCACCTAGACGTAGCAGAACAATTGGCCAGGACGCAACATCTCGGGGCTCTTCTCGAGACTGCCTTCCCTGGGCCACTTTGCATATGTACCCTGAACTGCGGCGTAAAGTTCGTCATGATGATTGGTGTCTCACTACCGACTGAGGCGATAAAACTTGTTTGTTTCTTATATGCTACCTGTCAACGGGTCTCGGCTAGTGCCACGGCTGACCCAACATCTTGCTATAGACAAGTGTTGACTTGGTGCGAGTAATGTACCAGACATACCACGTGGAAGACTTGCTGCCTAGCTAGGTATATATATGTATGAGACCTGCCGCCAGAGTTAAATAGAAGCAAGTTTAATCACAACAACAGGACCATTCATCTCATGCTCAAAACAGTCAGCGGCTCCAGACAGTCATAATTGCGTCACGGGCTTTTATGCATCATTCTAACGCCGGTAGAAAACATCCAAAATAACCTGCAGTCTTACAAAGTCTATGGGGCATCGATCACGTTATCAACTTCATTTAAGACGCCGCCCATCATTGTGGCTGCAGCCGTTGCAACTCGAACGGCTCAATTTGGCAATTCCGCCAGCCAGTTTCTGTCGGTATGAGAAAAAAGGAAATTAGGTGAGAGTCCCTATCGAATCACTGATTCTAGCTTGAACCCACGCGAATCGGCTGCGGTTTTCCCAGCACATTGAGTGAGTTAATATGTGTACATGAAGGGCAATGTGTGCCGTTGTTTCGACCGCGAAAGCTGACAATTGGGTCATCTTTACCGGGCACAATGCACGTCTTGATTTTTTGGCTACGAAGCTTGGCTTCAAGCTGCTGCAAGGCATCTGTATAAACTGTCAACCAATAGTCATGGGTGAGAGTCCCTTCCATTACCGGATCTGCGTGACTGGTCCCAGACACGGAAGACCCTGAATCAAGGCCAAGATGGCCTGACATGGCAAAGGAATTAGCCCATCTTACTACACCATTGTCCTCATCTCGTAGAGTGAGCAAGAGCTCCAGGAGTCGCTCTGGCAGGGCTCAGGGTCAATACCATGATGGAAAAGTTTTGGTGCTTTAGCCCTATAGCTGGCCCATCAGCCTGTAACTACCCCAAGGGATACCACCAGCAGGAAGAGAAAAGACTGTGGTAAACGCAGCCAACGACTTGGTTCGGGACTGCCAGCCCACATTCTATCGCCTACATTTCTGGCGGATGTGCGACTGGCAGGTTCTGCATCGTACTTTCAAGTCATGACAAGGAAACGATGATGCAGAGAGAGAACCAATAAACGCCCTCGAGTTTGTGTGATCAGTCAACTGTTTGAGACGACTACAACACAATCTCAGCCACACGAGAAAAGCCCCTACTAGAACTACCCCACGTTACATTTTCCGCGCCTGCAAGTGAAATAACTACAATAATACGTTTATAGGTACGGAGTATGTGGTCCAGTAGCAAAACGAAAGAGCGGAATCGGTAAGGCTTGGGAGGCTGGGCCACGGCCGCCATAAACGAGAAAGGCCTGGTTGGCATTGATGCCTTGCATTCTTGTCAGATGACAAGTTTTTGATTCATGGACCATATGCAGACCTAGCAGCAGCTTGATGTGCTGGCTTTATTGGCCCAAGGTGGCCGGCGACCAAAACACGAGTTCTATAAATACAGTGACAGGATAGCTACTCGGTAGATTTTCTTCCCATCCTTCTCAATTTCAACTCAAGAACGCCATCTCATCTCATTATATCATCAGCGTCTCCGAAAATGAAGGCCTCCACCATCGCACTTGTCGTCTCTGCAGCCGCGCCAGCTCTTGGCGCATAGCGCTGCAACAGAGGCGACATTGTTTGCGGTCATGTTCTTTTGGGCTACAGCAAGTTTGATCCGCTACGAGTTTAAAAATGCCAATCGGTTCCAACGCTCCGCAGGCTCGGAATACCAGGCGGTAATGCGCCATGCATTGCAGGCTGCTCGCCAGCCAATTTCTGAACACGCGGTTGTCGACAGCCTTTATTATTGCTCGCATCCGGACAGAGTTTACTGGTATAGCACTTGCAAGCCAAAGGAGTGCAAGAGGAACCCGAACAAGCCGACCGACTACTGTCTCACTAGCCCAGAAGTTGACGTATGACTATTTCAGTCTTGTTGAGCATTCATGTTGAAGCTGATATTCTTCTAGTTATGCATCAGTCACTGTCTAAGTGGCTCCGCGATTGTCCAAGTACACGAATCATTTTTTTTCTCTTCTGGGCCCAAGTTCTGCAGTCTATCTGGGTGAAGCCTTCGTTTACAAGGTAGTAATTCAACATCAGGGCAGGGGACCACGTATTTTAGTGCTGTTGCATATATGGCTTGGCTATTTATTAAACTTGGAATTCGTATCTACATCGTCTCATTTCGTGCCTCCAATATCTTCCTTGGGATACATGGTTTGTTTCATCTCGTACACCAATAATCTTCTGCAGCGCCCTACCATGCCGCATTCAATACTTGTTCCTCAACTACCTTGCTGTATTCTCCCCATGGAAACTCGGGCTATTTGTGTCACAAAATGCCCCTCAGCACCGACTACATAACTAGGTAGCCAGTTCCTTGGGAGTTTCCAGTATTTCTATAGTGGGGTTGTTTTCTAATTTTTCAAGTACGCTTCTAGTTGAACAAGGTCCGCCAATAACGGTTGCGGATTCAAATATCGACTCGTAGATATGTCGTTTGTCAAAAACACATAGATGTCAAGAGCCGACAACAGCTATTTGCACTCCACATGCGATTTGAGGAGCGGAGATTGCCATATAAATCTAAGGAAGCGTATAGAAGCTGCTACGACATCTCAGAATCTTTGTGCCTCGAGCCGGGCTGTTTTCCCGCTGTACGTTGGCAAAAGTCACGACAAGGAAATGATGGCCAGGCATATGAGAAAACCACCCGATTATGTATACCGAATGCTTAGCAATGTACTAGACAGCTGGACTACATATACAAAGCCACATGCCACGACCAAGAAGACGCTACCCGGTACCACTCGGAATATCTGTTGGGCGACAAGAATTGTTGATAGACCCAATACGACAGCCCCGTCTTCTGTTCACTGCTAGACTCGGGCTTGAATTTGCAGCCATTGCCCAGACATTCCATGCTCCGAGCCCGCTGCACATGCTCCTTGGCCATGATCTGCGTCTTCCAGAAAGTTTTGTTTGCACCCAAGAGAAACCAAGTATTTAGTATATTATGCCCAAGCTAAGAAAACAAAAGAATAATATAACTTCTAACCGTTCTTCATTGGGCTATCAAGGAGAGAATCATATACATCCATGTCTCTACTAAAAGCAGCGCTTTGGTCCATGTATTTGATGCTGTCGTCAATTATATCCTATCCACTATCCGCGATAAATAGCCCGTCAACGGCTAGTACGTATCGATGTAAGCTAGCCAAATCCCTACTAGCAAGTCACAAGTGCCAGGCGAAACGGCTAGCGGGAATAATCCGTCTGGTACTTTGGCTCGGACATGATTTGTCATTTCGGGTCGACGACAAGAACCAGTTGGCCTGTTTCGGCAACAACCCCTCTCCACCGGGTCGGGCTAAATTTTGCTCCCCAGTCTTACCCCTCGTCTAGTGACACCACACATGCATGCAGACCAGACAATGTAATTTCTTCCCCCACAAGTCGGCGCCGCCCGCCGCCGCTCAACAGCTCCATCGCGGGACAGCAAACGCCCTCTCTACCCGAGGGCCGTCGCATCAAGCTTCAATGTTCAGTCTGGTCCCAGTTTAAGCTGACCAGACTTGACTCTTCTTGCCATTTCCAATCGTCAAGCAGCACCGAGTCCTGATCAGTTCCGTACGCATCGCCATTCACCATGCCGCCCACCAGTTCGTCCGTCTACCAAAACGCCGACTTGTTCAAGTTCCCCTCGCGCCGGAGCGTTGTCCACAGCACCGACGGCATCGTCGCCTGCACGCAGCCGCTCGCTGCGAAATGCGGCCTCGACGTGCTCCGCGCAGGAGGCAATGCGGCTGTACGTGTGCCGCGTGTTTCTTAAATCTGAAAAAAAAAAAAAAAAAAAAAAAAAAAAATTCAGCCGCTGTCGCAGTTGGTACGCCAGAACAACCCGTCATGGCATCGTCTAGTCTAACCGCGGAAAACAAATGGCAGCTGCCGGCCTCAACATGACGGAGCCGTGCTCAACAGGCATCGGCGGCGACATGTTCATCCTCTTCTGGGACGCATCCGCCAAGCAGGTCAGGGCCATGAACGGCTCCGGCCGCGCAGCCGCCAAGTCGACCCTCGACGCCGTCCGCAAGCGCCTCAACATCCCCGACGACAGGCCCGATGCCGAGATCCCCAAGACCAGCGCCCTGGCCGTCACTGTGCCCGGCGCAGCGGCCGGATGGGTCGATGCCGTCGAAAGGTTTGGCAGCGGCAACGTCGACTTGAAGCGTGTGCTGGCGCCGGCTATTGAGCTCGGCGAGAAGGGGTTCCCTGTGCACGAGGAGGCCGCACACTATGTAAGAGAAAATAAAACACGGTCATCTAGTTTGCGACAAGACAGTGCTGATGAGAGAATGCAGTGGGGTGCTTCCGAAGCTCGCCTCAGGCAAGCATCGCCCAACTTTGCAGAGATGCTCAAGGTCGACCCCGAAGCCCAGGGAGTCGTCCGCGCCCCTCGCGCCGGCGAGGTCATGAAGAACCCAACCTTGGCCAGGACCTTTCGCACTCTGGCCGAGGAGGGCAAGAAGGGCTTCTACCAGGGCAGAATCGCAGAGGAGCTCGTCGCCGTTGTCCAGAGTCTGGGCGGGCTGTTGGAGCTCGACGATCTCAAGCACCACCTGGACGTGGGCAGCGAGCCCGTCGAGCCCATCTCTCTCAAGTTCCACGGCCAGGGAACCGGCCACGACGGCGGCGTGGAACTCTGGGAGCACCCGCCCAACGGCCAGGGCATCATCACCCTTATGGCCCTGGGCATCATCCAGGAGCTGGAGAAGCAGGGCAAAATCCCGACCTTTGGGCCGCAAGACTTCAACTCGGCCCCGTACCTGCACGCCATTATTGAAGCCCTGAGGCTAGGATTCGCAGACGGCAGCTGGTTCGTCACGGACCCCAACGTCACCAAGGTCCCGGCCCAGGGGCTCATCTCGCAGGAATACCTCGCCGAGCGGGCCAAGCTCTTCGATGCCACGAGGGCCGTCCTCACCCACGAGCACGGCAACCCGCCCTTTGCCTCGCCTGCCCTGTCCAGCAGCGACACGGTCTACTTTACCGTCACCGACGCGCAGGGCAACGCCGCGTCCTTCATCAACTCCAACTACGCCGGCTTCGGGACCAGCATCATCCCCAAGGGCTGCGGCTTCACCCTCCAGAACCGCGGGTCCAACTTCTCCCTCAACCCCGACCACCCCAACAGGATAGAGCCCAGAAAGCGGCCGTACCACACAATCATCCCCGGCATGGTGACCAACCTGCAAGACGGCTCGCTGCACTCGTCCTTTGGCGTCATGGGCGGCTTCATGCAGCCCCAGGGCCACGTCCAGGTCCTCCTGGGGCAGCTCGTCGGCCGCCTGAACCCCCAGCAGGCCCTCGACGCCCCGAGGATCTGCATCGGCGGCGGGCTCCCCGAGAGCGGCGAGGCCATTGACTGGACCGTCAATGTCGAGCAAGGCATGCCGGAGGAGACCATCGAGGGGCTCAAGAGGCTCGGCCACAAGGTGAGCGTCGTCACCGGCACCGCGAGGGGCTTGTTTGGACGCGGGCAGATTATCCGCCACGTCGTTGACCCGGTCGACGGGACGCGCATCTGGTCTGCGGGCAGCGACATGAGGGCCGACGGCGCCGCGTATCCCCTGTAGATGAAGCGGCGTGGGAGAGGGCTGAGCCAACGGTGACGGTTTGATAGAAAATGATGATTTCAAAAATTAAGCAGAAGCTAGATTGATGGCCTCGTTTTTATGTAAATGACCTATATTCAGGCATCTCACGGGTGCAAATTGTCCTCTCCACCAGAGTAATCGTACACGGGGTCCCCTCGGACCATCTATATCGTCACAACTTGCCAACTTGCTTTTTTTGCTCAAGAGCCGTTCCTCGGCCCCTTGCCACTGGTGTACATTCCATTACGCATCGCCCTCCATGACCAAAACGTCCTTGTCCTCGAAAAACTTGGCCAGCTCGCCGTTGGTGTGCATGGTGCGCAGGATGTCGCAGCCGCCGACAAACTCCTTGTCGACGTAGAGCTGCGGAATGGTCGGCCAGTCCGAGTACTCCTTGATGCCCTCGCGCAGCTCGGCGTCCTCGAGGACGTTGAAGGCGGCAAACTTGTCCGGGTTGACGCCCTGCATGCCGAGGATCTTGATGACGGTGGCGGAGAAGCCGCACTGGGGCGTCTCGGGCGTGCCCTTCATGAAGAGCACCACGGGCGCCGACGCGACCGCCTTGTCGATGGCCGAGCGGGTCGCGTTCGAGAGGAGGCGCGCCTGCGAGGGCGTCGGGGGCGAGATGGGCGCTCGGAAGGAGATGGGCGCGCGGACGGCTGGCCGGGCAGCTCGTCGCAGCAAGCTCTGGCGAAGTGCGGAGGTTAGCCATGGCGGACGCAGAGGGACGCTGGGTGGGAGTTGCCAATGGTGGCTCGTGTACGTACGGACGCAACGCTTCGGGAAAACATGCCGACCAAGTGTCTTGACTTGGGAGGGGGTTTTGTTTCGTGACGGGGCGGGCGATGAAGGTGAGGTGCTGTTGAGGGCGGAAAAATGGGCGAAATCTTGCCCGGCTGGCACCTGCCATTGACGAGCGCGAGCGCCGGCGCCGGGCGTTGATGCTGCGATTGGGAGGCAGGAGCTGACCAATCAGTGCTCATGTAATCAGCGCCGGTCCACCGATTGCCGCCTGACAAGTGGTGAGTCTGGGCTCTGGTGGTGCCATTCAGCCGTTGTGCGTTTATCGAGCCATGAGTCGGCGGCGGCGATTCACCATTTTTTTCATTGACTGCCGTGTTGCAACTTCAACTCACGTCAGTAGAGCTGTATATATAGACACGTACGGAGTCGTCTGACTTTACACCCGAGGACTTGCTCATTCTGCTCTCACCCGAGGCCACCTCACCGTGCATACACACAATTTCCAAACACAACACCATGTTGCCAGCATCAAGAAGTGGCCCCGAGGCGCGGAAAGACACTCCGGCCGGAAACGTGGCCCTCGCACGCAACGACGGCAAAAAGCACCTCCTCCTAGCCGTCTCGGGCTCCGTCGCCACCATCAAAATCGCCAACATCGTCAACGGCCTCGCCTACCACAGCAACCTCTCCATCCGCCTGGTCCTCACCGCCTCGGCGGAGCACTTCCTCAGCGGCCAGTCCGACGAGCAGCCCTCCGTGGCCGAGGTGCGGCGCCTGCCCAACGTCGACGGCATCTACACCGATTCCGCCGAGTGGACGAGGCCGTGGACGCGCGGCGCTCCCATCCTGCACATTGAGCTGCGGAGATGGGCCGACCTGCTCATGATTGTGCCCATGAGTGCAAACACCATGGCCAAGATGGTGGCGGGCATCTGCGACAACCTGCTGCTCAGCGTGGTGAGGGCCTGGGACCACGACGGGTCCATTGACGGCGTCAGGAAGAAGATTGTCGTCGCCGTCGCCATGAACACGGCCATGTGGAGGAATCCGCTGACGGCCAAGCACATCAAGACGCTGGAGGAGGATTGGGGCGGCCACGACGGCTGGGTTGAAGTGCTGAGACCCGTGTCCAAGACGCTGGCCTGTAATGATGTTGGCGAGGGTGCCATGGTGAGTTGGCAGGAGATTGTGTCGGTTGCCGAAGACAGGTTGGGCCTGGAGAACACAGATAGCTTCAGGACATGACGGGGCGAGCAACTACTTACGAGCCGAATGAGTCTATGGAAAACTTGCATCTATACACATGTACACTTATGCATGGTTATGGTTCATTCGCGTAGTGTGCCGAGTGCTAGCACTGGTGGCCAACTGTCTGCCGGCTGTCGGTCCATCATGACTTTTCTGCCACCTCCTGTTCTCTCGCACATCACCATCCATATTCTACCAGAAACCAACTTTGGACCTCTTTTACCACTCCGTCTCCGTCACATCCAACACACCATGTCGCAACCCCTCGATGACTCCCCCGAAGCAAGCTCCTCCACAGCTGCCGAAAAGGCGATTTCCACTCTCCGCGCCAGACTTCGCAGCGAAGACCCATTCCCTCCTCCATTGCACGCCTCCGCATCCTCGTCCGAGCCGTGCTTGAAGCACAATGACATATACAAGCAGCTGCGAGCTACATTTTCCTCGCTGCCTGGTCCCCAACCAGCACCGCATCACACCCCCGACAGAGGAAACACCATCATGAACAATCTAGCGGGTAGTCATGCCACCCCCCGCAGCAATCCATGGCTCGCAAACTAAGCGCCGCAGAAACATTTGCTCGCTCCGGCGAAGACGCGTACAAGTCGGCCGTGTCCGATATCCAGACCGTCCACAAATCCATCTCGGGCCGAATAGACGCCTTCCACGCCGAGTCTGCATCGGTGCTGAGCGATGCCGCGGCTCTCTACGACAACATCTCGTATCCCCTGTCCAGGACGGTATGCCACTCTGAAAACTTTCCCCGGGGAACCATTGCGCAGCACCTGTCTGCGCTAAAGGACAAGATGGACGCCGCAGAGAAGCAGCTGGCGTCTCTGAACGAAGAGTGGATGTCGTGCGTGGACCAAGAAGCGAAGATTATGGCGGTGACGGAGGCCGTCGACGATTCAGACTCGGCCAAGGAGGTCGAGGTCCTGGTGCAGGAGATTGACGACATAGTGAAGGACAAGGCTGCTGAACTCGAGCAGATGGACAAGGTGAGTGGCCTCTTGCTTAGGTTTCGTACTGGCTCTGACATGCGGCAAAGGAGTACCGTGACTTGCTGTGGAAGGAGTCGCAAAAGATGATGCAGGCCATGATGGCAGACTAGATGGCGTTGCGTGCTGGCCCCATTGAGAGCTAGATGTCACGTTGCTCGAAATGGTAAGCGCTACCATCATGTGTACGTATTGGACTGAGGCGGCAACATATTATGACGCGCAATGGGAGATGTCACAAAGGATGGTGAAGCTGTGATAGCTACCGGAATCTTGACAGGGATGCAGTCATTGCTGAATTAAGTGCTACTTGAATCGACTCCATCAGACACGTAGTCATGCCACCAGACGTCTCGCTGACACCTCGCCTACGCATTGAATGAATATCAATCACGGCACAGTGCCAGGCGTAAAATTTTCATCACTGTCATTGCACCAGACATCTACCAATCATGCCATGCCACGTCCGAGCAGCCGGATTCGCCCCAACTCCAACTATGCGAAAATCGAAAACCAAAAGAAAAAAAAACACACATCATTCCACCATGTTAAACAAAAATACCGCTCTTCAATAAAGCAACCTATATCCGTGAATCGCTTCACTCTTTCTTACACCCGTCGAGCCAACGCCGTCGTCTCCTATTTTGGGACGGTGACACGCAACAGACGGCACTACTTACTGCTCCTTCTCGGCAATGACGACACCCCACTCGTGCTGCTCACGGCCGTACATGATGTCGCCGATCCACGTCTTGATCTTGGTCGTCACCTCGCCGGCTGTGCCCTCGGGCCCCATGGGGATGTTGATGTCCTTGCCGCGGTGGTGGATCTGCGAAACAGGGCAGATAAAGTACTAAGAAAAAAAAACAAAAAGCGTCAGTCATCAAGTTTGACACGAGGGGGAGAGAGAGAGCCTCTTCTTACAGCGGTACCAGCGGCAAAGGATTCCAAAATACGCCCCTCGGCATCGGCCTCGACGAGCTCGTCAATGGTGTACTTGCGCTCCGTCACCTCAATCTCGCCGGCCATGCGCTCGCGCACAACATCGAGGCAGCTGCGGCGCGTGACACCATCAAGGATGAGCTTGTCGTCGAGGGGCGCCGTGATAATCTCCTTCTTGCCGTCCTTGCGGACCCAAACAACAAAAAAGTTGGAGGCGCCGGCCTCGGTGCACTCGCCCTGGGCCCCGTACAGCCACAGGATCTGGTGGAAGCCGCGGCGGCGGGCGTCCTGGGTGGCCATGAGCGAGGGGCCGTAGTTGGCGCCGACCTTTGCGTAGCCGAAGCCGCCGACCCAGGCGCGCACCATGTCCTCGGGCGAGGTGTGCAGGCGCATGCCGCCGGGGGGCGAGTCCATGCGCGGCATGAAGGTGACGATGATGTAGAGCATGGCCTCGCGCGGCGCCTGGACGCCCAGCTGCGACTGGGTGCCGATGAGGGTCGGGCGGATGTAGAGGAAGTGGCCCGGCTGGTCGGCGGGCAGCCAGCGCGGGCCGTCGACGGCCAGCAGCGCGACCAGGAGCTTCTCCAGCTCGGCGGGCTCGAAGAGCGGCAGCGAGATGCGCCCGGCCGACATGTGCATGCGCGCGCAGTTGCGGTCCGGCCGGAAGACGCGCAGCCGGCCGTCGTGGCCGCGGAAGACCTTGAGGCCCTCGAAGCACTCGGTGGCGTAGTGCAGGCACGACGCCGTCGGCATCAGGCTCAGCGGGCCGTAGGGCTTGAGCTCGGGCGCGCCCCAGCCCGTCGAGGCCTTCCACGTCGCCGTCACCATGTGGTCGGTGGCGATGGTCTCGTCGCCCGCGTTGGCCGTCGCCTGGTCCGGCACGGGGCGCGGAGACTTGGTCAGCGAGTAGGTGAGCTTGGAGGCGTCGAGGGGGGCCTTTTGCCCGCCGTCGCCGTTGGCCACGCTGGCTTCCTTGCGCTGGATGGCCGCCGCGGTCAGGTTGACGTCCTGCTGGGGGACGGCAGAGGGGGCCATTTTGCTGCCGATTGTTGGTCTTGTTGTTGTGGTTTGGTGATGGTGGTGGTGTTGTTGTTTTTGCTGGGTGGCGGCGGCTGGTGATGTCTCTGGACACTTAATAAGACCGGTTGCCCTTTTCTCCTTCCTGTCAATGTCTCAGCACGACTCCCGTTTTCAGACGTTTTCTCAATCACTCGCAACCAAGACAAAAATAAGGTCACATGAACCAATTCCACTCACGAGGTATGAAGCAGTTTTCCGCCCTGTCGGTGGCTCAAAGAATTGCAATGTTGGCGAGTGTGTAGGGGGAAGGGGGAAGAAAAAAAAAAGAATGGCGGTTTTAAAGGAGAATGAGTCAAGCCGAAAAAGTAAAAAGAGAAGCCACACTAGTCCCGTGTATGATTATGTATTAGTGCCGAAGGAACCGGGGTCAACTGGTCCCCATCACGGCGGAGCCGACTAGAAGCAATGTGTGTGGGCGGCTATCAAAGGGCGCCAGCCTTTTTTATCTGCCTCTCGCTATATCTCTCGCCTTTTCCGGTTTGGCTTTTGGATACCCCGTATGTAATTGAATTATTTTATTGTTATTCTTGCCGTTATTTCTTCACCCCGCACCCTTGTCCGCGGCACGCAGCCCCCGTTTCGCCTCAGTCTTCCAGGTGTGGGCGGTGGCCAGTACCTGCTTTCCGTGGCACCTCCATTTCCGGATTGCTGGGGCCAAACCAAGAAACGCCTCTCCAACAGCGAGCCCAACTGCGGCAAAAAGACACGGCCTACACGCAGCTGCAGTCGGCACTCGCAAGCCCAACAGGGTAGGGCCGGGTGCGCGTCGGGATCGAGTACGTAACAAGACGAGGCCCCAGACGAGAGAAGCATTGAATCCTGAAGAGCCGCCCCCGCGGCGCTCGGCAGACCCACCCGTGGCTCGCTCAATCGGGGAACAGAAGTGGCCAGGTGACTCGTGGCCAAAGCCGCAGCGTGGCCAGGCGCCATCCTGGTCCTCCGACGCCTGCCGCTCCTCGACGGGCCCCGCGAGGCCGTCAAACTCGGCTTGCACGCAACCATGGCCAGCATGCCAGTCCTGTTGACCCGTGCTCGTGGTGAGGGGCCCCCTCGGCCCGCGGGGACCAGCCCAGATTGCACAATTCAATTGGAAAAAGCGAGCTTGCCGTGCTGTGCAAAATAAATAATAATGCCTCCCTCACCCATCCGCTTCCCTCTCACCCTGTGCACCTGCACCTGCCGCCATCACGCTTCCGCAGCTGTGCGACGCCGGGCCGGGTCAAGCGGTGCGGAACCTCGCCGTGGAGTCGAGGGAGCAACTATCGAGGCCAGCAAAGCCGACCACGCCCCACGCGGCTGCGACACATGGGACCAGGGAACGAGACCGGCTGCCGTTGGGCGCGCCTACCCCAACTGCCTGGAATAAAATGGCATAATGCGGAGTCTACGGAGGTGCATCAACGTCATTCTGTCATGTTGGGGCCCCGGGCCCCTCTCGCGCGGATTGCCTCTGCGCCCTGTGCTTCCTTGCAATGCTCCAGGATTCAAAGGCGGCGCAATGCTGCCAATTCCATTACCTGTGATGGACAGAATCCCCAGCCGCTGTAGCTCCCTCCAGTGCCTTGCCCAGTGCCTTGCCCAGTGCCTTGCCCAGTGCCTCGCCCAGTGCAACGGCGCGGGATCCGAGGCGGCATGCCATGGAGGCGGTGTGTATCATTCAGCGCAGCAAGCAATGCCAATTGTCTGCTCGACGAACAGTCTTCCAGATGGCGCCGAGACCACAAGGGCGCAGCTCGTCACGCCGTCTCCATTGGAGGGCCCAAAGCAGGGCGGAATTGCCTCTCTAGAACACCGCCGCGGATAGCCGCACTGCCTTATCTCGATAAAACATGGAACATGGAATGGCCCACCAAGGTCATGCCCGGTGCCCTTTGCTCACCCACCCCCATCATCAATTGCAATCCAAACAAGCTTTACCCCACAGCCAACGCGATGCCGCTTTTAGTCAAATTGGAAAAAGGGAAAACCAGACCTTGTCTCCATTCGTAACCACTCACTTGGAGCACACACTGCTCCTACAGCCAATGCATGCCTACATGCCTATGAGATCACCGTCTTGGGTAACACGAATACGTAGCGGTTGGCCAGTGCAAAATGGCAAGCAGCCGCCGCGTTTCCCTAAAAAATTTTTGCTTTGTAATTGAAGACAGACTCTTGCCAACGTGACCACTATTTTACGACCACGGTTGACGTTGTCATCCAACCCCAGACCATTCATTCCAGGCCTGGTGATGCATGTGTGGTGGCCATGGCCACGGCCGAAATCCCCTCTGTTCCACGCAGCCACCGAAAATTCCATGTCCCTTTCCAGCGACTGCCACATCATCACCGCCCAGCCTTGACCATCAACTTGACGTCGCTGGCATTTTTTCCCCCTTCCGCTATCCGACATGCACAAGTGGCCCTGTTGAATGAAGCCGCCCCCTCCCGTCACCTGCCCTTGCCTTCATGTCTGGCCCCTACGACTTTTGTTTCGAGCCATCCAACAAACGCTGCAATATCCCATCCGAGTACCACACAACACAAACAAACTCCGATCCAAATGCATGGGTAGCTGCATCATGTGCTAGTGATGCTTGATATCCGCGTGTGTTCTCACCTGCACCCTGCCATACGCAATATGCAGCTCGTCATCGACCACGGCATTTTCACAGCCTGGGGGCTTACGCATTGGTACCGGCGGCACCCCCAGCACCGCTGCGCTCGGCTTCTCTGCCGCGTTGCTCCTCTTCCAATATTTCACGTTGTCTGGCCGCTGCTTCCACTTCCGCCTTGACGCCTTTGGCTCGTTGTCTCGCCTCGTAACGATCTCGGCTCTTCATGATGCGTTGCACGATCTCGCCGGCATTGACTTCAGCAAAAGCATGCGGCCCAATTTCCCGGTAGATTCCCATTTGCTTGGGAGCAGTATACGGGTCGTACGTAAGCGGCATAAAGGCAGTCGGGCCGTGGTAGATGGCATCCGGAACGCCCCAAGGAAGTGACTTTAGGTATGACTTTGTCGGCGTGAATGGGGCGCCAAACACGACAGCGTTGATATACTACCGCAAAAGTCAGCACACTAGCAAACGTGGGCGAGCACCGTGTCTCCCTCTGTTGGTTACCAGGGCCACGGAAAAATGGTGCAGTACATACCTTGCATTGCAAGACGCAAAGACCGCGTTCAAAAATGTTCATAATTGGGTAGTTGACACCCTTCCACTGATTGATCACTTCGTCGTCATGAACTCCGACAACAACAAATGCTGGCTCATAATCTTTGCCGCCGTCGCTCGTTCGCTTGCTCTTTGCTTCGTCAGAGTACCAGCCCGACTTGCGGGCCAGTTCCTCTTCCTCGACGCCTACTTTCCGTAGAAACTCAATGTGACCACTGGAAAACAGGTCGAACCCGCCATCTACATAAACAATGCGTTGTCCTGGCCGAGGCCTGGTGCCGGGGAGCAAGTTGTCAAATGTCCCCGTCTCTTCTTCGGTGTCCTCCGCCTTGGCCTGGTTTGAGGCATTCCAGAACCATACCTCAGCGCCGGGGGCCTTTGCAGTCTCATCTGTTGCGTACAGCTTCATGCGCTCCAGCATAGCTTTTCCTTGGGCTTTGCGTTCGTCGGGGCTTCCATATCCCTCTTCACCAACGAGCATCTTTTGGAGAGAATGAATAAAGTGTGTTTTTGTGCACAGCAGCATGCGACCAACGAGATCCGTCGTCGAGATGCCCGGAGAGCGCTTCACAACTTTGAAGCGACCGGCTTGTTTAACAAAGCGGTAACAGTCGTTTCCGTCGCTGTCGGAAGTAATATCATCTCCATGCACGACATATTTGCAGCCGTAGTGTGTGATATAAGGAAGTTCGGTGACGTATGGAGCATGGCCGATTGCCTTGGTGACCCAGCGACAAGCATTCGCGGCTGCTAACCTATGCCACATGTCAGAAGATGATGATATATGCCTGGAGCTGTGAGCATAGTCTACAGATGGCATACCGCTCTTCCAGGGTCATGACCGTCGGTCCCTTGTTGGCCAGAATTTCCTCATCAGAATGCACACCGACGTACAGCTCGTCGCCAAGCTGTCTGGCTTGAACCATGGCTCCGGCGTGGCCTGGCAGCAGCAATTAGCCCATGCAAATGAAGGCATACCCATTAAGACCTTGTTTACATACCGTGATGAAAGAAGTCCCAGCAGCCATCAACCCATATGCGGCCGTCAAGCAGCTCAGGGGCAGGGTCTCCTTGCGGCTGCCCCTCCTTGGTAGTCGTGCTCATGGTGGGGTAGGAGTTGGTGGCAGTTGTGAAGAGATGGGAAAGGGGCAGAGAGAAGCCTAAAGGAAGACACAGCTGATCGCGTCGGATACAGCTGAGAGATAACTGGGTCCGCGGTTGGAGTCGTGGCCTTTGCGTCTGGAGATATCTAGAAATGTACGGAGTAGTGGATTCTCAATAGCGCAACGTCCATGTCTGGTTAAATTAGCACAGCAAGTTTTCACATGATGCTAAGTTGAGATGATGGCGGGGAAGTGGCGCTGCGCCGATGCTGGTTGGCCAGGGACGAGGGGCACATTCATTGTGAGTGGTGGAGGGAGGCTCCTTCAATGTTTGCTTCAATGTTCTTTCTTTGGATGAACCAACACGAATCAGTCAGATGCATCAATTGATGACGACATGGTCGATGCGCGACAACAACTTTCTGTGGCTACCTAGTACTGAACTAAAAAAGAAGAATTGTCGCACAAGCTCTCGGTGTGGGCAGACTAATCTACGTGGACAGAATGCATCTGATCAGTGTCGAGTGATCCAAGGGTGGCCACGTGTATCCATCATTCATATCAAAACCCGATTTCGTTTCTTTGTCAGCTGTAGACGTTTGCTCGCACGACAGGCACGGCTGCTAACGTTATGTATGCATCATGGTGGACTCCTACCAGTCGTCTCCCAACGAGCAGCAACTCATCGTTCAGCCTGCTCAGGAACCAAAGTGGCTTGACGGTTGGCTGCAAACGGCCAACATCTCACCTCCACGTTGCCGATCGATTGGCGCTGGCTTGCACGTGGCCAACTACCCGTCTCCTGTCCTACGCGGCAACGCCGGTCAAGATTCGAAGCATCGCAATATTTGGCATGCGCATCCGCAGCGCCGTATTTCGCATTGTTCAATACACTCTGCATCGCCCCTCCGCAGAGTAGACAGTTGTATCCCACCAGCCCGAGCATGAAGCTTTCTTCTCTCCCAGTCTTGCTAAGCCTCGCATCACACACCATGGCGACATGGCCTGAAGCAAAAGGCAAGCAGATCCGCTACACGTCGGTTGCAGGCTACTTTCTTCAAGATGATCCCAAGACAAACCCAAGCGGATTCGACTACGTACGACGCGCTCCCCCCCCCGTCTTGCGCAGTCGCTGACTCGGCACTCATGAGTAGGCTCAGCACAACTTTGGGTTGATAGACAGGAAATACCCCACAGACGACAAGTTTGATCCTGAGGGTACCAAGTCGCAATGGCAGCGCTTCGGCAAATGGGTTCACTATCTCAACCATCATTGTGACAAGAGCGAAAATGTCCGCTACAAGCTGGTCTTCTTTGGTCGCCATGGTCAGGGTTACCACAACGTCGCCGAGAGCTACTATGGCACGCCCGCATGGAACGTGAGTATCCCCCCTCCCCTATCAACTCAACTTGCTAGCACTTTGCATGCTAATACGTGAATTTTCTGCCTGCCCACAGTGCTACTGGGCTGAATTGGAAGGCAACGGCACCATCACCTGGGCAGATCCGTTGCTGACTCCGGATGGCTTCAAGGAAGCCGAAAAGGCCAATGGCTTCTACAAGACTCTGTACGAGCAGCAAAATATGCCGCATTTCGAATCATACTACAGCTCCCCCTTGAAGCGATGTCTTCAAACTGCCAACACGACGTTCAGCACGTTGAAAATGCCCGCAGAGCACCCGTTCGTGCCCACAATCAAGGAGCTCTTTCGCGAAGACATTAGCATTCACACATGCGACCGCCGCTCGACCAAATCTGAGATTGCCAAATTCATGCCAGGATGGAAGTTTGAAGAAGGATTCACGGAAAAGGACGAGCTATGGCAAGCGGACAAAGGAGAGACGTCGGCTCACCAGGTCGCTCGCAGCAAGGCGGTTCTCGACGACGTGTTTACCAACGACGGCTCGACGTGGATCAGCGTCACGAGCCACTCTGGTGAAATCGCCGCGTTGCTCACTGCGTTAAACCATCGCGCCTTTGGCTTGTCCACCGGACAGATTATCCCGGTACTGATCAAGGCTGAGGTGGTGCAGCCTATACCTACGTCGAGTATTGCCGGGTTCACCCCCGAAGCCACGTGCAAACAGCCGCCAGTCACAAGTCTCTCGGACAAGGGTTGCGTGTGTTCCAGCACCGGTTCAATGCCGTCGCCGACATCGTAGCTCGAAAAGGCGAACTCTGTGGACAGCCTTTGTTTTGGATCATCTTGTTTGTTGTCAAAAAAAATGATCGGGATTTGGAAGCATGAAGCAGAAGCGGAGACTAATTTCTTTTCGGATTGGGAAGTATTATCGCGTCATGAGATAAAATTCTGCAAGGTCATTTCCTCGGGCCTCGGCGACCTCTTTGGCTTTACCATGAAGGCAGAGGCAGGCTCTCGTGACCAAGGCAAATAAACTAGCGAAAATGGCTCGTGTCGAACCCAAAAAAGCCGCATAGTGATGGATGAAACTGCCTGAAGCAAATGAGGCAGCTAAAAATTTGTATCTCCGATTACACTAGGAAGTTTTGTTTGCAAAAGTTTAATCCATGCCCCAGGTATTGTGACGCTATGAAACAGGCCAGGGGCCGGTAGGGAGTGGTGGAACAGACCAGTTGACCGCAGAGTTTATGCGCACAGTGAGACTTGGGACGAGCAATAGAAGTTGGCGAGATGGAGAGCTGGGGAGGTAAATACGAGAAACAGAGCGCAAAAGAGTGAAGCGTATCCGTCAGTCCGGTATCCGTGTCCTCGGTGGAGGTGATATTTCATGCGTAGGGGCAGGGCAAGTTCGGAATCAGTTGAACTGTGGACAGGACAGGGCTGAGAGATGCTAAAATTATGCCAACGTCTTCTGGGCGTCACGTCGGGAAACTATCGGGCTGTTCAACTATTGACGCCTTGTCTATATGGCCGAATGGGGATGTTGGAATCAATGGAGCGGCTCTCGCGGGCTCTCGGGGTCTCTCGATGCTCTTGATGGCATTTTCATTTGATTCCGCGTTAAGTGGAAACAACGTAGCCATACTGTATGTAGGCCCATGCCCAGCGACGGCAGTTGCCGGGCGCCCCCCTGAGTTGCCAAATTTTACCACGGTGATGACGAGTCGCCGTGTCGCGTCTTGTATGTACGGAGTATGCTGGGCGTGTTTGTGACATATTTGCACCTTGCACCACGCGACGCGAGCCCAGCGTTGGTGCGGCAGCCGCTCCTCTTGCTAAACCTTAAAAACGGTGTGGTCGCGTTGGGAACCCAAAAAAGAAGAAGCAGACGAAGAAGAAGAAGAAGAGGTAACAACGGCTCTCAGTGCGGCATCTGGCCTTTGCCTACAAGTCTCTCTCAGCGTTTAGCCTTACGAGCACGGAGTACCGACAGAGCGGATCAAACCCCGACCAAGACATCGAGACTTGGCAGAGAGGCACACGTGGCTGAGCAGGCACATAATTTTACTCGGTGCAATATCAAAGATGCCCCGCACCCAGCTCAGCCAATGCCGTTGCTCCATTTAAGCGACGCCCTTGTCCACAGTGTGTGCTTTTGTGGCGCCATCCATGTCTCCATCGTTGGAGAGGGGCACCACCACCATACGCCAGGCGTCCTGAATCAACTCCCGCGTGTCCATTCATAGCTTCTGCTTTGCAGAACCGCAGGGCTGACATTTGATATATGATCAAGGCCCCCAGCCAGATCCCGAGCTAGCATCGTCATTCCCTCGCCGGCCGCATTCCACAGCCCGGTTGCCGTTGGCGTTTCCTCGCTCTCTGGAACGGACTATTGGCACCCTTCAACTTTAATCATCATCCGCTTGGACGGTCCTTCACCTAGATTAAAGCCGGCCGAAACTCTAAAATAGCAGTACCTCGTCACACGCGCCGCCATGCAGCGAACTACGCCGACGTCGTCCACGACGCCTACTTTTCCTCCCTTTTCCGTCGGCATCTTCACCAACCCCAGCTCCTACTCAAGACCAACAACGCGCGACGGCAGCATCGATCCGCTTCATCCTCCACCGCATTCGCCGCCGCCGCCGATTCCTACATCAGGCCCCGTCAAGGAGTCTCGCAAGGCCTCGTTCTCGCGAAAAGCCTCGCTCTCCGGAAGCACGCGTCGCAGAGGCTCCTCTGTCGGCTCGACCGCTGCCTCGAACCCCAATGCCATCGTGACCGACGCCACGGCACCACCGGCATTGCCCGATTACGCACTGCCCGCCGCCGCCAAGCTTCGAAGCCGTGATAGACGGGACGTGGGGAGTGTCGACGACGGCGTCCAAAGTCCCGTCAGCCCAACCGGCGGTAGCAGTGGTCTCGTGAGCATGAGCAGGACAAATACCGGCGCCGGGAGCTACTTCCCGCCCCCAACCCCCGTCGGGGTTCCATCCTCGTTGAACGGCACAGCAGCCAGTACTTGGCAGCAGAGCGAAGCGAGCATGATACACCAGCAAATCACCGATGTGGCCAACAAGAGGATATCAACCTTGGACTACCTGCGAAAGGCGTATGTACAACAACAACAAAAAACGCGTAATGCCACGGACGGCTACTAACTTTTGACATGCCAGACACGAAGGCCGGGTCTACTGGTTCAACACGTATCTCTTCGAGCGGTCCGACCTGTCACGGATGCAGTGCTTCGATCCGCGAAAGCTCGCCCGCAAGGCGGCAAACTACCTCCTCCTCGGGCTCTCCATCCCGACCATCAACGACCTGTACTCGTCCACGCCGATTGAGTTTCTGCGCTGCCTCAACTCGCTGCTGTCCGAGTTCGACTCGTTCCAGCAGCTGCACGGCGACTCCTCGGCGGCCCTCGCCCGGGCCCGGCTGCCAACCATGTTTCGCCGCCCGGGGGGCAAGTCGCGGCGCTCCACGTCCGCCGCGGAGATGCACCTCGACGACTCGACCGCGTTCCCTCCCCCCGGCGGCGCGGGTGCCGGGAGCGGCGCGCCGTCCGTCATGAACTTTGCCGTCTCGGAGAGCGACCTCCTCCCCGGCGAGGAGTACACCTATCTCCTGACGCCGGCGCTCCCCTTTGAGCCCGACTTTTTCGAGACGTTTGCCACGCTGTGCGACGTCTTGGTCGACTGCTACTCGCGGTTCCTGGCGTTGGTGCCCACGCCGAGGGAGTGCTCTGCGCCGGTTGCCGAGCTCTTCACAAAGGTGGATTCCAAGCTGCGCAAGATTATAGTACAGGGCGTGGTGAAGGAGTTTGAAGACCATAGCAGAGGTCATGTCAAGACGGAAGTGGCAAGTATCGGCAAGGTCGTCCTGGGGGGGTTAATGTGAGAGGGAGTATAATGTGGGGGCACTTGATTGTTTACTCATATGGAGTTGCATGGCTTGTCTTTTTTTCGTTTTAAATGGGTGCTTGGAGTTGTTTTTTCGCGTCGTCACATTCGAATGGTTGCGCTATGTACGGGGGGCACGGGCATAATGACTGGGAGGTAATCGGTGCATAATTTTCTCTCTCCTTTTTTTTTACACAAGTACAAAAGCGGCAGTATTTTTGGCGTCTGGGTAGAGTAGAAAGCTTGCGAATTAGCAGATGTAGTTTGCGTTGATGTATGATATAGAAGAATACTTTAATACACGGACTCGGCTCAACCTTGGCTACAGTGGACTTGGTGATGTGCCGTTGATTTTCAACATGTACACTAGGTGATGGAATTACCCAACGCCCATGGACTACTGGCCGCCGTCTGGGGCTATCGTCTATACATTCTAGCAACATTTACAATATCGTACAAGTAATACAACGGGCGCAACGTATGCCGGCAATCAGTTGGCAGCGGCGGCGGACTTGGCCTCCTCCTCGGCAATAACCATGTCAATCTCCCTCGCGACCAACCACTCCTTGGCGGCGTCCATGACGCGGTCCAGGGTCTCGCCGCCGTCCAAGACATCGGGCAGGTTGTGGACGTCGAGGCCGGCGCGGTGGTCCGTACACCGGTCCTGGTTGTAGTTGTAGGTGCGGATCTTGTCGCCGCGCGTGATCTGCGCCTGCGCGAGCACGCTGTTCCTCAGGCGGGCGGCCTCGTGCATGCGCAGCTCGGCGCGCTGGCCGGCGATGCGCGAGCGCAGCAGCTTCCACGCGTCTTCGCGGTTGCGCTGCTGCGAGCGGTGGTCCTGCATGGACACGGTCGTCCCCGTCGGCAGGTGCGTCATGCGGATCGCGGACTCGGTCTTGTTGACGTGCTGGCCGCCGGCGCCGCGGGCGCGCATCGTCTCGACCCTGACCTCCTGCGGGTTCACGTAGAAGTCGCTCTCGGGGTCGTCGGCGTCTGCTTCGCCGCCGCCGCTGCTGCCGCCCTCGGGGAACGACGGCAGCACCCACACGGCCACGGCGCTCGTGTGAACCCGCCCTTTGCTCTCGGTGCTGGGGATCCGTTGCACGCGGTGCATGCCCGCCTCGCTGCGGAACAGGTCGTACGCGCCCTGGTCTTGGATCTCGAGGATGGCTTCCTGCACGGGGCTCTCCCCCGCCGACGACGACTGGTCCCCCGCCGCGTCGGCCATTTCGTACTTGAGGACGTTGGCGCGGTAGCCCCGTCGCGCGCACAGCGCCTTGTACATTTTGAACAGCGAGTCGGTAAAGTACCGGCCCTCGAGGCCGCCTGGGCCAGGGCGGAACTCGATCATGCAGGGCATGTCGGCGAACGGGTGCTGCGGCGTCAGGCTGGCCGAGAGGTTCTTTTCCAGAGACGAGAGCTTTTCTTCTTCGGCTTGCAGCTCATCGCGCGCAATGGCTGCCAGGTCGGGGTCCTGTTCGTCGTCGGCCATGGCTTGGAGGTCGCGGATGGACGAGAGTGATTGCTGCCATGCCGAGAGGGCGGCGGCAACGCGGTGCAGCTCGCCTGCGCGCCGGGCCTTTTGCGAGTCGAATTGGGCGTTGAGGGATTTCTGCAGGGCCTCGTGTTCGGCGGAGAGGGCTTTGGCGCGCTGGAGGAGGCTGGGTGCTAATGTTGATGGTGTGTCTGGCTGCGGTTAGCGGACGGTTGGCCATGTTTGCTGCTGGGGTTTGAGGGCATCTTGAAGTACCATTGGAGGCGAAACGAGGAAATTGCCGTTGGCATGAGCGCCGGAGCACGCGAGTGCAGCTTCGGCAGACCCATGGTGCTGAGAACATGCCGTTGGCGGTGGGTTGTGAGGATGAAGGGTTTGGATGTTGGATCAAGCTGGAAGAAAACTGTCTGGTTGGAGCTGGAGTGGAGACCACCAGGCACAGGCTGTTCGATGATGAAAAAGTGAGCCCGCCGAGCAATTCACGTTCAACAGTCTCGGCACCAACTGGGTTCGGGCCACCAAACATTATTCGGGTCTAATCATTTTATCCGCATGCTCTATATATGTACGTCTATGGTTTTATTGTTTCGTGTCTTCATCCCTCTTGCTTGCCCTCCTCGCCCCTATGAGCAACAGCCCCCCCAGGACCAGACATGAGCCGCCCCAAATCTGGACGCCGAGATATTTCCCACCATTCGCTTCAATCAACTTTCCGGCCAAAGGGGGCCCCGTCAGGGCCGAAACACTGACGATTGAGAAAATCATGCCGATCCTTGTGCCGGCCTTGCTCAGGTCCTTGGTCAGTCCGGCCAGTGTGGACGGGAACATGCCCTGGATGGTGGCGGCAAAGAAGCCATAGATGCACAGCCAGGCGTAGTCTGCCGCGATGTCACGCACGCCTATCCAGCCAAACATGCACACGGCAGCACAGAATATCGCGGGAATAAAGGTGTTGACGGCGCCAAAATATCGATCGGCGATGAAGGCCGGGATGAGACGCCCCGGGATGCCGACGGCGTTGATGACGAGGAGCATGGTAAACGAGGTCGACTGGGAGCCGCCCAGGACGTTGAGGGCATAGGCCCGGGCCTGATGCAGTAAGTACATGTGCTCCTTTTGCAAAGATCCGGTCCCGCGGGCTGACTTACATAGTAGTAGGCAAAGTACGCAGCCCACAGCGTGAAGAACATGCTGATGGCAAACAGCAGATATGTGCTCTCCTTGAAGGCCGCCATTTCCACAATGGGGCCCGACTTTCTCGGCGGCAGCCTCGGCCTGACCAGCAGATAGACAATGACGGACGAAACCAGCACGACGAGTCCCATGGCTCTCACGGCCCATGCGAAGCCAACCTTGGGCAGAAGCTGCTGCGCCATGAGGGGAAACACCATGCCGCCGGTGGCCCCGCCACAGGCACTGATGGATATGGCAATGCTCTTCTTTTTGGAGAAGTAGGTCGAGACGTTGGCGACGGTGGGCGCAAAGACGATCCCGCACCCGAGGCCCTGGCATATCCCCTGCGCCAGAAACACCTGCCAGTACTCGCGGGCGACGCTGGTGGTGGCGATGCCCACGAGCTGAAGCAGGGTGCCGATGACGAGGGCGGCCTTGTAGTAGCCGGCGTCGAAGGCCCGGCCCGCAAAGGTGCCGACCAGGAAGACGAGGCAGATTTGCACGCTGCCTATCCAGGCGATGGCCGACGGGTCCATGGACAGCATCTCGGCGTAGTGAGGCTGGAAGATGCCAAAGCTAATCATGTAGCCCCATGTGTTGAAGACGATGAGGTGTCCCGCGAGCACCTGGCACCAGGCCCGGAGACCGCCATCCGGAGGCGAGGCCTGGTATGCTCTGTCGATGGTGGATATCCGGGCAATGAGGTCCTCGGGGTGAACTGCCTCTTGTTTGGTGCGTGCTTCAAGTTGTGCCGGGGACGGTGTGCTTTCCACCCGGTGGTCGGATTTGGGAGACATGGTTCCTTCTTCTTCTCTGCTGCAGGGCGAGGAACTCGTCCTTTTTTTGGTCCGAGTTTTATTTTTGGGTAGGCATCGATGCAACTACGGTTTGCGAGGAAAGTTGTTCCAGACCTGTTGATGAGCAGATTCGGAAGAAGTAGTCACAATGGCAATTCTAACGAGAAACAAGTTCAAGAAGAAAAAAGAAGGAAAAACCCCCGGCCCAAGACATGCATTCTTGGTCACCGTGGGGGCGGCATCGCAGGGCGTGGATGAGAGCGGCTTCGGCCGCGAGTGACGGAGGTGGATGTCCGGTCGATTCCCGACGATGGGGACGATGGAGACGGCGTTTTAGAAAATTTGGACTAAACCTTGCTGCGTTGCGACGTGTTAGTGGTTGGCTCTCCCTTCTCGATACAACGGTAGCATGATGGTATCCACAGAATTGGGGACGGAAAGAATCCCTCGGCAAGGCGTGAGAGTCATGGCCTGGGATGAGATTCGGCAAGTTTCTCTGTAAGAACATTGAACTTTTCATGAAGAAAAGACTTGACGTGGCTCTACTAATGTAAAAAAAGCACAGAGCGTGGCTGATATGTCACCACACGATGTTTACGTCTCTGGTGCATTCTGGCTATGAATGCGCCCGAGGCATCAGTCGAAGCTCATGTGGGCACCCTGAGTACCTCGTCGGCCGATTTATCAGCCATGGGCGTGAATTGATGCTTTATGCGCGTCTGATCATCTGTTCGCCAGGGAGCAGAGCAGGCCACCTCTTCTCACCGTCTACACACAAGACGGTACGTAGTATTACGGAGTAGGCCCGTGCAATCGGATACATGTCGGGTTCCCGGCATCCAGCCCTTGACCTAGTTCGTACATGTAGTTTGTTCGCTCGTCGCCGTGGCCGGGTTGACCTTGGCGGACACACATCCCAAGTTGACGGTTGACCTCTTCTCCCACCTTCACACCAGCCTCCCCGCCAATTCATCGAACCTCATCGGCAGCGCGCCAGCCATTTGCTTCAGATCTTCAGCCGCCAAAGTCAATCAGAGGGCGCAATGTGGCTCCATAACGGCTGGCCGTGGCCCATGAAAAGCCACGCCTTTCTGCTTACAAACCGGCCCGGCTGGCTGCCGTCTTGATGCTAGTCTGCTTCGGTCGTATTTTGGCAAAGTATGCTGCTCGGGCGTTCATCTCACGGGAAACCTCCCCTCTCTGATCCATCCATCTCAAGTTGTCGTGTTGAACGCCGGGGATACCTGTTTTCAGACATCGGACTCGCATCGGGGACCATCGCCTCCACGACACCATGGCCTACACGCTTTATATCGGCAACAAGCGATACTCGTCCTGGTCCATGCGGCCGTGGGTGCTCCTCAAGGCGCTCGACATCCCCTTTGACGAGAAGCTGCAGCTCTTCAAGCCGGGACAGCGCCAGCCCGACTTCCTCGAGTTCTCGCCCACCGGCAAGGTCCCCTGTCTGTACGACGCCGAGCGCAAGCACGTCGCCGTCTGGGACTCGCTCGCCATCTGCGAGTACCTCGCCGAGAAGCACCCGGCCGCGTGGCCCCGCGACCCCGTGGCCCGGGCCTTTGCCCGGTCCGCCGCTTCCGAGATGCACTCGAGCTTCGCCGCCATTCGCGACGAGTGCTCCATGAACGTCGGCTTGCGCATCGAGCTCGGCGAGCCAAGCGACGGGCTGAAGCGCGATCTGGAGAGACTCACCGCCCTGTTCGGCGAGGGCATCCAGAGGTTTGGCGGTCCGTTCTTGGCCGGCAGCAGCTTCACGGTTGCCGACGCGTTTTATGCGCCCATTGCCTCGAGGGTGAAGACGTTTGGGATCCGGCTTGACGGCGCGGCGGGGGAGTACCTGGACCGGCTGTATGAGCATCCTGCTGTGCAGGCGTGGATTCAAGAGGGCATTGCCGAGGCGGAGAGGGAGCCGGGCCATGAAGAGGACTGTGTGAGGGGCCGTAGGATTTTGCAAGATTTGTGCAAATAAAGGTCAAGTTGGTCGACGGTCGCCATGGTAGTCAGATTGACGGCTCGGAGAATCCGTTCGGCGGCCGCGGACAATTTTGATGATTTATCGTGTGACAATTTTGTCATAAGGGGGAAAGGCGGAATACCCTGGTTATAGTCTCGTAGACTATACATGTCAACGGTATACCTACCTAGGTACCTAGGTAGTCTTGACAATCCATACATGTGCTCGAGTGACTGTGTACACTCTCAGGAGCACCGGCTGTTCCTTGGTGTGTTGTGGATGCCATTTGAGGCCTCAGGAACGGACGAGGTGCAGAATTGCCACACGCCCAGTTCCCTAGCCAGAACCCAGGCACTGACCCGACAGAGTACGGCGGGAGTACCAGCATACTTTGGGCTCCCGCCCCAGCAATTTGATGGAACACCAGACCATATCCCGTCGGCCACGACAAACATGCGGATCCAGGCTACCCTGGGGTTCTTTGCTCAAGCTCTATAGTAAAATCCAGACAGATACGGCCAGAATATAAACCGCCAACTAGAAAAATACTCCCAGTGAGCTATTAGCTTTTTTAAGGCTAGTGTTAAGAGGGCTCAGGAGAGAAAGTAAATGTACCACATCTCTACTGCCAGGTTTATATAGTCTTAGACTACAATGCAGTCCTAATTGGCTCTGTATGCAGTTGACCGCTAAAACAGGGGTTTTGGCCGTGATATTCTAACGCGATAGATACAATTAGTTGCCAACTATGCCAATTTAGTATTGAAAAGAGTACATGGTTCAATTTATGTAGACTATCATGTTTTTGTGGTCCGGTCTAGTCTTAATTTTCGAGCATGGCTTGCGTTTTTGTTGTTTATCAGAATGCTTTCTGGATCAAGGTGCTCCCAGGTGGTGCTCGCAGTGGTTTGGCGCACTCGGTCGTCGAGTGCTTTACCGACAATTTGCGGTAAACTGATAACACCCAGAAGCATCCTTTGTTGGTTGCGGCATTCCCGACTCCCATTCCTGAGCACTTGTACCATCTGGGCACGCTTGACCCTCCAAAACCTCCAGTTTATATTGGTGTCTGCGGCATTGCTTGACTTGAACTGTTGGTAAAACTGGAGTTGGTTCGACGGTGGGTTTCGGAGCCGCTGCGGGTGCGGGATCGTGGTCCTCGAGGCAGGAAGTGCTGCTGTTGTATCTTCCCCGAGCATCCCGATTATCGGCATCAGATATCGTCGCCTGGCTGGGCGAGTCGAACCCTTTGCAATAGACGCCCGTGCCGCACATCCTCTCCGGGAAGTAATTGAAGGAGCTCAATTTCTGACAACCCTCGTCAGGAATCGTACCCGTCGTCCATGGAAGCCGCTCAGTATAGGGTTCGTTGCTTTGGGGGTCGGTTCGCACGGACAGGCACGTAGCTGTGTCGGCATACTTGTCGCCATCGCCAAACTCGTACAGTCTTTCTTGGCAGTACAAGTTGGTCCCGCAGTAGCTCTCTCGATGCTCTTCGGCGCTGCCTTCGGTGTTGCGTCGACATCTCTGCTTGGCCAGGTCGATATTCCAAGGGTCAGGGAAGAATGGTAGCTTATGCGTCTGCCTCACAGGTTTACTAGGTATCCATAAAAGCCAAGGCCGAGGCTGGGTGTCGTTCTCGAAGCTGCGGTACTTGTTCCATAGGCCATGCATGCGATCGATTTGGCCGCGTGTAAACCCCGTCTTGCAAGCACTATCGCCTGAATTTAATAACATTGAAATCATCCACGAGCATCGCGGTGTTTGGTACTTACTCATCTGAATAATCCATCATGTTGTGGATAGGGTCAAGGCCTTCCTTACCAGGGCAAGAGTTGCGACCGATTAGACAGCCGCGAGAGGCGTTAGCTGAGGCGGGTGTATCGTCAATAAAATCACCTTCGCCGTCACAGCCGCCCTCAAAGGTGTGTTCTAAGCCAAACCAGTGACCGACTTCGTGAACGGTCGTTAGGCCTCCGCTAAAAGCCTCAAAGCTTCCGCCAGGAACCGTACCCGCTGCTATCCTAACGCCATCCTCCTTTGCATAACCCTCCAGCAGATCAGGACCCGAGCTCTCGCCACCCAGAATCAGATCAGCCTGCCAACTGATGTGTTTGACAAAGAATATATTCAGAGAACTTTTATCACCCTTATGGTACCAGGACCCGCCCCATGGATACGAGAAGGATGTAAAGGACTTGCTGGAATCCCATTCTATGCCTTGAAGGATAAAGGAGAAGTTTGCTGGCTGAAATGCAGTATTAAGCACATCAAACTGCTTTTTCAGGGTATCCAACTAGATAAGTTATTAGCTTAATCGAACGTAAAATTAGGGAGCTCCTGTTAGGGGATAATACACTAAGAATTTCTTCCCCTGGTGGTGAAAGCACATGCATATACGCGTCAATATATACTCGCGGGTGCACAGGTGACTGGCCTTGGCGGGTTAGATTGCGTTCAATAGCAGCAAGTTCCCTGTGAGCGGCAGCCAGCTCATCCCTGACGGCCAGTATAGGAGCCAAAAGAGCAAGCCACAAACTGGCAGAAAAGATAAAAGGAAGCATGGTGAATTGGCCGTTCAATGAGTACTGCAATGGCATAGGCAGAGGGCGGCAGGCAAATCATGCGGTGATTCCCGGACTACTTATATATCTACTATAAGAATGGTATACGAAGGACCCATGTGGTGCTGCGGGATCAGGATGCCGGGTCCATGACGAAAAATAGTCTCCAGGCGGTAGACTTTGCTAGTAAATAACTCAGATAACAAGAAACAGCTAGTCTACTATGCAGCAATAGATAGTGCTTTAATTTTAATATCGATAGTAACAAGGGTGCCTTGCCAATATAGTTACTTTGCCCACAGACAGCTTATAGCAATGGGGTGACGGAGTGAGTCATGTAGACAGGGATAAGTAAACTTCTTTGGCTCGTCATCACCCCATAGCAGCCCTAGTTTCGGCCAGAAATGGCCCGACACTTCTTACATGCAGTTAGTCCTCCCCTGGTTACGCGTCACTGCCGTTTACAGCACCCTAGCGCTGGTCAGGCCGAGTCTCTTTCAGGGTCCAACTCGTGACAATTTCATTGGCCCTGTAAAGAGCAACCGAGTGTTTCTTGCCCTTTTCACGCCAAAGAAAGTCATCTGTCACTTATGCCAATTCCATTCGTTTCGGACATTTGCGATGGGAACGAACATGGCGCTATCTAAATGCATAGGCCGCTGTAGCTTAGGAGTTCAATGGTCGTGTTGCGTCAGTCACCAACAAGCTGCACACAAACGGTCCACTAAACTTCGCTCATACCTAATAGGCCGAATGCTAGTTCATCTCAGCAAAATTCATTTTCATGCAATTTCTTCCCATAGGCCACGCGCGGCTTCTCGCGGCCTCCTTTGACTAATTCATAAACTGTCCCAGCCGCCTTCTGGCAGCTATGCAGCGTGTAACTATACGCAAGTTGCTCCCACAATCCGGGGCATTAGTCTCTATTACGGGAAACTATACTTGCCAGGCGGTTCCTGCAAGAGAGACTCTTCCCTGTCAATCAACGGGATCCATGGTTGCCCTTCGCTTACAGCTATTCTATCTGCTCTGCGTCTTTGAACTTGTCAGGCCTTTCCTGGCCCTCCTCAACTTCTGTATAACCCAAATCACTCGTCTACGCTGTATATTCGAGTACGGTTGACGGAATTATAGCTGTCTAAGCTGAGTATGTTGACTGAATTTGACAACTAGCTAGGCGACTACTACGAGTATCTAATCGCCAAAGAAAGAGAAAGCAGAGCCAGGAAAGGAGTCGCTCCTAAGCTCGACACGTGGTTAATCTCGCTTATAGATGGGTCCCCCCCGGGGGCCGGAGCCGAAGGCGAGAGTGCAAGCCGAGCCATATCGGGCTCGGCCCGTTACACGAGTAATGCATGACCTTGATTAATGCTTGATGGCCTGAGGGACTCGCATAGCCGGGTAACCTGGCCCCGACATATAAGGTAGAGAGGTTCGGCAACCCCTGGCGATGTGATGAATTTGACAGAACCTGACACGTATAGAGTAAATTCGCAATGCGTGCCCGTACTTACGGGTCTTATATCCCTTGGCGTAAAGGCGTGACTTGCATTACATCTATGCATTATTATCACGTTATGAGACTTATGTTAACTAAGCTTATTCATAAAATCATTATTCTTATTCTTGCGAGTACTATAAACTCCGTTTATAGCTCTCTTTTTAATACCAAAAAACTTTCTTTTATCCGAATTTAACTTTTAGGTAAGTTTAGTCATAATAGCCGACGCTATAACAACCAGTTATTACACCAAGCTCTGCGACTTCAGTCTACAGAGGCATTATCCGACAGCTCCGCATCCACTGGTCGAATTGACTAGGCTCGGTCTGCCGCATCGCTTTTCTAATTACGGGTTTCACTTGATTAGATAGCTTATTAGCTAGATATTATAATTAAAAGTATTCCCAAACGCTTTTCTTAGCGTTTTACAGCCATATTAGTTGCTCGCAGTTAGTCTAGTTCGCCTTAAGCTAAGACACCTTCCAGCGTGGGTAAAGAATAATAGCGGCTAGGTAAAGCAGGGATTAGCCAAGTAGAGTGTAATACTCATTAATTTTTGACCAATAGTTATCGTCGGTGGTCATTATTAATACTATCAGCTTACAAGAATATGCGAGTATATTCGCCTTAAGTATGCTAGGGTAAGTGTTTCTCGCGTCCGTGGCATTAGTCAGCTTATAGCCCACTACATCCTGTAATATTATTAGCTAAATAGACTTAAGGCAAGCAAAGATAAACCAGAAAGCCATACTCTTAGCTGCTAAGAATCGTGCATGCCGTGGCATATTAGTAGTTACGTCAGGCGGCGAGAAGATCAGCTTCTACTCCTCAAAGTTAAGTAAATATTCCATTCCGATTATCACTTCCCATAAGGCGCAGTAACAGCCCTTTTTGGCCTAACCCTGGCACCTGATATTAACCTTATAGAGTGGTTTAAGAAGACTCTGTATCTCCGTTAAGAGAAGCCAGTCCTATGGCGACAAATGATCTTAGATAAGCACACGTTGGCGAGGCTCCCCCGCCTTGGTTTTAAGATAAGTGATACAATGGTTAACCTGCTCTTATTTACAAATAATATGCTGGATCATTAAATAAATTAAATCCCATCTGGTTTTATTGTTCTGTATCAGCTCAAGGTTAATGGCAGCTCGCTCCTCATCAAAGAGCTGGTAGTCGTCGTTATTGCGTTGGTTACATGCCAGAGACTTCATCAACTCTCGCCGTTGCGGAAACTTCGTACCGCGATACTTGACGATCAGGTCATCCCGTAGCTGTGGCCTTACCACCAACTTGACCTCGGTACCATCTAAGCTACCTGTCACGAGACTTCTTCCCACCACCCATAAAGGACACGGCATAGATGGAATCCGTGTGGGCACTTGATACATATGCCGTAGCCAGAGGCTCTCCACGTGGAATACTCCACAGGTGTATGCATTTATCGTACGGGCCAGCGGCTACCTATTGTCCGTTCCAAGACACCGCCACTGATTTGATGCCCTTATTATTGAGAAACGTGTTTTGTATTGTGCCATTATGGATATTCCAGATGCGGACAGTGGCATCGCTACTGCCAGACACGAGGAGCTGACTGTCTGGCGTGAAAGCCAGAGAGTAGACCTGGTCTGTGTGATCGGCAAGGGAGCGATATGTCCCACACGTTTGCAAGTCCCAGTCCTTGAATCATATTGTGAGATGCAGTCCTTGAAGGGGAAGCTGTTGCAAGTACAAGTTTTGGCTAGGTGCAGATACACATATTCGCGTAGTCTTGTCTTGGTAAGCAGTTACCAAATACTGGCCATGAGGGCTAAAGCAGATGTTGCGAATATAAACGCTGTCACTGATACCATTTTGGCCAAGGGGTGCACGAATGAGCAGACTTTGGTTCCGAGTACATGTCAAACACTTGAGCAGTTTGACCACATCCGGTTGCCACTCTCGCGCCATCGGGACTAAATGAAATGCAGCAGACAAAACTCGCATGTGGTATTGTGCATACCATTTCCACGTCTATGACACAACGTACATCAAGATTGACATGTTGGTCGTATCATCATCATGGTCCACGGGTGGATTGGTAGTGCGGAGATGGATGTCTTGTAGCTGTCGCTGGAGCTTGTAACGCTCCCGCTTCTATCTAGGGCAACGGGGAGCAGAGGCATGAGCGTCAACTTGCTTTCTTTGGTAATCGCCAGTTTGTGTATTGGAGGCAGCGGGTAATCAGTGCTCTCATATTAACTTGATTGATTGGTGGGCATTTAAGAAGAGTCGACGGCAGGGATCCTGACAAGCCCCACATTGTCCCGCTCCTCGCAAACTCACCTTACCCACGAGGGCCCCGATTGTCTGCGACTTCAACATGATGGGTAGTCTAGCTTGCCCCCGTTGAAAAGACTACATACTTATCTACAAGTATGGCCAAGTGCCCGTCATAATCGTAAAGAGTAAGGCTAGACGTCGCTGGCCGCCTATTCTATAGTACAGCCATTGCTCGTTTCCAAGACGGGAAATAAAAGCTCCTCCCGCCTCCGTTTCCACACTAGCGTTGTTGATGACGCTCAGAACGCTTTCAACAGCAGACTCGGATTTGGCTTGATGAACCAGACGTTTGAAAGTATGGCTTGGCCACGGCACGGTGCTTAATGCGTCTGAACCCTCCATTACTCCGTACTGTGCGACAAATGTTTACACCCAGTCGCCCACACCCTACCTGAGCCGCGGCTATTTCGTGGCGTCAAGTACTAGTGCTGACATGGTTTTGTATAGGTGCACGGCTTGCCACAGCCCTTTGATGCCATCCATGCCGATCCACGGAGCACGCTGCGCTTGGCTCTTACGCCGCCCTTGCATCACAGCAAGAGGAGCTGCGTGGTCGCCATCAGGTCAACAGCCGTCTCAACCCATGTCAAACGCCTCACACTCGGCCGTCCATGGCGGCATGACGGGGCGATGCCAGTGCGGCGAGGTCAAGTTTACCACGCCAACACCGTCTCCCCTTGGACTGTACGTCTGCCACTGCACCGAATGTCGGCACCAGAGCTCCTCTGCATTTGGCATCACGGCGCTCTTCCCCTTCTTTGAAATTCCGGGCCATGACGCCGCCCGTTCATCTGCCCTCATTGGCACTTTTACGAGGTATACTGCACGCGGTCGCTACATGGAGTGCCTCTTCTGCCGTACGTGCGGGTGTCGACTTGTACACAGGTTTCGGGACCAGATCCCGGGGCATAAAGAATACATAGACCGGCAAGACGTTATCCCCACTGTGAGTGTTAAAGCCGGGTGCTTGGACGGATTGACGAGAGAGGCGCTCAATGAAGCGGTGCATATATGGTGTCAGTCTGCAATTGTGCCCATCCCTAAAGGGGTTGTGAGCTGGCCTGGGAGGCCCGAGAGAGGTACGACGATTCGGCGTTGAGCAAAATGCCAGGGGTATTGTATTATGACGGCATGTTGAATGCTATATCAGTGTGGTTCAAACGACTGCTATCTTTATTCCTTATTCTGACATTTATTCCACCTTGTCGGCAGCATCCCGCTGTACCCATATGCTCTCGGCAACACACGTATGGCAAGTCTAGCGCCAACGACGAAAAATATTTGAACTCATTCTGGACGAGATGCCCACAATGCCCCAGTGAATCAGTATGACGTGTGAGTTCGCATGAGCATAGGTCCAAGTCCACGAGCACCAAGCGGAACCGGGGCCGGGAATCGACGCCTGTCTGTTTGACGAGCCACAAGAAAAGGCGCCGTCTCGCCGCTTTGCGAAGTTGCATATGAAAAAGGGCAATAATTTGGGGGCTGTGATGAATCTGACGTGGCCAAAGTGAGGGGACGATTTGAACATGACATCAGCACCCAGTCTTGGGACCCATTAAATATAAGTGTCGGCTCCTCCTACTACCTCCCGAACTTGAGCAGCGTCTCTCTTCATTTGTATCAATATTCCCTCAAGTGGCGCATTTTGACCAGGCAACACGGCGCACATCAACATACAGCCGCCGAGTTGGGCATATAAAATACCCAGCAAGCATGACTTCTATCAACGGCGAATGCGACGCCAAGTTCGCCAAAGTCAGGCAGCTTTTGCAGCAGCAACTAGCTTCCGGAGACGAGCTAGGCGCATCAATCTGCGTCAACATCAACGGCAAAAACGTCGTCGACATCTGGGGAGGACACGTCAACGCCGACCGCACACGAGCCTGGACAAAAGACACATTGTGCGCCGTTTGGTCAACGACAAAGTGTGTGACGAACCTCGCTGCGCTGATATTAATTGATCGCGGCCTTTTGGATCCAGACGAAAAAGTCGCCAAGTACTGGCCGGAATTCGCGGCCAATGGAAAGGAAAACGTCGAGGTCCGACATTTCTTGAGCCACACGTCGGGGCTGGCGGCTTGGGACTGCCCCATCACAACCGAGGCTATTTACGACGTGCCAAACGCTGCGGCAAAGCTGGCCCGGCAGTCGCCTTGGTGGACGCCCGGTACGGCTTCTGGATATCATCTCGTGAGCCAGGGCCACCTCGTGGGCGAGCTCGTCAAAAGGGTCAGTGGCAAGTCGCTCGAGGAATTTGTCCGGACGGAGATTGCGGAGCCTCTCGGCGCCGACTTTCACATAGGTGCCCAAGAGGAGGATTGGGAGCGAATCTGTGACATGATTCCGCCGCCGCCGCCGTCCACACCCCCGGGGAATGTTGACGTGGATAGTGTCCAGATGAAGGCGTTCATGGGTACTCCCATCAAGGGAGAATACGCTGGAACTCCCGAGTTTCGCAAGGCGGAATTGGGGGGCATGGGAGGTTTTGCCAATGCGCGGTCTATCGCGGCCATTCTCTCCGTCATCAGCCTTGGTGGCTCTGTGGGCGGGAAACGACTTCTCTCGGAGAGGACAATAGATTTGATCTTCAAGGAGCAGGCTAGTGGCAAGGATTTGGTGCTCCTTGTTCCGATTACGTGGGGAACTGGATTCGCTCTCCCCAATGGATCTGTGCCAAATGGATGGTTTCCAAAGGGCCGAATTTGCTACTGGGTTGGATGGGGTGGTTCCGCTGGTGTCATGGACTTGGATAGGAAGATGACTGTAGGCTATGCGCTTAATAAGATGGGCGAAGGGGTGGTTGGGACCGCGCGGACCGAGGCATACGTCCGTGCCATATATTCAGCACTGTCCGAAGCTGGGAGTTCCAACTAGACAATATACTGCCTCTCGAGACTGTTTAGATAATACGCCTGAGCTTCATAGATTGTTGTAAATATGCCATGGCCTAACAAGAAGTACGGATAACGCCATGCACCGTCTTTTTTCCCATCCCCCCTGCTAACCAGAACTTCTCAAACATGCAAGTTCATCTTGCACAACCGCCTATTTACATAATTTTATAATAGGCATATGCAAATATCAAGCGCCTTGTCAGCTCAATCTTGGCCTAACACAGGCTAAGCGTTACCAACCGCGCCCCAATAACGGAACGAAGAGACACAATACAAAATACCACTAATCAACTTACCTTCAGTATACGGCGGTGCTAAGTGATAGGGTAACCTGCAGAAACAAATATATAGGTATGGCCCGGAAGGGGACCATGGATATACGAGGGCCGATCATGGCAAGGCTTACAGCATGAATTGCTCGGCGGGCCCACTCTTTTTGCTAGGTGCGCTCACGTACTTATAAATACCTAGATATTAAGCTATATTATAATATATTATAATATATTTTATTATAAGTAAATATATTTTATTATAAGTAAATATATTTTATTATAAGTAAATATATTTTATTATAAGTAAATATATTTTATTATAAGTAAATAAATATATTTTATTATAAGTAAATATTTCTTTTTATAAGTAAATATTTCTTTTTATAATAAAATAAATACTTACCTACTAAGAGGGGTGAGCGCACCTAGCAAAAACAGTAAGCCCGCTGAGCAATTCACCTTACAGCTGGTAATAACTGCCACTTCGGAATAGCCTTGCCAAAGAGGGTGTACAATGGGACTTTCTGAGGGCATCAAATGGTAACTGTGGTCCTTTGGATTCATATTTACTCACATTGCTACAGGGCCAATTGCAGCAACTATCAGTTCCCACTGGAAAAGATACACAAGGTGAGATGAAGTAAGTGATTTTGATCCTATTCCTTACGATTAACCCGCCACCGGGACTGACTGTGCGGGGCCATAAAGGGAGCCTGGTAGTGAGGTTCAACTTCCCTTATTGGCAGAGCAGATCCAGACATTGGATGTCGCGACTTCCCATAATCTCAGTGTTGTGACCTGTCCATGTAAATAAACTGGACATGGCGTGGGGGTATTTTTTTTATTTTTTCTTTATCTTACTATTAAGTATAATATTTATTTCTAAATAACTTTTAATATAGCGTGAGTGTGCTTCAGCTTTTAAGAACAAAGTAACACTAGATAGTATTAACACGTACATAGTCCCAATACGTTTACCATTTCGTTAGCAACGCGCCGCAGACACATCCGTACCAGCCTGCCCCCCCAACCTGCTCGTGGCGGTGATTGCCATGACTTGGTTGAGTGGGAGGGGGGAGTATGGATGGAGGCCACACCTTAGTTTGGTGTTTGGACGCTGGCAATGGCCAGTATTTTTACTGTTGTTCTTTGGCTACTATATCTTATTTGTAAAAAATAATGTGAGATGGACGCATGCCGTCTCCCTGAGGTTCTTGGTGAACATTTTTTAAACAATATTGAAAGTGTATTAGCACCACAATGCGAACATAAGAACATTAGTTACATAAAACCCGCTACAAGCCGTGTCGTGGGCGGCATGGGATCGCCTCGACGGGAATTACACTCGGAACCTCGCCTGTCACAAGTTCAGCTTTGGCTACATACACAGGGACTCAGTGGCCAGCACCAGCAGCATGAGAAAGCATCGCTTGTCGCAACGATGCCGCCGAATTAAGAATAATGCCCAACACCGCGGCATACCCTGCCGTCAAGGGCACCACGTCCTTCACCTCATCGACCCACGAGATCATGATTACCACCCAGACCGCCACAAAGCTGACGACTATAATCACCGGCGCCAGATTGGCTGTAAAGCCGTCTTTAGGGGCGGGCGTCAGCGTCTCAGCAAAGATGAGCACAATAGGCGCGACAAGGAAAGCGTACGCGGCCGCGAGTGCCATGCAGCGCTCCAAAACACGTCTCAATTCACTCCTCATGTTGCTGAGATATCTTTTTCCCCAGATCGGCTCGTCGTTGGGGCTCCATGGACCGGCGGGAATCACGATTGCCTTGCCACCTCCAAGGCCAATCTCGAGATGGGCGAGTCGTGCAAAGTCAATCCCGGCCTTGTCCATTTCTTGAATGAGGATCTTATGGTCGACCCGCCGCTCGGAGGATGCAATGAAGGGGTCGTCCCGTGTCCTGATAAATTGGACCATGTAGTCATAGTCTTGGACGGCTTTTACTATGGTCGAGATTATGTTAGCAGCCATCCTGTGATGCGGGACCGATTTTGGTGGTTTCGTACTGTACGCCTGGAGGTCTTGCTCCCAACTGCATTCTGTATTATTCCCCTTGTCACCTTTGGGATTGGTGGGTTCCTTTCCTTCTTGAACCATGGACGCTGCATGACGGATCAATTTAATTTGGATCTTTCTCATGTGCATTCTCTGTAGCTCTGTGAAATCGACTGGGAAGCCTTTTCTGCCGCTTAGGTTCTCGTCCTGGCCCCGGCGCAGAAGATGACGAATCCAAAAATTCAACGAGTCTCTGTTTGATATGGGCCATACAAGGTTTGCCCGGTGGTGATTGACGAGCCAGTCAAACGAGTCACTTGGCTCGTAAACGTGTCGATTGTCGGCGTTGTTGTTCGCCATGGGGGGCCACGCTGTCCGCCAGTTTTTAAACCAGCACCAGATAGAAGTCAAGTCTGACGACGCAGAATGGGATTACCAGAAGTCAAAGGAGCCAAGTTCTGGGATTCTAGTTTGAAATAGGAATGCATACGTCAAGTCACGGTCTGGGTGTGGTCGCCGCGCCACCGCCACGTCTCGCACCTGCGATGGAAAGATGCTGCGGCTTCTCACCACTGTAAGGCTTTATTTTCTATTGCAGTTTTAAAAATAGAAAGAGTGGGCCAAAATTAGAAAAGATATTCGAGGATACCCAGGGGGCTCCTAAGGTTAGCGGCCCGTCTGCTTAAATCCCCCAAATCTCTAGCTCCATCTAGTTTGCACTGTTTTTTCTTGTTTCTATTTCAATCATCCCTGGCTCTATGTAATGTCAATGTCAGATGCTCTGGAGAAACTCTACTCCTAGACGTTATGTTCGCCCCAGGCCGTCAGCGAAGCGGCCTCCAAGGTGATATAGACTGCAATGAACGGGGAGCCGATGGTATATTAGACATTGATACTGATAGCAGAGTCCAAGATCAACAAGCATCCAACCAGCAAAAAGAACAGGAAGCTATACAGGAAGTAGCACGGGAAATCGGAAAGGAAATTGCAAAGGAACTTGCAAGGGAAATCGGGAGGGAAGTCGGGAAGGAAGTCGGGAAGGAAATCGCAAGCGTTATTGCAGGGGAAATCCCACGAGCAGCCAGACTGGAGGCTACACAGGAAGATACACAGAAAGTTATACCACGGGATACACCCCAGGGAGATGCACCACAGGAAGTTATACCAGGAGGACTTGCACCACGAGAAATTGCACCGCAGCAGGTTGCTCAGAACATTCAGCAGCCCGTAAACCAACTGGATAACGAGCAAATCCAACTCCTCAGGGCTACAATGACTCGGGCGTCACTTCGGTCATCATGGCGGCTACAACTAACGTTTCCACACGGCTCCGAGTCCCTCGTGGATGAATTTTGCACCGAGTTCAACCGGAATCTGTCCTGGTCCCATATACTTAAACGCAAAGCTTCATCTGCCTACATTCTAGATGCTCCGGATCCCCCGGACCCGGCTTTAGGCTGCCGAGTGATATTGCCAGTGCATGGGCTCGTGCAAGTGGCCCCGGTGCCGATCCCGACTCTGCATTTCGGGAGCAAGAGGGCTGCGAAAAACTTCAAAAAACACGCCTATGTGTTTGAGCACCCGCCTGAGGACGCAGAATCCCAAAAGTCGTTGTATATGCCTGCGATGTCGATTGATGCGTTCCGGGAGAAGTTGAGTAGTAGAGGATCAAGGGTTTGGAGCTGGTGGCCGAATCCTAACTCTCATCTTCATTCTGGGGCGTTTTGACTTGGATCCTACGAACCCAGTCCCAAGTCCGTGGCAACCGCAGTAGAGTTGGATGAAAGGCACGGGGGATAGAGTTAAAGTACTTGGGATTTCGTATATATAGTTGGTGATGGCCAAGTAGACTTCGCCGATGAGTAGATGGCTGTCAATAAATACTATCAAGACCCTTGCTTGTGTTTAATTTGAATAAGGTAAATCCCTCATCTTCTCAACAATGTCAGTCCAGGGTGCTGGTCGTTCGGCCGCAACGCTCTGGCTGGTATTCCCTCGCTCCAACATATCTTCGACACGAACGCGCGCGCCAACCTTATCCCTGGCACTGTTGCATTGGCGGCTTCATGCTTGATGCCGCAAAGGGACAGATGCCAATTGACTCTGGATTCAATGTTCCTTCCCTGCCGCCCCGTGGCGCTCTACTCCCCATAACATTCCATCACAAGCTCAGCTCAGCTCAGCTCGGCAGCTTCCTGCTCCCTTTCAAGATTTGAGTGTAATTTCTTTTGAGGGCGGGTAGAATGGAAATTGCACATCAGGTCCCATTTTCAGTAAGCAGTCGGACACCTACTTTGTTCGTTTGACTGTATATGTGACCGTCGGCTCCAGATCTGCTCAAGACAAAGGTGCAATGTGAGGAATTTGTTCCCGCAGCGGAACGCATCATCTCGTGCGCGACACCCCATGACGCCATTATTGGGTTTCAGAAACTTTATTTTGACTTTGGAGCCAACAGCGCCTCGGGAGCGCCAAGAGGCAGATTGACCAACGATTTATGGCAGACTGCGACGTTTTTCTGGTCAAGCTGTTCCCTTTTGCACGAGATCATGGTCTTTGGTTATCTGGCGTGCCTACAATGCCGAAAGGAGACGGATCTGTCCACAAATTCGCCTCTGTGCTGGTATATAAGGGCACAACGTATATTTCAATAAGCAAGGAATACAGTCTCGTGATTTTGAGACAAAGCATCGCAAGTAGTGATACCCCTTTGGAATCCATGAATACATTTCTACGCTTTTATTATCCACACCGAGGACAGAATACCTATCTTAAACAATGTCTCAAAACGGGAGTCCAGAACAGACTCCTTTACTAGAGCGGGCTGCTTCACCAGAGGCTGGCCCTTCGCAGGAGCCGCGACCTTTGGTGGAACGGGCTCCTTCACAAGAGAGGGCTGCTTCACCACAACCGGATCCTTCACAGCAGACGGCTGACTTACCAGAACCGGGTGCTTCGCCAGAACCGGGCCCTTTGGAAGAACGGCCGCCTTCACCAGAACCAGGCCCTTCACAAGAACAGCCTCCTCCACAAGCGCGGCCTCCTGTGCCGCGACCAGAGCCGCCAACCCCAGACACAGTCCCAGAGTTTGAGCCTGTACGGCCCTCCCGGAGATGTGTTTGGGCCAGGTGGTTCGGCTGCTATTCCCGACCCTCAGTCACTGGGCCTCGAGAAAAGCGCCTTGGTTCTACAGACTTTGACAAATATTGGAATGCGACTCTAAGAATCCACAATGAATCAGAATGCGAACGCACCCGCGAACAAGGCCTCTATGTATTCACCTACTGGTTAGTCTGGGGCCTGGTGATTGCTCAGCTAATCATCTCAGCATTCATCACGGGCTTCACTGCATTCGCACCAGCACCCAGCCAGCATGCTCTTAGGTCGATGGCGGACACTCTAAGCCAAATACCCATTACGAGTCTAGGAGGTGCCACGTTTATAATTACCAGTCTTTTGAGCCTGATGAGGACAGAACCCGAGAGGAGATGGAGGAATTCTCAAGAGTACAAAAAGGTCATTGACCTTATTACGCAGACTTCGGAAACACTCGAGTATCTCGGTTGGGTGAAGGATATGAGAGTTCCAGACCCTACAGGGGCACAGCAGGAGCCTACGCAGGCCAAAGGACCTACACAGCCTATACATGCTCCACCTCGTCCGCACGGCATTCGGCATGTAGGTGGCCTTGTAGAGGACGCATTTCTGGCGTACGAAGCTGCGAAGCGGAATGTAGCTCTCAACAGACCAGGTGATTTCGGTCTGATTCCTCCAAGGAGCCCTGTAAATACCGTGGAAGTATAAGAGCCTTTTCGTATTGTCGTGCTTTGAAAAGGAAAGTCAAAGGAGAGAAGGAGAGCGGGAGGAAGACAACGGTTGCGAGATGAGACTAAAACGGCGGATTTGTATCACGTTTCCTCCGACTATTGCTTTTTTGCCGTGAATAAACGTGGTGCTACTAGGGTTATACTGTCAGAACATACAATACTTTACCGTAACCTTCCATCTGGCATCGGGTGTCTGCAACGAATAGGTCTATTGTTTCGATGTGTCTATATCGCGGAGTCATTATAAGAGGTCACGCGAGTCGAGGCAAAACTGACTTATGTGACTCAACTATGTCTGACTGGTGAGCTGACATTTACTAACAAGAATGTGTGCAAGTAAGCAGTCTCGGGTGTGAAGCGATTCCTAATCCTACTTGGATAGTTTAGCGGTAATAGCTTGTTAGTACTGCTATAAATTACTTGGTGGGCTTATTGACTCTTTTTGCTAAGTGTGTTTATCGCCTAAAAGTTTATTATTTACTACTTGAATCCCTTATATATTTACTTATAATATAAAACAAGTTCTTCTATTCTATAATTTCCTGCTACATTTCTAAACGCGAAGAATACTTCTACTTATTAGCTATAAAGAATATTAAAAATAGATTTTATATTAAATACTAATAAATAAATAAATTTAAATAACTTTATTAAATCTTACTTTTTATTTTTTTTTTTATTTTTTAAAAGTTACTTCTTATAAAGCATTTAATAAAACGTGGTAGAGATAAAGCCAAGTGGAGAGGTTTTCCAGTAATTGTCACGTGGTCGTCATGTACTAGTGGAGAGGTCCCTTTTCTTAGGCCAGACTTGGGCCTCAGACCATCACCTCTTTGTCGCCGTGCGAGAAGTCAATTGATTACGCCAGCTCAGGCTGTCCCCATTCACGAAAGGCCTCGACGGCAAAGCCTCCGGATCTGTGTCCTTGGACCAACATTCTAACGATCTGTCTCCACGGACGACATGCAGATGGCGTGTCCGCCGGCGCCAGGACGCGCAGTCCGGACGCTAATCGTTCTGCTTGTCAAGGCAACGCGCCACAAGCTCTTACGAAGACTCTGGAGAAAACAGACCGGCCTTTTTCACATTGCCAACATCTGCATCAAGACCAAACCAGACGAGAACCTATCCGAAGCCTACGCTATGCAATTCGTCGGCACACACACATCCATTCCCGTGCCCAAGGTGTACTACGCCTTCGTCCATAAGGGAACATCATACATCGTCATGCGCCACATCAAAGGAAAAATGGCTGGATTTGACTGGTCATGCCGCTCGGAGGAATCAAAAGGGCGAATATTGGATCAACTGCGCGGCATGATCAGGGAGCTTCGCTCCGTTCCTCCCCCAGAAGGGACACGAGTTGGGAGCATCGACGGCGGGCCATTCTGGGACTGTCGTCTGCCATCACGGGACTACTGGGGCCCGTATGTCACCGTTGATGAGTTTCACCAAGCATTGACCGACGGCATTCCTTGGGACAGCGACTGCACCAAGTTCCCTGACCTTGCCGAGCTCTTTGCCTTCTATCGGCAGGCAGACTATGCGTTGGTTCTGACCCACGGTGACTTGAGTAGCCTCAACATTCTGGTCCGTGGGGACACCGTCGTTGGACTAGTAGACTGGGAAACAGCTGGATGGTTCCCGGCGTACTGGGAGTACACAACTGCGAAATATGTCAATCCTCAGAATCCATTCTGGGCGGACCCCGTCGATCAGTTTATAACGCCTATGCCAGAGGAGTGGAGGATGGAAACTATTAGGCGCAAATACTTTGGTGACTTTTGACAAATTTACTGAATCCCCCTGGATCATTCGCGCAGAAACCATCCGTCACATTCAAGGCACTCGCTCAAACCCATCAATCATATCCCAGGTTGCAGCCTTTTCCCGGTCAAATTCTCCCTGTCCGTCAAAACGATGGGCGGCCTTCTTCTGTCCGACATACCACATGGCAGTATCTCGAATCGAATCCCAGTCAAGATTCTTGGAGGTCCCCAAGACCTTCTTATCCCGCAGGGCTGTTTCGATAGCCTCTTTCACCCACGCGACACAATTCCACCCCTCCACTCTGGGTCGAATTGGGATGTTCCTCAAGAGAGACTCCAATCTGTTTCTGTCCTTGACTTTGCCAATCATGACTCGAACAAGCAACATCGACGTTGGCAGCATGGTGCTCTCCAGCTCCTCGTACTCCCAGACAGACTCGGGCACCGCTCCGGTGCCAATGAGCCGCATTTTCTCTCTCGCGTGGAAACGAGCGCCCCTGCTGCGTTTATCCTCGGTCTTCGGCCCCACTATGAGAGCCCAGTGGTATCTGTCACTGTCAGAACAAGACGGGCGTGCTGACATTGCGGTGACTTACGTGTCTTCGAGTCCTGGCATGGTTGGTGCCCCTCCACGGGCATACAGGGCAACGTACAGACGATCTTTGTCGGAAGGCATCTTTTGTCTTTGGAGGGAGGGTGCAGTTGAAGAGCAAGGCAGTCATTTCTCTATCAAGAAGGACAAGTCTTTATACACGAAAGGGCCAAGCTGGCAAGGCATATTCTGTCTTGTTACGCGCCCCTGGCTCCCAGGGAGAAGGCGACCGCACAGATAAACGGACCCAAGAGTACTCGGACATGCGATTTCATGGCCATGGGATACAGGCGCGCGCCAACTGCGGCGACCTCCTGAGACCAACATCTGCGGCCTACTTGCAATGCCGGTGAGAGCAGGCCAACACAAGGCAAGGCCTAGGGGCTTAATCAAGGCATCATCAGGGCCGGCGGAATGCGCTGTCTACAATGGCGGTTGTATACCCTTTGTTATTCGTCATCTGGACAGCCAGCACACTGTCGAAGCAGGCTACCGCCAGCCGCGACTGCGACCCAGGTATGTTGGTCAACCAGTGGTCGGCCATGTTGGGATCCAGTCGCATATGCTCTGGTGTCGTAATATGTGACCCGTGCCAGTACGCCCCTGGCTACGTGGTAACGGTGCTTTGTAATTGGAGGGCATTAATATTGACTACATATATGTCATCGGTTGCTGGCAACTCCGAGGCAAAAGGATCCGTTGTCAGTGTGCGATTATCACAGCCAATCACGGTCACTTCGGCTGGATTGGTGGGTGGGTTGTACATTAAGGCGCGTACCGCCCACAATGTATGTATGCCGCTGTAACTACATATGTATCTAGCATCCCACACAAGGGGCAACTGGGTTGTAGGATCAAGTGATTAATTGATGGGTCGATGATACTCCGTAGTATATACCCGTTTTCCATGTAATCCCGTACCTCCACTTTCCCCCCAACAAGGCAAATACAATCTACCCCCTGTAAGTTTAGCCACCAGTAACTTCTAGTAGGTGTTATAAGGGCTAAGAGCCCTATCAGGTATTATCTAAGAAATTAGTAATACTTTAAGTAAAATAAAAAATATAAAAAAAATAATATATTTTTTATAAAAGAATTAATACTTTTAACCTTAATTAATAGGTTATATATTTTTTTTATATTACTTTAATAATAATAATTTAATAGGGTATTAAATATATAAGCTTTAATAAAAAGTTTTTTAGTATAGCTTTTTAAGCTTTATAAATAGCTTTTAATAATACTTTACTTTTAGGCTTTTTTATTATATATATAGTATTAATTTAATATTTTTAAAAGTAAACTTTACGCTTATAACTTATACTAAGTTATATTAAAAACCTAAAATACCTATATATATAGTATATTTATATAATTTTACTTATATTTTAAGTTAGTCTTATTTCTTTTTATTTAAGTTATTTACCTTTTTTACTATTAAAATTATAATTAATTATAAGTTATTACCCTTATATATATATATTTTTTATAAGCACTTATTAATATTTATTATAGCTATTTATAAATAATAATAATATAAGTAAAAGTATTAAAAAGCCTAATATAAGTAAGTTATTTATTATAATTTTTAAAAGTTAAAAGCTAATAAAACTTAAAAGGTAATATAATTAATATTAAATTAAAAGCTTTTTATAATAAAAAAAATAGCTATTATAAAGCTAAAAATCTTAATTTAATAAAAATTAAGAAAAATAATAAAGCTATTAAAAATATAAAAAAAAAGGCTTTTAAAAATATAAAGCTAAAATATAACTTTAAAAAAGCTATTATACTAGCTATAAAAAAGCTTAATAAAGCTAATAATACCAAAAGTAAAGCTACCTAATAAATTTATATTAATAGTTTTACCTTTTTTAAAGGGGAATTTAAATTATATAAATATAATACTTATTATATATTTTTTAGTATATAATACTTTTACTTATATATTAATAAACCTAAAAGTTACGTAAAAGCAGTAAAATTTACTATAAGTAAAATATAGCTATTATTATACCCTATTTCTTATTCTATATAATATATATACCCTTTTAAAAGCTAATAAAGTAAGCCTAAAATATCTAATTATTAGCTTATATTTTTATTTTATTAAATTTCTTAATATTATTATTTATAATAAGTATATTAGCCTTATAGGAAATTACTAGGAAAAAGGCTTATAATTTATAAATATTATTATAAATTACTTACTATTATTAGTTTTATTATACTAGGTTTTATTAGATTAAATTTAATACTTTTAATTTTTAGTAATTAAGTAATTCTATTATTATATAAAATTAAGGTAAAAGTATTATATATTATAGCTAAGCTTATAATTTAATAATTAAAATTACCTATAAGTATTAAGATTTATTAGGGTAATAAATATAGTTTAAGCTAAGAAAAGTTAAAGGAAAATAAGGCTATTATAAAGCTATTTTAGTAATAAAAAGCACTTTAAATATAATAAAATCTAAATAGCTTTTTTTAATATAACCTAAATTTTTATAGGAATAATAAGTAGCTAGTTATAATTCTTATAAGTAGGCTTAATTAAGTAAAAAATTATATATTAAACCTATATATAAGAAAAATTTAATATTATTATTATATTATTAATAAAGTAATTACTAGTATTATATAGGGTTTTAATTATAATCTTATTTTTATATATTATTATATTATATTTTTAAAAGTAGTAATAAGCTTTAATAAAAAGCTGGTTTTTAAGGGCTTAATAGCTAAAAAATATTAGATTAATAAGAAGATTTAAAGGGTAAATAAAATAAGAATTTACTACTAATT